TATATATATATATATATATAGCTTTTGGTTGAATTAATATAGATAAGCATTTGGAAAATGCAATAGAAAAGGCACGCAAAGACAATTAGACAGTTAATTTAGTTAGAGATTAGGTGCCATTTCGTTGATACTCTTCGAGAAAAAAAAAATCCAAGTGGATCGATCTTGTGGGAAATAAAAATAGTTTGAATGATTAATTAATTAGACTAATATTGAATATTTCTTATTTGAGTTAAATATTAGGTAGGAAAATTTTCTTATTTGCGTTATCAAAAGTCAGACTATATATACGAAATTTCACTTCTAATCAGTTTGCAGCTAATATAATATTCACAAGCCAATATCCTAGACAATCGAAATCGAAAATTTTAAAATTTCCAATTTAAAATTAATTATAAACTGGGTTTAAAATTATTTGTCGATGACATTCAAGCAAAATTGATTGTCATCAAGTTGTTTTGTTTTTGTAAGAATTTTGGTGATGTATTCGTTTAGTCAATTAGCAATCTTGTCGGTTACAAATTGTTAGAAATGTCCCTTCACGATTTTGCATAAATAAAAATTTAAATCATGTCCAAATTATTTGGACCAAATACACCCAAATGGTATGTGTGTGTATACCATATTTTTATAAGCACCCTTTTCTATTCTTTCGAACAACTTATAATATATTCTCTTTTTATATATGTTATAGTATGATAAATCTTTTTAAATATATAGTATGTTATTTTTTTTAATTTCGTTATTTTTTTTTAATTTCGTCCAGCTCATATTTATCTATAACTCCTTTTTTCATCATTATCTTTGAAACCGTTTTATTAATTACCCAAAACACCATATTTAAACAAGACCCAACTCTTAAGATTGACTTTCATACATACATACATACATACATACATACATACATACATACATACATACATACATACATACATACATACATACATACATACATACATACATACATACATACATACATACATACATACATACATACATACATACATACATACATACATACATACATACATACGCATATATATTAAGTATGTCATTGAGGAAAACTTCTAATACCCATTCTATACTTATCCAAAATAGACGAGAATTAAGCATATACTCGGTCACGCTGTCGCCATTGGATTAATATATAGTATAAATTTATACGGAGATTCCTTCTGTTTTCTTCAGCTTCACTGAAAAGGTTAAAACATACACCACAGAAACCTTTCAACAAATGGAAGTGGCGCTAATTAATAATATCATTATCAATACATCGATCAATTATCAAAATTATTGCCTTTCGTTCTAATAAATTAATACACATACATATATTCAAAGCTTGATATATATATATATATATATATACATATACACACACATGTAATCAACTATATATCGGACTATTTGGGACACCCATATGACTTCTATAATATATATACTGTAAGACCCGGATCTGCATCGGTAATGGTACCTTGTAAACTTTTTAGACCTAGAGCCAAATTAAGACTAATATCTACGGACTGAAGATAATTTGTTGTAACCCTATCCATGCATTATAAGAAATAAAACGTAGATATGTGAATTAAAAATGTATGTAATTTCTATTGTGGATTTGTTTTTGGGGGGAGGCATTAATGAGCAGCTCTTTAACTAGAAAAGAGATCCAATTTAGGGTTTTCCTTTTGCGTAGAATATTAATTTTATTAAAGATATTGCCTTTTTCAAGAATGGGTCCACATAGCACGAAGAGAGCCCTCCGTTCTTTCTTTTTAACCCCTTTTTTTCCCCCTCAGTGTTGATTTTTTCAAGTATTTCTCGTTCGTTCCCACGACTCTTTCTCTTTTTCTTTTCAAAAAGTAGATGTGGCTAAGGAAACTCATAGGGTGTCAATAAACATATAAAATATGGAAAAAAATTTGACAAATGAGTGAAGAAATATAGAAAAAATACAAATAATAAGGCGAGGCTTGTTCAACAATTCAGGAAGTTGCTTGGAGCCTACGTATCTATCCATCCAATATATCTCCAAAAATTAAAAAAAAAAAATTAGCATCGTTTTTGTTTCACATAGCTCTCTTCGTCCTCTATTTAAGCCTCTTTCCCGACCCTTTTCATACTTTTATTCTTCTTCCTTTAACTGCCCAGTTTCCTCTTCAAATCTCTCTCTGTATATACGCACGCGTTCGCCGGATTGCTCCGTCATCCTTCCCTCGAGAAAATTTCTGGGTTTTTCTTGAACTTTGCAAAGGGTTTCGTTTTGCTTTTGCGATCTTGAACCGTGATTATCACGAGTTAACGCGCGCGCGCGTAGATAGGCGCCTTGACATGGCGGTGGTAGAAGAAGGCGTAGTTGTGAGCCATGGAGGTCAAGAACTCGTGGATTTGCCTCCAGGGTTTCGGTTTCACCCAACAGATGAAGAGATCATAACTTACTACCTGAAAGAGAGGGTCTTCAACAGCAGGTTCACCGCAGTGGCTATTGGAGAAGCCGATCTCAACAAGTGTGAGCCGTGGGATTTGCCGAGTAAGTCCAAAACCACAATTTAACAAACCTCGACCACTTATATATGTTGAATTTCATCAAACCATATACAGTTCTTGATTCGGATCATATATATATATATGTATGCAGAGAGAGCAAAGATGGGGGAGAAGGAATTCTACTTCTTCTGCCAAAGAGACCGGAAGTACCCAACGGGGATGAGGACGAACCGTGCGACGGAGTCCGGGTATTGGAAGGCGACGGGGAAGGACAAGGAGATTCACAAAGGCAAAGGTTGTCTTGTCGGGATGAAGAAAACCCTTGTGTTCTACAGAGGAAGAGCTCCAAGAGGGGAAAAGACCAATTGGGTGATGCATGAATTCAGGCTTGAAGGCAAATACTCTTACCACAACCTCCCCAAATCCGCAAGGGTTAGTGTATATTAATCTTAAATCTTTTGATCCTCTTGTTATATATATACATATAAAATATTAAACCCAGATTGAGAAATTGTTAAAGTTTGCGCCTTTTTGGTGTTTTGATTCCAAAAGGAGAAAGATCCGAGAGTTTGTTATTTGTCATGCCATCATCTTTCAGTTTCTTTTTTCCTTCAAATTGACAAATGTGTTTTGGTTGAGAGGTTTCTTTCGAAAGGGTTATTGTCTCTTTCTTCTCTGTGTGCATTTCAAGATTAATAAAAAAAAAAACTGACAAAATTTGTTTTTTCTTCTTCTTCTTGTTGTGATGATTATATATATAGGACGAATGGGTTGTATGTAGAGTCTTCCACAAGAACACCACAACCCCACTCATGATCAAGAAACCCTTCGAAAATCTCGCAAGAATGGATTCTCTCGAGAACATGGATCATCTCTTGGACTTCTCCTCTCTTCCTCCTCTCATGGATACGAGTTTCCCGGGTCAACCCGGCCCGAGTTTCTCCGGCGAATTCAAACCCATCAACCACACACCGATCTACAACAACCCCACCTACTACTTCCCCCACCAGCCAACCCTAAACCCGGATTCTGGTCCCGGGTCGGGTTGGGTTTATGGTTCTGCATACAACGCGTCAAACAACAACAACAACAAAGGCATGATCAAGTTGGAGCATTCTCTGGTCAGTGTGTCGACTCAAGAGACCGGTTTGAGCTCCGACATGAACGCGACCGCAACGCCGGAGATCTCGTCGTGTCCGGCGGCGATGATGATCAACGGCAGCAAGTCGTACGACGAACTTGGAGACTTGGGAATCTTATGGGACTACTAACTAATTAATTTGGGAATTAATTACTATGTAATTGTGACGAAGAGTACTATTGGGTGTTATATTAATCATGTATTTAATCGTATATATACGTATACATAGGATAATTATATAGGTGTTCCCTAGTTATTCCAACTGCATTGAATGTATTTAGGCCATTGTTTAATTAGTTTTTAGTTTGAAGGAAAAGGAAAACAAGTTGTAAAGGTTTGTGATTAATAATGCTATTTATCGTTGTGTATATATGAGCATATATATGTACGTATATTCGTGTAGATACATGCATTATCGGATTCGATATCTATGATGAGTTCTTTTAGATTCGTAATTAATATGGAAGATTTAATGGTTATAGTTTAGATGCACCCCATTAAAAGTGCTTTCAATGTGCATCCTATGTATGCATGTGTATATATTTTTTTGGAGCGTTTCTTTTTTGAAATTGTATATTGAAACTAAAATAATCTTAGATAAATATATAAATTTGAAAATTTGAAAATAAAATATATGAACTTTTTCTAATTCCTATATTAAAACTTAATTTTTTTAAAAACAATAAAAATAAATAATAAGCTTTTAAATTATTTTCAAAAACCGCCATGAAATTCAATCTCAAAATTTTAAAGGATTCCTAAATACCACCATAAATAATATGAGGTTTTTTGAGAAGTTTGTAAAAGTTTTAGTTTTGATGTAGAAGTTCTTTTATTTTTGGTATGAGTTTTGATGTAGAAATTAGGGATGATTTTTGTATTTTTTTTAGAAACTTGAAATAAGTTCATGTATTTATGTTAAATTTTTTTTACAAGTTTATGATTTTTTTTTGGTTCTTCTCTCATTTTTAGCTTTATGAAAAGGATATTGAAGGTAATGCCAAGTAGAATTGTTTAGACATATTATTTATTCATAATTAATATAACACAGCTCACGAACCATGTGAATTGTTCCCTGAATTAATATGTGTGCAACCATATAATATAACTATGCCTTCACATTATTATTTATTTATATAACCGATATATAAAACCATATGCTATGAGTAATTAATATAGAGAGTGATTAATGACGCGTTTCTTGTATAAAACATCACCACTCCCAAAGTCTTCTGTCTCAAGGAACTTAGTCATTGCATCATTCACACATTACGTTTTTTTGTATTTAATTTAATTTAATTATGCTATTAATTTTTTAAGTATTTTTTACGATTAAGTTTATATTTTCAGAAACAAAACAGCTGATAATTAATTCATATATATATATATATATATTCTATTGTAAATGTCTGACTTATATACATATATAATTTGCTAAATGTTTGTTCATTTCTTTTAAATAAAGGGTTATGTATCACTTATAACCCAATGTGTTCAATTAAAATAATGCACCGGTGATTAAGCATATATTCGACGAATGTACACAAGCATAGTACAACCATAATTTCTTAATAAATTTTGAGAATATGAACAAAAATGCAATACGACACACAAAAGGAGGATACTTAATAATCATAATAATAGTTATCATCATTGTCGTCATTAGAACATAAATAACGGAATGGCTACGACCCGTTCACTTCGACGCTTTTGGGTCGCTTCTTACCTTTGTTTTTTCCCCACACATTTAGTATTCTTATAATGATGCTAAAACGTCAAATCTCTATAATTTTAATAATCTAAATGATAGAAAATGTATTTATTTTAGGATTTTAAATTGTGGTTGTATCTATTAATTGGCATTGAGTTTTCTATATAATATTTTCGAAATCTAACAATTATATATATATATATATATATATAATATAAAAAATGTTTTTTTTTTTATCAATGATAGAAATATACATACTCTCCAAATATCGATATTAGCTAGATAGAATCTAATTCGAAATTTACAAGTATTTTTTAAATATTTTCCTTTTGAGTTTGACAAAAAAAAATGGCAAAGTCTAGTACAATCAAAATATATCTTATTAATATCACACGTAGCATAAATATATCAGTATATGAAATATAAAAGGAATGAATTAAACATTTTTTTTTGTTAATATCGAAAATAACAAATAAATAAGTCTATGAAATAAAAAATAAATAAATGAAACAATTTTTTTGGAATGGTTTGTACTTAGAAGAATAAAATGATATTCGATCTCCTGTACAAATTCAATATGCATATTTTAAGAACTAACTAAAAAATGTATAGTACAATTTCCATTCCTAAACTTACAAATTGAATATAAAATCAATTAATTAATATTTTAAAAACGAACAACTAACAAGCACGTACATCTATACGCCTAGTGCCACATGTAGACATATATATATATATATATATATGCGTGTGTGTGTATATACATGAATTCAGAAGACTTTCCATTAAAAGCAAAGCTTTTAGATGAACACTTGCAGCAAAGCTAACCGCCTCTTTTCTTTTTGGGTTTCTTCTAGATGATTGATTTCTTTCTTTCAAGTGTCTCTTTCTTCTCCCTTTTCACCGCTCTTTTCCCTTTTCCTTGCAATGTAAGATCATTATCATCTCTTTATGGCTATATATATATATATATGATTTTGGATATGCCCTAACTGAGATATATAACAATCAGTTACAATATTTAAATTGATAGAAAATCGTTCCAAATTGCAGCCTACGAATGTTAAAAATATGATCACGCAGAATTTATTTATCCATGTTTTAAAGTTGTAGTCGAGATATAATGACATTTTTTAATGAGAGTGTGAAATGGTTTTAGGGCTCGTATCTGAAAATTTCTCCCAAACCACCCATGTGTGAATTATGCTGTTTGTACCAGACATTCTCTACGTAAAAAAATATTTATTATTATTATTATTATTATTATTAGTGTTGTTATTGTTACTATTATTAGAACATTAACTAATTGTGTTTTATGTTTTTTTTATAAAAAAAGTGAGATGAGATTTATTAATGTTACACGACTTTTATGGGAAAGAATTTTCTAAATGAGGAAAAGATTAATTCAGATATGGGGTTTTTATATGAATATTTAATTTATAAATGAGTTACCAAATCAAATAATAGTTTATATTTTTTTGTACGAAGTATTGGTTAAAATTTGCATTAATCAATAATATAACGAGGATTAAATATTTTTAAATCGAGGGGAAAAGGGCATGAAAACAAGGGGAAGACGCACCAACCAATGACTTGCCACCACCGCATGACGTCACTCTAGCCGTCCCACCACCCTAAACTTCCGCCGCTTACGAAATGTTCTCCGTACCAAACCGAACCGGTTCGGTCGATGCAATTAATTTAACATCATGGGTATCAAACAATTGCTAGATTGGGCTTTAGATCCGATGTGAGCAAGGCCCATGCAAAAATGAACTTTCGGTGGCCCACATGTTTGGAAAAAACAATGATAAAGAAGCAAAGAAATGACAATAATCTGAATACTTTATATAAGTTCCTGGTGATAACTTGCTTTCACGGCAAGATTGAGCGACAAATCCAGGTTTTCACAGTCCAATCTGGCATCTTATACAGAGCTTGGATCCAGACATGCAGAAGGACGAGTATGTCAGCAAACAAACGAAGAGTTGCTTCCATGGAATCTTGAGATACTTTTATTGCTATTGCTACATTTGGTTGGTGCTCTTACCCTCGAGTCCTCTGCAACCCGGTTTCAGATTGTCAGAATCCTGAACTTGGACACACACAGGCAGATTCCTCGACCCAGTTTTACCACGCCCAAAAGAAGCCATCGGTTGTCGCCATCTCTCTTTCAGCCTCCTAAATCAGCATAGGAACCAAGAATTAGCTCTAGTACATTAGAAATGGAGCTAAACGTTGGAAGGCCGGATACAACAGAGTTAAGAAACCAGAGATATTCTGGTGGTACAACAACAGAAATGTGGGTTCTGTCGGAAGCTTCTGTCCCAGAAAACTCCATGGTCCTCCTATAAGATAATGACAACAGGATACATGCCAGCCACAGGTATCCTGCCTTGCCGCCACATCTACCATGTTGAGTGTTTGGACCAAGTGACACCAAAGTCTCAAACCAGAGACCCTCCTTGTCCGGTTCGCTCAGCAGCCATTGGAGCCATGGAAGAGCCATTGATAGTCCCGGAAACATTGCAGCTGGCCCTGAGATCCGTAAGAAGAGGCCGCATAGGTCGAGTGGTACTTCCAATGACAACCGCATAAGCGACGTAAAGAGAATAAGACAGCGACAGAGACGCTGTTTAAATATAACACTCCCCTTGTCTTCCCGGAATCTGACACGACTCAATGCTGTGTTGATATATATAATTAGCATTCCATTTGTTTCAAAGAATCTTTGCCTCGGAGACTCGAACGCTAACAAGACGAAAACATGAATTAGTAGAAGCGATCACCTTTGAAAGACTAGGTCGCTTCTAAAGCCAAAGCAAAAGTTATCGCCTTCTGAATTGCAGGTAACCAAGAACTACGGTTGGGGCATGAACAGTTAGCTTGATCAACCCGAAAACCAACAGATTTGGGTCATCGAAGACACAGAACAAAACAAAGACTAGAAGAAGAAACTATACATCAGATCTCAAAGGCAAACCTAAAACAAAATCAAGATCCAAACGAAAAACGACGTAATTTATGTGTGAAAAAGCCCGCAAAGCCATCATCGAGGCTGATCCATCGATCGAACCCCTCCGACAGCGAGCAGACTTCATCGCAGAAACCAAAGAGAAATAGGGACCCAGGGTTGCCGGAACCCTTCCGTCTTCGCCGTGTGACGGCCTCCGGAGCCACCGGCAGATCCCCACGAAAGAAGGGAAAAAGGGTTGCTCGTCGGCCGCGTCGCCACTTTGGCGACGGCGAAAGATCGAAAAAGGTCAAACCCAAAACCCTAACCCTAAAACCCTTTTACTCTGCTCAGATAAGATCAAGTAGTTTGCGTTCTGCGACTCCGTTAGCTTCCCTTTTATACTGTTTTTCTATAATTATTTTCCCCTAAAAGATATATATGTATATATAATCATTTAAAACCGACACCGGTTTTTCGGTTCAATCCGGTTAATCTTTCACTTAACCGGTTCGACAATGAAACGGCCCAATCAGGTTACCAATTACGTTTTTGCTCGTGAAACTATCAAATCTAACCGATATATTGGATGAAAAGTGTGGAGACATTTATATAAATAAAAAAACAATATAGAATCAAAATTATACACAACTTCCAAAACCTTGGACTGGCCCAAGAAATGTCTTCCAGTGTAACGAGAGGGAGGATTTGTACAAAAGTAGCAAAAAGGTCACCACAACAAAGCAGGCTAACTCAGGCAGAAGGTTTCCATACATAAAGGAGGAAGAGACAGACTGTGCTTTAAAGAGGAGAAGCAGTGGACTTGTGCATTTGGTTCTTGTCCCGAGCCGGCGGGGGTGGCGGCTCAGATGAACGGACCGCTGCATGGTATGACGAGGAAGCGAGCTGAGCCAATGCTGGTACAGCTCCACCTGCACACATTTCCCGCAGTCAGCATTAGGGTTTATTGACATGCCTCCCTTTACAATATGTGCAGGAATTTCAATGGAAGAAAAGGGTTTTACAATTCAGCAGTTCATATCTGATCTTATCGGTTTTATGATCCCAACATACAAACAGCGGCTTTTTCTTCCATACGAAACTTTGGCAAGCTTTAGGAAATGTCAGTCAGTTTTCTCCAAACATAGCGGAATCTAGAGATCATAAAAACCATAAAAGATTTTATGTGGACTCGGATCACAACACCAGTATGCTCCTAGCAGTCAATTTTCAGCATGCGAGCTCCTACAAATTTTGATCAGTCCCTGCTATATTGTACCCGAAAAAAATCATGAAAAGATCTCTTTTTGTTTCTTCTCATCTCATTCAGACCTCATAGCGACATTTTCAATTTCTTCAAGGTCAGTTTGCCCGACAAGCTAACCGAGGCTAAGGCTGACATTACAAAGTCTTAAATCTGAAACACCTTGCATTTTTACAGATGTGATTGCTGAAGCACATTCTGAAGGGTTCCAAGGATATTTCACATCATACATATACGATATATCCTATACACCATATCTTATACACCAAACCACAGGGGTTCTGCTATCACAAATACATAAGCAATGTGGGAGCACAAAAGGAATCTCAAACTCTAACCTGCTAGCCCAGCACATGCAGATGAGAACACTATTACTGGTGGCGCCTGCATGTTTTCCCGAAAATAAAAGGATACATCAGTATAAGAAACTTAACAATTCACTTTTCATAGGCTGTTTAACAAGCAAAGTGACAATCAAAGTGGCACAAAACAAAAGATAACTGATTCTTTGGCAGACAGCTTACACCAACAAGAAAATGCACCCACATAGGTCCTTTTATCCATTTCCGTACGATCGGCATTACTGCATCACCAAGAAACAGCATATCAATAAACAATAATAGTTCACTGATTTCTGAACATCCTTGATACAAACCTACTTAGACATTGACGACATACAGTGATGGAAAATACTCAACCGTTTCACCAGAGGAACATGAACTGAAGAAATAGGCATCAAATGCACCCACAGTATAATTCCTTCTCAAAAGATTTAAGCTCCACTGTAAGGTAATAAAGGACTGATTTCCAGTAAAAGACCTGTCTTTTAACATCCCAAGCCCTAATTTCTGGTAAATTCTCATGTTTACTTCTTTGAGGCTTTTGACAAAGAAACCAAACTGAGAAAACTAAATGGTGCGAGTTGTTTCCAACCTCACGAGAAGATAAAAAAAAAAAATTGAAACAAAGTTAAAGACAGAGAATTGCATACCATGATTAAATCCATAGAACGCACTTGCAGTGCCACCAACAGCTGATCCGATCTAAGAACAATAACACAAAACCCGAAAATTCGTATCAGAGAGGAACAAGCTTTCTGAATCAAAATTCTAAGCAAATCAATGTCCGATCAATCGAGTTTCTTCGCACAGATCAAATCAAGGGGAAAAAAACTTGCCATAGAGAAGCTATCCCTAATGAACGGCGCGACAGTCCATTCGCTGGTTTCCTGCATAGCAATCCACACCGAAGAATTGTAAGCATAAAAATTACAAGTCCTTAGTCGAAGAAATTCGTCATTCGTCATCGGACAGGATTTGGCAATTACCAGTTCCTTGGTAAGAGGCCCTGCGCAATGATGACATCGGGTTCCGATCTTGGTTCCCGAATCCGCCATTCGTTATGACGAGAAGAAGAGCCCGAGAAACCCTACCCAGAATTTCCCCCCTTTTTTTTTCCTCGTAGGGTTTATACTGTGACTATTTCCTCGTATGCGGGATAGGTGAGCAGAGATCAGGTGCGGAAGAGTAGTTTCGTTCCAAAGCCATCAGCCTTTTACTGGTCGCCACCTCATCCATGCTGATAATCAAACCGGTTTAGGGTTTATAATTCCCCTCTAATTGTTAAAAAGAACATGATTATATAAAGTAGTTAAATTTTAGATAATTTCTTAAACCCAAATGCACCAAGTGCACTAGAAATTACTGATTTTTTTTTTTTTTTACATTCATTACTCCTTTTTGTTTTATATTTGATTTCACTTCGTTTCTAATATGAATATGATGTGACATAAACAAATAATGTCGAAAATATTTCGAAAAAAATTACTTATATATCCAAGTCATTTCTACAATATTTTTTTGAATACATAAAAGTAAATGAAATAAAAACAAAAAAGGCATTGATACCAACCACTTGCAGCCAGAGAGTCAACCCACCAACTGCATAACGCCACGTTCCAATTGACAAAATTCAGCGTTTGGGTTGCAGCAGATCACACATTCAACGCAAAAAATGTGAACGCAAACGCTGATTACAAAACGCAAGTCGCTGTAAACTATCACATTGACTCGAAATCCATCATGACCTTCTTTCTTTGTCCAACAAAGGAGAAGTACCAAATGGGTAGCCAAAAACAGAAGAGAAGCAACTGCAATGATAAATCTCAACATTTGTTCTTATATATGTATTATGTCATGATGAACATCATCATATGATCATCATTCAGCAAAGGCAATGTTCTCCTATGGATGTTAATTCCATAGCTATGATGCTTACTCAGGCATCAAGCAAGACTAGCTAAAAGTGGAAAGAAAATAAAACCGGAGAACTAGAAACCCGAATCAGAATAGCTTTTTTGTTCTTCCTTTCTTTTTTTTTTTTTCCTGACTTAAGATTTTTGGAGCATGGATTCTCTTGTTCTCATTCTGCAGAATCTCAAGAACCCGACTTTTCTCAGCAAAGAATGTAATTCCGTTGTCATTTTCCCCCTTTCCCGTTTCCTCTGTCAAATCCAATCTTCTCCGATTAACCGATCACAATCCAACGATGTAGCACACGTGTCGAGCTATGTCTCTGCTACATCAAGAGTAAAAGTCAGTAACCAAAAAAAACAGAAGAAATGAAGGAAAAACATTTTGGGGGGGGGGGGCCTCACTATATTTCTTTACTTCAAGAGTGACAAGTGACATTACAAATGGATAGAAGGAAAGAGGCAGCAACTATAAAAGGCAATAATCTTCTTAGAACATAAAAGGTTAAGCATTTCACATGTACTTATGTCGGATAATCACATCTGTAAACCTTGTGCCACAACATATAGTCAGACACTAGGGCAACCCCGTGCACAAAGCGTTCCTATTGAACGAGGGTTCGGGAAAGGGTCACAACGACAACACCTTAACCTTACATCCAGGACTCGAACCCGTGACCTCTAGGTCACAACGACAACACCTTAACCGGTGCGCCAAGGCTCCCCTTCAACATATAGTCAGACACTGCAGCAACAACAACAAAAAAAAAAACATTCTCACTGATCTGCAGTGGATAAAAAATGCAAATTTCAACTCCTAAAAGTACCATCTATAACTATAAAAGAGACTTATCCACCAATTTCAGCAAATATTGATACCAAAAAGAAGATTTCATCAGTTAACAAACAACAATTGCCAAAACAGACATGGTAACTATGCAATAATTAAGGGCAGCCCGCTGCACAAAGCATCCCCGTTGAGCGGGGGGGGGGGTCTCATTATATTTCTTTACTTCAAGAGTGACAAGTGACATTACAAATGGATAGAAGGAAAGAGGCAGCAACTATAAAAGGCAATAATCTTCTTAGAACATAAAAGGTTAAGCATTTCACATGTACTTATGTCGGATAATCACATCTGTAAACCTTGTGCCACAACATATAGTCAGACACTAGGGCAACCCCGTGCACAAAGCGTTCCTATTGAACGAGGGTTCGGGAAAGGGTCACAACGACAACACCTTAACCTTACATCCAGGACTCGAACCCGTGACCTCTAGGTCACAACGACAACACCTTAACCGGTGCGCCAAGGCTCCCCTTCAACATATAGTCAGACACTGCAGCAACAACAACAAAAAAAAAAACATTCTCACTGATCTGCAGTGGATAAAAAATGCAAATTTCAACTCCTAAAAGTACCATCTATAACTATAAAAGAGACTTATCCACCAATTTCAGCAAATATTGATACCAAAAAGAAGATTTCATCAGTTAACAAACAACAATTGCCAAAACAGACATGGTAACTATGCAATAATTAAGGGCAGCCCGCTGCACAAAGCATCCCCGTTGAGCGGAGGTCTGAGGAAAGGTCCCACCACAAAGGTGTATTGTAGTCAAATCTTACCTTGCAGAAATATTCTGCAAGGGACTGCTTCCAGAACTCGAACTCGTGACCTCTAGGTCACAACGGCAACGCCTTAACCGGTGCGCCAAGGCTCTCCTTCGATAATTAATCAATCAGGACAGTTAAAATATTTTTTACATGGTTTAGTTTGATCAGATCGAAGTAAAATGTTTCAGACTTACGGCATACTTGATGAGACCTATAAGGAAGCATATTCCCCATCCACATGGTAATCAACTACTTAGGCAATATGCCCAGAATACTTTACCTGAAGGTTCTTTCAAAACAGAATATAGTGCGTCGAAAAAATCAGAACCATGAGATTTTGCAAAAAGGTTGGTCCAAAATAAAATTGCAAAGATATCATTCAAGGAACAAAAGATTTGTTTTTTGACCTTTTTTTCCTCTGGAACAATAGACCATATTTCTACCTAGTTCTTTAGGACATGTATCAAGCACTTATTAGATATGCATCTGTATAATGGATATATATTCTCATTTGCAAAGAGTAGCCTATTATGGCCTCTATATCTTTATCAATGAATTTATTCTACATAGCTGTATATCACAATGGGTAGGTGCAATTCTCCACACTTGATAAACAGCAGACGTATAATTCCAAGTCAACATCAAAATCAACGATGAGATTGAAGATGGGAAGACAGAGAGAGAAAGATCAATTAACAGAAACTATATGTAAACCTACAACTTTAGACATTGCTAAAAATAGCTGCAGCCTGCAGGCAAGTATAGAGTGAGAAAGCAGCCAAAACATAATATATATATATATATATATATATATGTATTGTATTGTATATGCCCAGGCATGCATGCAAAATACACATATACAAACACACATAGATACATACATAGATACATGCATACAGAACGCAGCACAGTCACGATAGATCAGACATGGAAAAAACATGCATACATATCATTGTGAGGAGGGAACCTGATGTTTTGTGACAATCAAAGAGTGTAGATATGGGGGTCCCGCTTAGTTTATATTCTATGTAGAGAATAAATACTAAAATTGCCGAAGGAGACAGCATGAAATTTTCTGCATCCGCTTTTTTTCACCTCCAAACTATCTTCAAGGAAAAGCATGTTTCAAAAAAATTCTCACTTTGCTGCTATCTCATACCAAGGCTTCTAGTTGGTTTAGTCAGAAGCATATGATATTACATTCTCCACAACATAACCTGCTAAAGGCCTTTTAATATCAGCAACAACTGACTAGAACCATCTAAAAGATCATTAGCCTCATCATGTACCTAGAGCCCGGAAGATAACTGTCAAGAAAGATAAAATTCAGACAAATGGAAAGCATTCAGAATATTCCCAGAGAGAAAGTGAGAGGACAGAGTTGTGAGATTTGAAAATATCGAGGAATAGAAAAACGAGTGGATTCCCCAACTCAACTCAAGTTAAGAAAAGCTCTGAAAAAAAATATTGGGGAATGAGATACTTCTCTCTGACAGAAAGGCAAAAGAATGAGCATATGATGCATTAATTGTGGACCAATTCTGGTATCTAATGCAAGGCTTCAATGGTGTTGAAAAAGTTGTAGTCCAGAGGAATCAAGACGCGAAGAATCAATCATATAAGAAGAAATCACAATTGAAATGATAAGCACACAAATAACAAAGCGAGATTCATATTCCATACCTTAATTATCTTCCTCTGGTTAGCCCTTTTCCATTCAACTTCCTATATAAGGCAAAGCTGAACAAAACCCTTTTTCTTATGAGTCCATCCCAAGGAAAAAGAACACAAGTAAGAAGCAGCATCCAAGTTGGTGGAGTTGTACCATAGTTTATCTCTGAACTACTGAGGGAAACAGACTAAGATCGTGTCAGGTAAAACATTTGTTTTTCTGAAGGCAGACTTATGTATTATCACAACCAGCACCAAGCGAAAAACACCATCTCTACACCAAGAATGCCTATGCCTTCTGAAAGACACCCATTCCTTCGAGGAGGGAACAGCCCAGGAGATTCTGGTCTCATCCTCTCAACTGATGCAAAGCCAAGACTAAAATGGACGCCGGATCTTCACGAGAGATTTGTCGAAGCAGTCAATCAGCTCGGTGGAGCAGATAGTAAGTTATCTTATTAGCAAAAAAGGGGAAAAAAGGACATATTTAACAAGAAGCTTGTTAGATTTAATGCATATTGTTTTTCCCTTTTGTCTATTGCAGAGGCTACTCCTAAGGCAATCATGAAAGTCATGGGCATTCCAGGCCTTACCTTGTATCACCTCAAGAGTCATCTTCAGGTAAACCACCGACTCTTTGTACACAACATGCGAAATATGCCTCTTGGTAATTTCTCCATATGGACCAGACACTTCAAATATTTGAACATTCCCGAATAATTAGTAGTAGTTGTTGCAGCCGCCCAGGAAATATTACAATCCAATATCTGCAAAAAAGAAAAATGTACAACCTTTTTTTGCATTCAAATTCTCAGAAATGTTATTAACTTCATGATTTGACTAGCAGAAATACAGGCTGAGCAAAAATCTTAACGGACAAGCTAATAGTGTTTCAAACAAGATGGGTAAGATCATATGTTGTACTTGTACATAAATAAGAATACCAAACCAAAATATTGTTTTGCCTTTTCGAAATAATATCCTAAAACGAACCAAATTGAACCTGATTCCTATAGGTCTAATGGCCATGGCGGAAGAAATGAGCCCTGATACAAGTGAAATTCACACCGAGAGTTTAAGCATTGGGCCACAGACAAACAAGTAAGAATATGGCTATTTGCATATATCTTCTAACTAACTTATTTAACGTCGAAATGACCTAAGCTATTGTTTGTGCGACCAGGAACTTACCCATAAGTGAAGCGCTGCAAATACAAATAGAGGTCCAGAGAAGGCTCCATGAGCAACTCGAGGTATCATACAAAATATTCTGGACCCCCATCCCTATGAAAGAAAAGAAATATGTTTTTTCAATATCACAGAATAGGTCCAAGTTACAATTAGTTAAATCACATCTAAAGATTTGGAAAGCATAAGAGCAGTGACCATCATGATTGTAAAGCATCCATAGGGAATAGAATTACTATCGAGAAAGACAAAGCATCTAGTTACATTTTCAAAAAATGTTTTGAACTGAGCCAGGTACAGCGACATTTGCAGCTCAGGATAGAGGCTCAAGGAAAATACCTGCAGGCGGTTCTGGAGAAAGCCCAAGAGACATTAGGAAAGCAGAATTTAGGTACAGCTGGGATTGAAGCTGCCAAAGTTCAACTCTCTGAACTGGCATCTAAAGTATCGGCTGAATACTCAAACGCTAATTTCGTAGAACCAAAGGAACTGCAGAGTCTACACCCTCAACAGATGCAAATGACCTACCCTCCCGATTTCTCCTTAGACAGTAGCTTGGCCTCCCGAGAAGGAACCCAAAGAAGCCCGAAAATGCTTGAGAACAGATTGGGACTAAGACCATATCTCAGTGATTCAACAACAGAGCAAAAGGAGATTGCCGAAGAACCATTGTTCCAGCGGATGGAGCTCACCTGGCGAGAAGGCCTCAGAGAGAACAAAACGTATATTTCCCCAATGGCTGATGACAGAGAAACAAGACTATCTTCTTCAGAGAGATGTCCCGGCAATTTGTCCATAGGAGTAGGATTGCACGGACACAGAGGACACGGCAATGCTGATTATGCAGAGGAAAGAATCAAGAAGGATGAGGAAAGAATCCAAAAGGGCTTGGACTCAACAACAGAGCTAGATCTTAACACACACGATGGAAACTATGGCACAGCTCGTCCAAAGCAGTTCGACTTGAATGGTTTCAGCTGGAACTGAGAAGGTTCGCCGAAGCCAAGAGAGTTTGAATGAGCTACAACCATTTTTGAGTTCATCCCCGAAGCGGAGAAGCTGTTGGCCCGGGGAATTCATATAACTTGAATCAGTCAAGTCAATCTATAAACCACAAAAACAAAGACAACTTGAGAGCACAATGTATCGAGCTATTCATTTGTATAATCTCATATAAACAGACAATTTCCTCTGACTACAATGCAAGATATCCCTATTCTTGAGGGAATAAAGGCTAATGAATCCTCAAGAATTATATATAATACACATGCTTCTTATGATTTTCCTCACATTCCAAATTTCAGTGATGAAGTGCTGTAATAGAACTGCATTGGACTAGTTTCAGAGACTCTTTTGTACACCACCATCCAATCCATAATTTCCAGTCAAATCTAAGCAACAAGCAACGAGAAAAAAAAAGAATTTGCATCAAATCGTCGACCAAAACCCATAAATTCTGACATAATTGAAATCGAGTAGCTGAACAGATACTATCCATTTGGAATTCCGATCTTGATGACAACACAACGATTAATGAAAAAAAAAAGAAGAAGAATTTGCATGAAGGGTACTGAAATAATCATACGGAAACGCAAAACAATTTACACGTACCTCCATTTCGAACATGGGTTTCAATATTCAGAGGAGAGGACAGCCTCCATTTCATAAAGGATCGTTCATACCACGCATATTTGTACACAGAGACTTTACATACATTATACAGCACGAACTCTTCTCGCTTCTTGACACAATGAAGTCGGAGAAGACACCAGAGAATGGGTCGTTTCCGGTCGCCGGAGATTGCCTCGTTAAGTTTTAGTGGCTGTTTTGAAACCCCGGCCGGGTCGGGTTAACCCGGTTTCTCTCCAAATCCCAGGAAAGGAATCGTATATACGACGCCGTTTTAAAGATGAAAAGTAAAGTATTCAGATTTGACCCCGAAATTTAGTGATCGTTTTAGTTTCGCACCCATAACAATTAAAATGATCAGTTAAGGAAGTCACATGGTAATGAATAATGATCTCTTGAATTATCAGCAAAGTCGAATCGCTGCTTCATGATTCTTGTAACATATATCTATAAGCTAAACTTCCAACAACAAGATTTGATAGAACATCTCGGAATCATTAGGCTACTAACTTAGGAACACAGAAATCCATTCTCACCACATTCTCTTGTGAAGAACATAAACATAGAGATTCTGGGTTGGATAGAAAGAAAAGAAAGTTAAAAGAACCAATCACCAACCTTTTACACGTAACCACCATTAACGGGAATGACTTGGCCATTGATCCATTCACCTGCGTCAGAAGCCAAGAACCCTACCACTGGTGCAAGGTCTTTGGTCTCGCCCAGCCTCTCAAAGGGATTCTCTGCGATTATCGTCTTCACCGTCTCCTCGCTCTTCCCTTCGAAGAACATGTCGGTGGCAACGGGTCCTGGAGCAATGCAGTTCGCTGTGATTCCAGTTCCTTTGAGCTCTTTCGCTAGAATCTTGACCATAGCTTCCACGGCTGCCTTCGATGCTACATAAGCACCAAATCCCGGCTTTAAGGATCGTGTCAGGGAAGATGTCAGGATGATAATCCGCCCACCACCTCCACGCTTTAGCCTGTTGGCAGCTTCCTTGCAGCACAGGAACGCACCTCTAGTATTGACACTGTATCATTCATCATCACGATTCAGGTCACAAGCGATGGATGAGAATTTGATGGATGCAGCAAGAAAAATTCATAACTCAAGAGAAAATCTCACTTTTCCAGAAACCAAACAAGATCAGAACATGACGCGGTTTCCTAGCATTTCTCGAAAGTGTCCATTGCAACATGAAGCAGTTTGTCTTTGGTCATGCATTATCTCCAACAATATAACGAACAAAGTCGATACCTGAAGATGCGATCAAAATCTTCGACGGATGTATCGGCGATGGTAGGGTATTTGGGATCGAGGATTCCCGCCGAGTTGACCAGGATGTAAACCGGCGACTCGAAACCGCTCTCCGCCGAGTCGAACAGCGATTTCACCTGGCTCGGCTGCGAGACGTCGGCCTGCACGACGATGGCTCGTGACCCGTTCCCGGAGACCTCCGAGGCTGCCGGAAGATTGTTGATCTCCGCCGCGACCTGGTCGGCTTCGATGGATTTAGAGGCGTAGTTGACGACAATCCTTGCACCAAGCTCAGCCAGATGGATGGCAATGGCGCGGCCGATCCCCCGAGATGAGCCGGTGACTATGGCGACTCTGCCGGCGAGGGGAAGCGACGACGATGGTGCGGCCATAGGTATCCGACAATGGCAGAGGTTTATGCTACGAGACTAGGAAGAAAAATGAAGATTCGCTTCCCTTAAGTCTACAGTATTGAATATTGAACCTCTAACTGTTCGAATTTGACAATTTAACCCCTTGATTCCATGAAGTATTCCCTTTTAGGCTCACATTTACGATTCTTATGATTTAACCCAGAATACTCCCCAAAAACTCCTCTCATATTTCCATGCGTCTGTTTTCCCACTTTTTTTCATGAACATTCAACAACAAAAATCAGCTATTCAACTTTAGAATCAGAGAGATTTAACAGGAAGAAAAAACCCCTTTTTTCTCATATGTTTGTTCAGCTAATCCACATTCACTTGAGGAATCCACCATTGGCAACAACAACTTGACCATTAATCCACTCACCAGTATCAGAAGCTAAGAACCCCACAACAGAAGCAATGTCTCTGGTCTCACCAAGCCTCCCAAAGGGGCTGCCTTTGATGATATTCATCACTGTCTCTTTGCTCTTCCCGTCGAAGAACATCTCTGTGGCTATGGGTCCAGGTGAAACACAGTTTGCTGTGATTCCCGACCCTTTAAGCTCCTTTGCGAGAATCTTCACCATTGCTTCAATGGCTGCTTTTGCTGCTGTGTAGGCTCCTTGCCCCGGAATCAAAGCCTCAGTTAACGACGATGACAGGAGTATTACCCTTCCTCCGCCTCCACGCTTTAGCCTGTTTGCAGCAACCTTGCAGCACAGGAATGTTTTCTTATGAGTCCATCCCAAGGAAAAAGAACACAAGTAAGAAGCAGCATCCAAGTTGGTGGAGTTGTACCATAGTTTATCTCTGAACTACTGAGGGAAACAGACTAAGATCGTGTCAGGTAAAACATTTGTTTTTCTGAAGGCAGACTTATGTATTATCACAACCAGCACCAAGCGAAAAACACCATCTCTACATCACTTGATCGATCAAATTTCCGCCGAATCCTACTCATAATGAAGTATTGGTTCCCGGCAAGACAAGAAATTTAAGCGAAAGTTTCAGTTCATTGATTATGCTTTGAATCCTCCATATGTTCGGAGAACAAGTTCAACTGACTCTATCTAGATTTATCCTGTAAAGGGTTTACATTTTCAAGCAAAACGAATGATCAATGCAGAACGATACGAGCAAGTGTAACCAATCCAAAGCTAAATCTAACAATGTCTAAGTTTCTTCTTCACCAAAATTCACCTGAAGATTCGATCGAAATCATCCACTGGTGTATCGGCGATGGCCGGATACTTGGGATCGACGATTCCGGCCGAATTAACCACGATGTGAACCGGCGATCTGAAGGCGCGCTCCGCCGCGTCGAACAGCGACTCCACCTGATCCGGCTCCGAGACATCGGCCTGAACCACGACGGCGATCGGATCCGTACCGCATCCGGCGGAAGAGTTAATGTCTGCGGCGACCTGGTCGGCCTCGGCGGATCTGGTGACGTAGTTGACGACTATCTTCGCACCGAGTTCAGCGAGGTGAATGGCTATAGCTCGGCCTATTCCACGGGAAGAGCCGGTGACTATCGCGACTCGACCGGAGAGCGGACGGCGCGGAGTAGCGATCGCCGGCGACGCCATAGCGCCAAAATGGTCACAGACGAGCCGAGCCGTCTTTGTCTCAGTCGTCGTAGGAGCACTGAAACGACGCCGTTCGTTCTTTCTCTTCAATTAAAGCGGAAAAGAAGCAACTTTTTTTTTATAAACACATACATACATAAAAAAAACTTGGGAAATGTATCCATTCGTGGAAGAAGGCATGAAACTGCCATTAACATTCACCGGCATCTGTTTCTTACCTTCTCAAATGCAGTTGCAGGGTTTGCCTCTTTCACGTGGGCATATATATACACACATACATATATGTTTGTGTTCATATGATGATATACGGCAAAGACATCTTCTTTCAACATACAAGTAGGAATCTCTCACCACTCTTTGGATGTCGGAAAAGTGTAAAACTTTCTCTACCGTCAGATTCTTGCGTTAATACAACCTTGTATAGATGTCATAACGAAAGTAACAAGTACAAGTTTTATCACCTTCTGTTGCCTCTCCATGCGTACAACACAATTATTCCCTGTGAATTTGCTTCTACACAAGCTCTGCACCTCTGCTTACAGCAGCACACGAGGTGCGGTTAATGGTATCCTAATACCTCGGGGAAAACCCGAATGATATATATTGTTTCTCTCCATATCTTCAAATGTCAGTAACAATGCCATCATGTAAATGCAACCGTTTGAACTTGCCTCAAAACCTCGGGTTATAGAAGAAACGGGTTCAAGGAAGACTAACTTCCCTCAAAACTTTGGCCACATCCTCAGGGAAAACAGGGTTTATGTAACACCCCGTCCCGATCTCAAAGCCTCCTACCCCGGAAAGCTGGGGTACTATCTGCAGGAACCAGTGAGTGTAAAGTAATTGTGATTCTGCAACCTCGAGCGGAGAAGTGTGGATCATGTAATTGAATGGGGGTTTGTTTAACTGCTTTGCCATCTTCTGGAGCATGAGTTTCAGCAATCTACCTAGATCGACAGCCTGAAAATTATCAAAAGATTCACTGTAACTTCTAATGTGGTTTGATTTAAGCAACATGCACGATTAATAGGCACTTCACACCAAGAAAAAATGTCCAAAACCAGTCATATACCACTCTAAACACTCAAGTCGTTGCAATGTGGACCCAACTAACACAAAAACAGAGACCTTATTCAGTGGATTCAATGATCTAAGCCAAAGCAGCCTTGTTTGCAATCAAGCAAAATGGAAAGTAGGGGGTACGACGGGTTACCTTGTTGGTGTCCAGGTCATGGAAGTGGGAAGAGTGATACTTGGGAACTATCCAAATCTCGAAGGGAAATGCAGCAGCAAAAGGAACAAAGGAAACAAAATGGCACGACTCGTTGATGACAAGCTCTTTCGGTTTGGCTTCACAGAGACAGCACCATCCAGTCTGGTCAAAGTATTCCTTTGTACCATCGAGCCGAGAAGAAACCGTCGGAGGAACAACTGGGAGGGCCAGAATCTGGCTGTGAGAGTGACTCATAGATGCGCCAGCTGAAGCACCATGGTTCTTAAAGACCTTGACGACATTGAGACATAGATCCAACAGAAAAACCAACTTAGATCAATAATACACAGAGCACAGGTTGTAAATAATGGCTGAATATATGAAATAATCCTTTTGAAGCAAAAACAGGAAGAGTATTAGAAACCCAGCTCCAGCTGTATCATTCTATAGTTACTTCATCTTGATGAAACTGAAAATACATTGTCCGCAATCCATGATAAAGGAGCAATTTTTTCTTATTAAGGAAACGGTAATAACCTCACAGTTTCATCCGGCACAAACACAAAAAGCACGTAATAACCCATGATCGTACGTACAACGAATATAAACCAACATGACTGAATTATGTTAAAGGAGGAGACTTCTGTGACGCGTCGAACCTGAATGTATTTGACGGAATCATGTTGCTTGATCTGCTCGATCCTTTTCGTATACGCGAGCAACACACCGCCGATATCTTCAGGATCCATATCAGAGAGCTGAATCGAGTGAACCGGAGCTTCGACCACCACGTCGTGGAAGCCAAACCCGGGTAAAACCCGCCCCGTCTTGAGCTGACCCGTCTGGATTTCGAGATCCCTGTTAAGAGCCGGGTACAGGTTCTCGATGACCCGGATCTTCCAATCCGGGACGTCAGGAACCCGGAATATCTCCGGCGCGCAATCGTCCTCGCGGCCGATGCAGAAGGGGCACGAGGAAGATTTCGGATTAGGGTTTTGGGGAGATTTCGACTTGAAATCGGTGGGTCTCTTGGCCCGAGCAGGAGAGAATACGACCCATCGGTTTGTCACCGGGTCCTTCCTGATCTCCGGTGACCGAGTTCCGGCCGAGTCGCCACCGTGATCTGGGTCTCGATTCGGTGACGACATTTCTTCTGTTCTTTTAATTGTTCAGTCCCTCCGTATAAATTTGTTTACCGTTGGTTGGTTTGGTAATTTTACTCAAATGACATCGCGCACACGTGTATACCAAAAAAAACATAACACTTTTTTTTATTGAAAAAACAAAATTATCCTTAATGAATATACGATTTTTATCCGTTCGAAAACAACTTCGTTATTACTACTTCGTAATTAATTCTAAATATAGTTACAATTGATTCTAAAAAAGGTGGCAAAAAAATCATTTGTTTTATTTTAGTTGTATATCAGTTATATGTTAGTCGTAATAAGGTCGTAAAAAATAAAACGAAAAGGTTATTTCGGACTTTTCCAATCGAAAAGTGGGTTAAAATTGAAAAAAAAAAAAATCGGTGGTGTACACTGATATTGCTGCGACCAAATGGGTTATTTGAGTAATATTGCCGGTTGGTTTGGCCCCAAGGGCGTGTAGGCCGCGTCTGGCAAATGAGTGAAAAACAAAGTTTCCAAATAAATAAACTAAAACAGCAAAATATATTTTCCTTTTTTGGGTCAAATCCAGAAATTTCACCAGGTGCTTCATTTCAAAGTTAAGAAACACGAAAAATATCATAGCTAATTATTGATGTTTTCCAATTTCTTAGAATGTTTTGGTTGGTATCTAAAACGTATCTGTTCTTGTAAATTTATAACCAACAAGTGCAATATTTTGTTAAAATAAATTTGTGGTTGTTGCATGGTTGGCCTTTAAACCATATAGTATAACCTCCATCCAGAATGTTTATCTCATGAAATTTCTCCAAATTAAATGACTGGTCACACTTTTTTTATTATTTTTTTAATTAGCTCTGGAAAAATCCAGATATGTATATGCATAATATATGCAATAACTTTGAAATATACTTTTTTTATGAGTAGGTTATCTTTCATAAGTGGTTTAATAAAAAAAAATCATGAATAGATTGTCTTTAATAAGTGTTTTGATAAAATTTAAAACTTGAGAAATAAATTTAAAATAACAAAAATTAATTCGGAGCTTATCGAAGAAAGTTTTTTATGTTAGCAAAATGTTGCAATGGCTGTATGATAGTAAAATGGGAAAAGAATGAATTATATATATATATATATATATATATATATATCACAAATATAAAAGGAAGAGTTAGCATAATCCTTAATTGATAAGCTAATCTTATTATTTGTTAATATTATTACCTAAAAGCCTTTCGGTAAAAGAGTAAAGCTTTACTAAAGAAAATAAGAATTATAGCAACCACAAGTGAGAGTTACTCATTATTAGATATAATGAGTGATCGATCACCTGCGATATTTGCGATACAATATCCATCCAAATATAATTATATTCAAAATAAACTTATTTAAAACAATTTTATATATTTTTTAGTTAAAACTAATTCAATAAAATCCAAATTAAAATCAAAATAAATATTATTAATTAAAACCATTTTAAGTGTATCAAACGTTAATGTTAAATTTTAAAATAAAAATAATTTAATAAAAAATATGAAATAAATAAACCAAAATATATCTAAAATCAAAATGTTTTAACACCTGATATATTTTAATAAAACCAAAATATATAGACGATTTTGTCAAACAATATATATAAATATTTATTTATTTTCTCTACGAAATAAATACTCTCTTTTTTTTCCAATTCACATGTACATCACCGGTCTTCTTCTTGTTTATTTCCAAGTCTTTCATAAATTATTTTTTAATTTTATTTATTTATTTGGCTGCAACGATGCCACATCTTGTCTCTCGTATCCCTCGAAATAAAAGTATACATTTTTTTACAAAAAACATTGGAACGCAAATTTATTTCTTTGTTTGATATACAATGATAATGAGTAAAATAAAAATGTATCGCGCAATGTCACATAACATGACAATTACATATATTTTTTTTTCTCGTTTCATATTTACAAACACTTTTTAAAAAAATTTATGTGCAGATTTAACTAAAAAAACAATGGTGAAATTCTATCATCATAGTCCTGAAAATTTGTGGAAAGAAACTTAAGATAAACTTGTTAAAAGTGCCAATTTCGTTGGCCACGCTAGTGCATGTATTTGTCACATGTGCATGTGTGTGAATTTCTTACATTATTGTACATATAATTAGAAAAACACATAAGTAACATATTATATATATATATATATATATAAGAAATCATTAATCACTGTATTTACGTTCAGTTCCAAAAATTTCATTTCATATTTTTAATTTCAACTATCTTATACACGATCCAACAATATTGTAATTTAAAAACTAAACGATTTTTGCAATTAAATTTTTATATCCACATTTCAAAATAGTCCTTGTACCAATTAAAATTAAAAATCATAACATTAACAATACCTAAAACAAAGACATTAATATGAAATAATCTAATAAATATTTTTATTAAAAAACAACAAGAGGACGGAACAAGAAAGAAGATAAAATACCGTTATTAGCCAAAACGCTGCGTTTAGTTCAGTTGATATGGCAAGTTTCATACATTATACATAGATGTGCTTATGCGTGTGTACATGTAAACAAACATGCATACGAATACTACGTACCAATTATTTTCTTATATTTACTACCGTTTTTATTTTTGAACATTAATATAATTGATATATAGAAAAAACTTTAAAATAATGTAATACGAGAGAAATTAAAAAAAGGAAATAATAACGCGAGCAAAACGAAGCACCGCTTATCTCACAATGGGAGTGACGAACACAACACATCTCCATTGATTAATGCAAATTTATATATAAAAAAGATTAGAGAAAATAAATCTTGACCTAAATTTCAAGAAATTTGTAAAAAAAAAAAAAGAAGAAACAGTGAATCGATGCATAAAAAAATTATTTATTTCTTTACAAAAAAAAAAAAAATCTCTTCCAAAAGTTTGCACTTCTCCATCGTCATCTTCATCCTCTTCTTCTTCCATATAACCCTAAATCTAGCCGCTGCCCCCTCTGCACCCATCTCTCTCTCTCTCTCTATGTTTCACAGCTGAGAGTTTTCACATTCAAATCGTGAAATAAGGACGAGGAAGAGCTATCGGTTTCTCATTCCGGAATTGTGCGGAAGAAGTGGGAGATCTGGAAGTTTTTGTTTGTTTGTTTGGGATCGATCTCGTTTCATCTTAATCATCCTCCGATCATCGTTATTTTTTGAGGTGTTAACTCGAATCGATCTTTGGGTTACTCGCTTTTTGTATCTCGTCGTGATTGCTTTGGTGTTTGTTATGCTGGGAGATTTCTTGGTTGCTTTTTTAATTTTTCTATGATCGCCTGGAAGATCGTGGCTTTGGATGATGATCGAATCTGTAGTGTGATGTTGTTCATATGGGTTAAGTTGATTTTTTTCGCCCTGAATTATGTATCGCCGATTCTTAGCATTGTATGTGTCTTTGAAGCTGAAGGTCACCAGAAGTTTCTGTTCTTGGTCATTGATCGATCTATTTGGCAGTATATCGCTTTCCATACGTTTTTCTTATGCATCAGCGGTATATTGGTATCATCGGCACTGATTGCGTTCAAATCCGAGCCTGTCTTTACAGTGGTTGAATCTAACAATCTGGAGTGAAATCATACCAGGTTTCATTGTCTGAAAATTGTTGTAGATGCTTATATGTTGGTTGTCATTCGATATAATGGAAGGTTCTTTGGACAGAAAAGGAATGCGGGGCAGTGTCTAATCTCCTACTGCGTTAGATTGATCGTTACTTGTATGATTGCAAAATATATTCTTTTCAGCATTTTTCCTGAAATAGATTATGTTTCCCCTGATGATTGTAGTCTATTTAAGTTTGTGAGTCATTCTGCGTGTAAAAACTCCATTCCTTTCGTTATTGAGCTAATGTAGTGCGGGTTCTAGTATAGATCAAGATTCTACATTGTTGTTAAAATGTTAATGGTTGTGATATATCTATCGATGCACGACATTGCTTTGTTTCTTTGGTATATATCCGCTGCTATTAATTTGCGTGAATTTGATGTGGCAGATAATCTAGAAGGGTAAGTGAAAAAAAATAGGTTTCTTACTAATTGCATGGAGTAAGAATGCCGGAGTTAAGAAGTGGAGCACGGAGATCGAGACGCCTTGATGATCTACAGCCTAACCCTCAACTGATCGATCAAACAGAGAATTGCGTACTTCCTCCTCAGACTGGAACAAGGAGAAGAGGTGGTGGACGAGGAAGGGGTAATGCAGCAGCTTTAGCTAAAGGGGCTGCGCCACCAAGACCAACAGCTGCCTGTAGGGGCAGGGGGATCAGGGTGATAGACTTAGAGCCAGCTTTGGTATATATCCGCTGCTATTAATTTGCGTGAATTTGATGTGGCAGATAATCTAGAAGGGTAAGTGAAAAAAAATAGGTTTCTTACTAATTGCATGGAGTAAGAATGCCGGAGTTAAGAAGTGGAGCACGGAGATCGAGACGCCTTGATGATCTACAGCCTAACCCTCAACTGATCGATCAAACAGAGAATTGCGTACTTCCTCCTCAGACTGGAACAAGGAGAAGAGGTGGTGGACGAGGAAGGGGTAATGCAGCAGCTTTAGCTAAAGGGGCTGCGCCACCAAGACCAACAGCTGCCTGTAGGGGCAGGGGTATCAGGTTGATAGACTTAGAGCCAGAACCTTGTGACCTTCATCCTGCAGGAGGTGCTATAGGGGCAGCTGAACCTGCATTTAATCGAGCTGAAGGCGTAGCTGATAAAGATATCGCTGTGGAAGGTGGTAGTGCAGAGAAAGTAATCGGGATGGAAGAAGACTCCAGCACAGCTCCAGTCCCTGAAAGGGTAATTTTCTACTAGTTTACTGGTTGTTAATCTCAGAATTTCTCTGGTAGGCATAAACAGTTCCTGAAAAGCATATGCATTTATATAAAGACCTTGGGTCAAGTCAAAAGCAGATTTAAAAGTTTTAGGTTCCATACTTGCTATTTTCATTGTCATTTGGAGAAGTTTTGCAGTCGCTTCATCCGAGTTCTGTTTGTGGGAGAGTTCTTTCTGATTGTGGTTCCATATTTGTTCTCATTGATACAAAAGCAGGTATGATTTCAATCCTTTTGTGCAGGTACAAGTTGGCAACTCTCCTGTTTATAAAACTGAGAGGAAACTTGGCAAGGGTGGCTTCGGTCAAGTTTATGTTGGCAGAAGGGTGACTGGTGGCAGTGATAGGATTGGACCCGATGCAATTGAGGTATTGCTATGAAACAGGCCAATGGACATTCATAAGGGTTCCAGACCAAAATATTCAGCTATTGATGTATTTGTCCTTTTCCTTTTCAGGTCGCTCTGAAATTTGAGCACCGAAATAGTAAAGGCTGCAATTTTGGACCACCTTATGAGTGGCAAGTGTACAAGTAAGATTCTCATCGTTCATGTCTGAATTTCTTGTCAAGTTTCTGTCACTTTACGTGTCAATATTTATCTGTTCCTTTTTCTTTTATTGCAAAGTACACTCAATTGTTGCTATGGAATTCCTTCAGTACATCATAAGGGTCGTCAAGGAGATTTTTACATTCTGGTAAGATTTTAGTATGAGCTTGGTTATGCTTAAAGGTTGTTCGTGTACAATTTATTACGAGATGTGTAAAATATTTTAGGTCATGGACATGCTTGGCCCAAGCCTCTGGGATGTTTGGAACTCTTTGGGTCAATCGTAAGAAATGCTCTCCCTCTTTCCACGCTGCTTTCTTCCTCGTAATATAAAACCAGCAAGTTTCTTCATATTTATATCCATGCACATGCAGATAAGCTATATTTAGTATTGTGATATCTGTGGCAGGATGTCTCCAAATATGGTAGCCTGCATTGCAGTCGAGGCCGTATCTATTCTTGAGAAGCTTCATATGAAGGGGTTAGTGCATATAGTTGCCCTTTCTCCAATTTTTTGGCAGATCTTTTCATTTATTTCCTATAAATTATATTTCCTTTATTGTCTTGATTTTTCCGATCCTTGAGCTGATTGTCATGTCATGTTCAATCTCTACATCAAACAAGGTTTGTGCATGGAGACGTGAAGCCAGAAAATTTTTTACTTGGTCAGCCTGGAACGGCGGATGAGAAGAAACTCTACCTTATTGATCTTGGTCTAGGTAAGCATTTGCTCCCTTTTTATGGACGACGTTGAAGACCCTATGGTTCGCTGCTGTTTTGTTTTCTTTCTCTTCATATCTTCCTCTTCTTTTCCTGCCATGTCACATGTGGTCCGAGATATTTAAAGTGGTTCTCTCATATTGCTATTTGTTTCGTTTCAGCATCAAGATGGAAGGATGCACACTCTGGCCAGCATGTTGAATATGATCAAAGGCCTGACGTGTTTAGGGGAACCATAAGGTATGCCAGCGTTCATGCGCATTTAGGTCGTACTGGAAGCCGGAGGGATGATCTGGAGTCCTTGGCATACACACTGATTTTTCTGATGAGAGGAAGGTTGCCATGGCAAGGATATCAGGTGAATTTCCATTTCGTCTCGGAACTTAATATATTATAGTTTGGAGTTCTATTTTCTTCCAGAGGTCTCGTGTGTATCTGATTTGTCTTCTTCCAACTTGTGAGTAATATAGCATTGTTTTATGCAGGGTGACAACAAGAGCTTTCTTGTCTGCAAGAAAAAGATGGCAACCTCTCCTGAATTGATGTGTTGTTTTTGCCCTCCTCCGTTTAAGCAGTTTCTTGAGGCAGTTACTAATATGAAGTTTGACGAAGAGCCCAACTATGCCAAGCTTATAGCAATTTTTGACACTTTAATCGAACCATGTGCTCTATCCAGGCCAATCAGAATTGATGGTGCTCTTAAGGTAGTTGTCTCTTGTTCCTATGCTCAATTTTTGTTCTTTTTAGATCCTGTGACAAACATTGGTACATTTTTGCTTTTCACATGAATAGGTTGGGCAAAAACGTGGAAGACTAGTTATTAATTTAGAAGAGGATGAACAACCAAGAAAGAAAATTAGAATAGGGAGTCCAGCTACGCAGTGGATTTCAGTCTACAATGCACGCCGTCCCATGAAGCAGAGGTAAAATTTTAAAAGCTTTCTTTCTTTAATCATATTCCCGACAATAAGCTCACTTGGAGTTGGAATGGAAAAGCAAAACTATATGTAGTCTCTAGTTAATGTATGGTCTAAAACTATGCTGATAGTGTAGCTTTAGTCAGTCATATTTGGGCGAGATAAATAAAGGCAGAAAAGAAAATAGAACCGTAGAGTAGTTACATTTTGGGAATGTATAAATGCAAAACTGCTTTTCTGATATTTAAAGAACGGTTAAGGTTGATTTTGGGTACAGAATCACTACAAGTCGCAGATTTAAAAGCTGAAACCGAGGAGATATCCTATCATTTCTCAGTTTTCTTTTGCTTAACAAGATTATCTTTGTCGCTTTTGTAGATATCACTACAACGTCGCGGATTTAAGGCTGCACCAGCATGTGGAGAAGGGTAATGAGGACGGCCTTTTCCTTAGCTGTGTAGCATCTTCAACTAATCTCTGGGCCCTAATCATGGATGCTGGAACGGGATTCACTTCTCAAGTCTATGAATTGTCCTCCGTCTTCCTGCACAAGGTTATTATTTGAAGTGTTAGAGACATTGTTTATTTGTCATATTTATGCATGTGATTTCCTATTGTTGTTTTAATTGTTGGTTTCTTTACAGGACTGGATTATGGAACAATGGGAAAAGAACTATTATATCAGTTCCATAGCTGGTGCAAATAATGGGAGCTCATTGGTTGTTATGTCGAAAGGTTGCTATTCACACAGCTATACTTGTATGCCACACTGCATAATATATCTGGCAAAAACCACTTTCCTTTTCCTTTAGATAGTGAAATCCCATATCTCATTAAAACCGGAAGTTTTCATGAAAGTCGGACCTTTTTATCTTAGTCTGCAGAGCAAATGAACACTTGAGGTCTCCCTTACCTGCACGAGGAGTCTACATCAATAGAGTCATTGTTCATTTGTTCTGACTTGTGCCATATTCTTGTTGGTACATGCAGGAACACCTTATACCCAACAATCTTACAAAGTGAGCGACTCATTTCCGTTCAAGTGGATAAACAAGAAGTGGAAGGAAGGCTTCCATGTGACGTCTATGACCACTGCTGGGAGTCGTTGGGGTGTGGTAATGTCCAGAAACTCTGGCTACTCTGATCAGGTTTGCCCATTCTGCACTTCTCTTTTTTGACATCTCTCTCTGTTTCATGGGCACCAAAAAATTTACACTTGTGCATGCATGTATGTATGTAATTTTGTAAAGGTGGTGGAACTTGACTTTCTGTACCCAAGCGAAGGAATACATAGGAGGTGGGAGGGTGGATACAGGATAACATCGATGGCAGCAACTGCAGACCAGGCAGCTTTCATATTGAGCATTCCTAAACGAAAAATGCTGGACGAAACCCAGGAAACTCTCCGTACGACTGCATTCCCAAGCACCCATGTCAAGGTGGGTATTCTTACAAGTTACAAATCAAAATAAGCATGTCGGCGGTATCCATCCACATTGTCCTCATTTGGATTTGTATTCAGGACAAATGGGCAAAAAATCTGTACATTGCATCGATATGCTATGGTCGGACAGTGTGCTGATTCCCACCATCACCAAGGAGGTTAGGTTAACCTTGTGGATGACTCATAGGAAGCGACATGGAGCTTGCTTCAGTCTGAAAGGTAAAACCTGGCAACTCGTTTCTGTAATTGAATGTATTGTTGCATATGTATGTAGAACACGATAAATGGAAAACCAAAAAAAAAAGAAAAGGAAGAATAGGAAGAAGGTGGTAAAAGAGAGGAAATTTTAGTGGAATCCGAGAGCTGGAAAATGTATTTCTGGCCCCACCATTGCTCCCTACATATTATTATATGTATGCTCCTATAGGGGCCACAGGAAAAAGGGGGCATATGTTTGTTAAGAAAAAGAACATATATGTGAGGCTTTGCCACCATGTTTGTGCTTTTTTTTATTGCTATAATTATCATTTTGTGCCTCTTTTAAATCTTGATTTATAATAAATTCACACCAGATGAAATCCCAGCAATAATTTTGCCAAATTCCTCTTCGATGACTTTCATGTTCTGCTTTTCCAAAGTAAAATTACAATGAACAAGGAAAAAAAAAAAGGTTAAAACTCACATAAGAATGATTTGAGAGTTGAGACCAATATCTTATATATCTCACCAATCATTTGATAAAAACATTATAAATTTAATGTTATGATAATGTGATCAAAATTATATTTCTGATCATAAGTTCACAGTTGGAGAAAAATATGTAAAATAGCAAAAGAAAAAGTATTTTTTATATAATGCCATGGATAGTAAGAAAGACATTAAATGTAATTTTGTTAAAAGGTGTAGAACCCTATTGCCGTTGGCTCGTTGGAAAGAAAGTACGACTCATGTATATATCTCACCACCTAATGTTTTTGTAGGTTGTCATATTTGCTAAACATATTATATTAAGAGGATTTTAGTATTTTTTTAAAATATATATATTCACTCGTACGTTGACAAATACCCAAAAACTAATATTTAAATCCATAATTTTTTTAGGGTTCAACAATATTAAAAAAATATCTAATCTCTATTTGTCGCAAAACCAACACCAAATTTGCCGAGTCGTCAAAAGTTCCGGTTTGGTTCGTTTTCCTCGTAAAATTACCGGTTAACCGAACCGTACCCGGTCTGTCAAATATTGAAAACCCTAATTACCGACTGTTGCCTCGATTCTGCTTCTTTTCGTCTCTAAAACCCTAAAAACCCTCGGAGCAAAAGGGCAGAAGAAAGCATCACCCGTCTTTGCGCCTTCGTCGAAGGAACGAAAATGAGACCACCCAGGGGCGGCGGCGGCTTCAGAGGCGGAAGAGGAGGAAGAGACGGCGGCGGAAGAGGAGGTCGCTTCGGCGGAGGAAGAGGCGGACGCTTCGGCGGCGGACGAGGATTCGACGAAGGGCCTCCCAGCGAAGTCATCGGTGAGTTTCTTCACTCTGTTTGTTTCGCTCAGTTCTGTTTCTGGGGTTCATTTTCTTTGTTTGGCTCCCGAGGAAATTGAAAAAATCAACGAGGAAAACGTTAAAAGACTTTATCAGTGAACTGATTCCTGCACTTGTAGCTAGGAAATAGAAGACGGACGAGCAAAAAAAGTTGGAATCTTTGTTTTGCATTTCTCACGTGATGGTTGTTTCCTGCGACTATGGGTTCCTCCTCTCTGCGTATACTGTTTGTTTGCAGCGTAAATTAAAGATCAACCAAACCCAGAAAAGTTTTTGAGCTTTGCTGGATTTTATGGAGATGAGTCGATCCTCACATTGGTGAAGATGTGTTTTTGTCTCTGTTGTTTTGTCCGTGAGTAAAGTTTACACTAGAACTGTAGAAGTAGCTGAACTAAATAGTTTTTCTTGTAAAGAAGCTAAGAATCTAGTTATCCATTGATGGGGTCTAGCTCTGTGGTGCTGAAGTAAAGAGTAAAAGAGGGTTAATGGAAGCAACTTTCATGAGATGAATACATCTAATAGAGAGAGTATTCTGAGAATCCATTAGAGTAAATATTTTGACAGAATAGTTGTCTTGCTTTGTTTGGCTAAGCTTCAAGAATTTTTTTCCTTGGCAATTTCATGGCAATGTCCTCATGAACAATCTTCTTGACTCCATTTTGACGAATCTGCTTTCGTGTTTTTATAGAGGTTTCAACATTTCTCCATGCATGCGAGGGTGATGCTGTGACCAAGCTCACAAACGAGAAGATCCCGTATTTCAATGCCCCAATCTACCTGCAGAACAAGACCCAGATTGGAAAAGTAGATGAGATTTTTGGTCCCATCAACGAATCTGTAAGATAATTCTCCTGAACTTTGTTTCTCTCAAAACACTAGTGCTACTTCATGTATCTGATTGGGACTCAACCCGTTATTTTCAGTTATTTTCTATCAAAATGATGGAAGGAATTGTAGCCACCTCCTATTCCACAGGGGATAAGTTCTACATCGACCCGGCTAAGCTTTTGCCTCTGGCAAGATTCCTTCCGCAACCCAAGTGAGTCACACTCCTTAACCACTGATAAAGCTCTTCTTCTAGCATTTATTATGCTGTCATTTACCAGACTGTTGGTTTGCTTATAAAGAGCCTGCTTCTTGTTGCAATGGACAAGAGATGTAATGAGACATCATGTGCTTGCAGGGGACAAGGGCAGGCGGGGACAAGAGGAGGTCGTGGAGGAGGGAGAGGCGGTGGTAGAGGCGGTGGCCGAGGGGGAGGATCATTCAGGGGGAGAGGCGGCCCGAGGGGTGGCAGAGGTGGTCCCCCACGTGGTGGTGGTCGTGGTGGTGGCTTCTTCAGAGGCCGAGGCAGGGGATAGATCTGTTTTCTGTGCACCTTCTTCACTTGGACCTGCCATTTATGTTATTAAGTTTCCGACAATGTTTCAGAACCATGATGTCGTTTTCCAGATTCTGTGTTGGATACTTTGGTTGAGTGAAAAGTGCATCAATTACCAGTTTTCCATGTTCCCGTAGAAACCGGATGGGTTTATCCGGTTGAGTTCTTGAGATAGAACTTACTGAAAGCTCTTGCCTTTCTGAGAAATCAACAATATCCTTTAATTAAGCTTTTAATTTTATATTTTCTGATTTCAAAGTATAACTATATCAACCCATTACATATATGTGGTAAAATACTAGGTTGGATGAATATTTTATATGATAAATTGTATCTCCAATATTTGGTGCTTTCTTCTAGAATGAATGTATGCCATTGAATTTTTTGTTAGACTAATCCCAAATCCCAATTGCGTAAATGTTTGACAAAACTTCACATTCATGCATCCCACCAATAATAATAATAATAATAATAATAATAATAATAACAACAACAATAATAGTTATGGAATTGGTATATTATTTTACTTCTTTTTTTTTGCAGAAGGACCCTTGTATTATATGCACGGTTACGTTATTGCTATATCCTTTATTTGTAGTCAGTCACATATATATATTGTTTTAAATTTTGTTTGATTGAAGAATTGGACTTTTTGAAATCTAAAACTGTGATCATACAATATGCAACAATCCTGTGGAAACAATGTAAACAATCAATTAAACTTAAAACTTTTTTCACCAACAAAAATTATACCAAAATAACCAAATAGTTTTACAAAAAAAAATACTTTCAAAAATAACTTATTTTAAAACTATTGAACTGATTTTTTTTTTAGCTGTGAATATGAACTATTTTTTATCAGATATTTTGTTGCTGCAACAATAGGTATATACATGGTTACCTCGCTTTTGCCACCAATTTATTTTTATTTTGTTAAGTGAACATTATTGAAATGAAATGAAATAACTTTTGAAATTGTAGAAGCTGATTGGGCTTATTCGATAAAATAAATTAACCGGGTCACTTATGCAGATCAAAGAAAGATAGTGGGCTTTTTTGTTATTATCACACACACGTATATACATATATATAACAATTTCCAACTGCTCATAATCTCCCCCATTGGCGACAAATTGAAACGCGTTTTCTCTCCTCCTCATCATCATCATCAAGGGAGAGATGAATTGAAATGCAAGTCATTGATCCTTAAATACTCCCTTTCTCTCTGCTTCTCCTTTTTTTCTTCTCCCTATTCCGTCATCTTCAAAAACTTTTCCCAAACCCTAATCACCCATTTCCCGGAAACCTTATCACCATCCTCTTTCATCTTCGATTCGTGGGTTGAATCCAGAAATTCGATTTCTTCGACGTTAGCGTCTTGCTCTTTTGTTGTTTTCGCACGATATGTGCCCCTTGAGGTTCATATTGGTGTTCTTCTCTGCCGTACTTGCCGGTTATTTTGCGTGGAGGACGGTGCGTTCCTCGGACCATTCCGTCGCAGATTCCATCTCCGGCGACTCTCCCGTCGAACAGAAGGATAAAATAGGATTCAATTTCAAAAGGGTACGCCCAAAATTTCGTTTTCTTTTTCCAATTTAATTTCTTCGATTCATATTTCGGTATGTGTTTCTTCTAATCTCCTTCATATTATTCGTTTTTCTTTTAAAAGACGGTGGAGAAGGGTTTCTGGGTGTTCGTGGATATGGCGAGCGGAAGATATCTGTGGAGAAATCTGAACGAGTTGAGAGAAAAAGGCCATTGAAGGGGGAAGAAAGATAGGAGACATTAGCAGTATTTAGATGATGAATCTGAATTCTGTAATTTGATCACTCGAGAGAGATCTGATGTAAGGATGGGAGGAGCGACAGCTTTTAAGCCATCTTCTGTAACTTCTTTCTCTTGGATTTTCTTCCAATATGGAAAATGATGAACCGGTTTGAATTTGAAATATATAATCACGGATTTCCGTACAGTAAAGTAAATTATGTATTATCTGTATATTGATGAAGACAGTAATTTACATAATCTATTTAAATGGTTCTGTTTTGTCTGTATGTACAAGTATATGATTGGTATGTCGTTGGTGGGAGATACTTGATCTGAACCGTTCACTGGGAAAGCTTGGACGGCTGAGATTCAAAGACCATCACAGAAATTGATTCCTTTGGATCCGTTGCCTCTTTCACCCTCTCCTTTATATTTATTTCTTTAACAATTAATTCTTAAATTTCGCTGAGTTTGTGACAAATAAAATACTCGCTATACACCATCCATATGCTGTATATGTAAATATTAATTCAGACGAAAAATATGAGTTTGTTTTGTGAATAACAACGTCACCACGTGTCACCACGTGGCTTGAGAGCTCAAATTTACGACAATAAATTGCTCTTTTTCCTTCTTCTTTTTTTTTTGTTGGCATGGTAACTTATACTATGCGTGAATCTTTCTAATACTGGTTTATATTAATTAAATATATAATCAGTTATATCCTATAGATATTATAATGAGATAAAAAAATACAAATTAAATAAAAAAAATGTAAAAATATATGTAAGAAGCAATTACATCATTAGAAGACTGTTTCCACTTGAACACGTCCATAAAGCAGCAGCATACTTATCCCTTTTGTGGTCGTAAAAAATATTATTTAAATTAAATATGTGATTATATTTCATATACTACTGCATGATATAGTATTATGTAAAATAGATGCAAGGAGCTTTAGATCAATGTATTTACCTTATCATCATCGCTGTAAATCTGGAGCCTAAGAACCTGGTTCTTGTTCCGACAGTTCTTGTTGTTGTTTCCGAAAAAGACGGCGCAGATTGTAGCAGCAGCGGCCGCAACGCCGAACGAACAAATAGCCCCAATCCCAGTGAGACCCAGTTTCCACAGATTCAGTTCCTCACCATCATTCCCTTTGTTCAGACCTTTATCCAAATCATCTTTCTTGCTCCCCAAGCCACCGTCTTCACCCTCCGACCCGATCCCAGGCAGGTGGCTAGTGACCTTTGCCGGGTCAATTAATTTCATGTCGACAGATTCGTTTCCCTTCATTTTCTTGAAGGATACTCGATGAGGAGATGGAACCGGGTCAGGGAGAAGACCCGGATGGATCTCGACGGGGAGAAGGACGGAGACTTTGTCGGTGAGTTTGGTCATCTTATCGTGATCGGTGTCTTCCGGGCTGAAAATGGGTTCCCATGTAATGGGAACTTGAAGAAGCTGCGTGGGGACCACTTGGGATCCTGGGTTGTGTTCGGTCTGTTTTGTAGGATCTTGAGATGGGCAGATAATGAAGTGATCCATGTCGAGGTGCCTTTCGTGGTTTGGATTTGGGTTTCTGATCATCACACCATCATCATCAAGATGATCAATGATATTGTAGTTGCTCCTTGAGAGTAATTCCCACTCTCCTAGATCCATCTCTCTCTCTCTCTCTCTCTCTCTCATGTCTTAATATAACTGTTTTGATTTAAAAAAACGTTCAATCTCCCGAGACATGGTCTATCAAAAGATCAAGTTTGTATTTTTTTTCTCTCTCTCAAAAGAATACACCAATTTGCAATTTTTTTTTAACTCTTTTGGCGTATAATCGGTGGAATTTAAGATGAAAACAGAGAGGAATATTCAAATCAACTTGGTAAATACATTGGGCTGCCAGTGTGGAGTGTGAAAATGTACATATTCTTTGCTTCGTCAATGAGATGGCGACGACCAACACAAAGCTTATCTACACAAGAAGTGGTCCTATTGGACCCACATATGCAAACCATCATTTTCTTCCTTGACAACGCCCTTTTGATATTCATATGCGACTCATCATACCCTAATTAATTGATTGATTTGGTTAAGGGTTAATGAATTGAAATCATGATTTGATGCATTCTGACGGATCAAATTGCGCATACAAAACCAATAATCTTACTAAAAGAGACATATATATATATATTCACAAACAGAAGCAAGCTGTTATTGCATTTAATTTAGGGATAATTGCATTTAAATACCCAAACTTTTACAAAAATCCCACATAAATACCCAAACTATAAAATTATCATATAAATACATGAACTTTTCATAACTCTCACATAAGTACCCAGACTTTTAAATTTTTTCCAAATCAACCACTCATCCGTTAACGACGTTAAACGTTACTGTTCACTCGACAAAAAACTGCTGACTTAGCAATGACTCAGCAAAAAAACCCGCTGACTCAGCAAAAAGTGTTGACTCAGCAAAAAAATATTATTAAATATTCAAATTTTTATCTACATATATTTAAATTAATATATACATATAAATTCACACACATATATATTAAAAAAAATTATTTATAATTAATAAAATACATATACACATAACTACAATATATAAATATATATATCATTACTAATGCATATATATTAAAATAAAAATAATTATAATTAAATTTATGTATATACATAATATATGTATTAAAAAAATAATTATAACTAACATATATACATATAATATATATTAAAAATAATATTTATATGTATACATATTAATTATATATACAAAATATACATATACAATTAATATATATAATTATAATTAGTTATATATACAAAATATACATATACAACTAATTAGGGATTTGTATATAATTATAATTATATATATTAGTTGTATATGTATATTTTGTATATATAACTAATATATATACATATAAATCTTATTTTTAATATATATTATATGTATATATGTTAGTTATAATTAGTTTTATTTTAATATGTATATTATGTATGTATATAAATTTAATTATAATTATTTTTTATTTTAATATATATGCATTAGTAATGATATATATATATATATGATTTGGAAAAAAATTTAAAAGTCTGGGTATTTATGTGGGAGTTATGAAAAGTTCAGGTATTTATATGACAATTTTATAGTTCGAGTATTTATATGGGATTTTTGTAAAAGTTCGGGTATTTAAATGCGATTATCCCTTTAATTTATATGCTTCCTGAAGAAAGATGAACAAGCAATTGACCCATACAGACATGTGTATATGTGTATACATATATAATATATATATATATAGAGAGAGAGAGAGAGAATACCTGAAAGATTTGCAGAACACTACAGCTTTGATCTCTCTTTTTTTTTTTCTAGCTGACAGGAACAAGATAGAGAAAAATCTTGAAAGGGGTTTCATCTTATCAATCACCCTTGAGAGGAGGATATGGTGGGAGAAGGTTTTTCAGGAGAGATGGAAGCAAGAGATGAAGCCCACGCCCTGGCCTTCTTTGCCCTCTCGTGGAAGCTGCTGGTTTTGGTGAGTCTCAGCTTCATCCTCAAGTCGATCATATGAAGGGCTCGTCCAAACAGTCGACTTGTCTCACCAATAATTCCCAATTTCAGAATTTGCGGAATTTGAGACGCCCAGATCGCTTTCATGCGCGATATCACTCTCGGGACGATGATCATTGCCAGCTTCAGCAAGAGGAACATCACTGCAAATGCCAGGTATGGTTCTCTTACCATTATCTCTCTCCTATAAGACCCATATCTTAACCATGTGATCAAGCTACCATCGGTTTCTAAACTTGTTTGTTTGCCTTCACCCACATATTGGATAGGATGCATTTAATTTATATGCTTCCTGAAGAAAGATGAACAAGCAATTGACCCATACAGACATGTGTATATGTGTATACATATATAATATATATATATAGAGAGAGAGAGAGAGAATACCTGAAAGATTTGCAGAACACTACAGCTTTGATCTCTCTTTTTTTTTCTAGCTGACAAGAACAAGATAGAGAAAAATCTTGAAAGGGGTTTCATCTTATCAATCACCCTTGAGAGGAGGGAGAGAGAGAGAGAGAATACCTGAAAGATTTGCAGAACACTACAGCTTTGATCTCTCTTTTTTTTTCTAGCTGACAAGAACAAGATAGAGAAAAATCTTGAAAGGGGTTTCATCTTATCAATCACCCTTGAGAGGAGGATATGGTGGGAGAAGTTTTTTCAGGAGAGATGGAAGCAAGAGATGAAGCCCACGCCCTGGCCTTCTTTGCCCTCTCGTGGAAGCTGCTGGTTTTGGTGAGTCTCAGCTTCATCCTCAAGTCGATCATATGAAGGGCTCGTCCAAACAGTCGACTTGTCTCACCGATAATTCCCAATTTCAGAATATGCGGAATTTGAGACGCCCAGATCGCTTTCATGCGCGATATCACTCTCGGGACGATGATCATTGCCAGCTTCAGCAAGAGGAACATCACTGCAAATGCCAGGTATGGTTCTCTTACCATTATCTCTCTCCTATAAGACCCATATCTTAACCATGTGATCAAGCTACCATCGGTTTCTAAACTTGTTTGTTTGCCTTCACCCACATATTGGATAGGATGAAGTCCTGAAAAACCACCACAAGAGACTCAACCAGTTGTGTCAAGGAATCAAATGGTACAGTCTAGTGTTGCATGAAGAACACTTACCAGTCGTTTTCTCATAAAACTGAACCAGTGACGCAAGATTTTTTTGACCATGATATCGTACCTTTGAAGTCTGATTAACCATCAGGATTGAAGGCAGGCTATGGATACCATACCTAGAAAAGACACTGCACCAGAATCAAACGATGAAATATGTCAGAAAGATTGAAAAAGAGAAAAAAAAAAAAAAACAGAAAGCATGGTGAAGTGAAATATCATTTCATAGCAGCAGCACTTGAAAGCAGATGCATTAGCAAGCTGAAGGGTAAGCACAGAATATACACTAAGCCGGTTTTTCTTCACTGATCATGCACAGCGGACTACATGACCCCATTAATCGATTAAAGTGTGTGAAAGCAAGCAGAGCACTCATTAATTGCCGATGCCTTTGAGATAATCTTCCTAAACCGCCACGATATCAGATTCCGCTGTCAACTCTACTCATCAGTGTTACTTGCTAATTGGCAAGTGTACTAGAAATTATACCAAATGATTTAACATTCTCGTTTTTAGCACAAGAATATTTTAACCCTGAATTCCTTTCTGCAACCGATTCTCCTTAGACTAGCCCAAATGCAGTAACACTCATTGGCCATTGCAACGAACAGTAATAGAGAAAGGAGCTTCTTACGATGGTAGTGCATGAGAATGCTCCACAACCAGATGCTTTATATGAGGAAACATTGAAGCTACGGCATCAAATTCTGGCCGCACAGCACGTGAAAAATGGCACCAGGAAGCATAAAAGAGCACTGCTGTATAACCATTTCCATGCTTCGCATCCGTTACTCTGTCCAGGTAGTCTCCATCCACCTGCATCAATGTAAATACTGCTCAAGTTAACAACGGAATGGAGCAGCAGAGCCAATACAAAACCCTCAGGGTTACATCAAATATGTATCTCAACTTTGCTATACAATGTTCACAGGCTAAGTTGCTGCAAATTACGAAGGTGTTAAGAATTAGAAACCCAGATGTTATGCATATAAATGCATTTAAATTCAGTAGCGAATGCCATGGCCGGCATTTTATTTGCAGAACTGACATAGAAAAGATCCAAGATTTTAGAAAAGAAGATTTCATATTAGAGGATGCAAAGATAAAGCACATGATCCTAGATTTCTCTCCTTCCATAACAATTCGACCATTTTTTTTTCTATAATATCCAGCCATAGACTAAAAGACAGGATCTTTTCCAAGGTTCAACCATTTCCTTTTGCAACTGTCTTCTCAACTAATAGCGTTCTCTTACAATTAACTACCACAAAATAGAAGAAGAAAACGCCTCAAAAGTCAAAACCCTTGAATACGGTGGAAGAAAGGAAAATACACTTGAAGTGTAGCCACTAGCAGGCCACGTATGAATGTGATATGTTTCATGAGTTCACACAGTGTATCTCTCCATCTCTGTGTGTGTGTGCGCGCGCGCGCGCATAGAAATCATCTGAACATGGATTCTAGACTATCATATGTGAAGCTAAGCTACCGCAAGATAAACAAAGTATATAGGAGCAGAACAACAAACCCTAGAACTGTCAAGAGCCGAAATGAACCGAAATCAAGGTAATGTTACCTGACGAGGAGGATTCGGATACAGAGAACGAGGGCATTTCGCCTCGAGACCGCATCGAAACACCTCCAATTCCGGATCGCAACCCCAAAATTCCGGCGAGGAGGAGGCGAATCGGAGAGATGACACGGCAGCGGCGCAGAGGAGGAGAATAGAGACCCAGAAATCCATGACGCTAGGGTTAGGGCAAGAGCGACAGGGAACGTAAGATCTAGGGGCGAACGAGAAAAAAACCCAAAATCAAAATCGGTGGGCGACAACAAGAATCAGGGACTAGGACCAAGGAAAACGAGATTCGAGGGCAAAAACACAGAATCAAAACCAACAAGAGCAAAAGAAAGGAAGAGGTCGGAGAAAGACAGCCTAGGTCTAACAACTAGGAGGAGATGAAGAAGAGGAAGAAGAAGAAGAACTCAGAGCAAAATTGAGGAAATTCCCATATCCGAAAAATCGAAACTTGTTTTCTTTTTGGACTTTTTCAACGGAAAGTCGAGAATTTTATCACCGTTGCCGTCTCGACTCTTGCGACGTTTTTTATACTTAATTAATCCCGCGTTAATTAATTACTTTTTTTTGATAATATGTGAATGAATGGCATGATGATATGTACAGATATTGATTTTCCATGCACGCTCCATTGTCTTTACACAAAGTGTTGATTAATATTTCACATTAATCACTATTCTAATGTGTCAGATTATCCAAATAGGGTTAGAGACGTTGTATATTTATTTATTCAAATATTTGGCGACGAGAAAGTTATGCTATTAGTATTTGGATATCTCCTAAAAGCTTCACGCATGTGGGAATCATGGTCATTCCATGTATACCTAGAAACAGCCGCACATTAAATATTGTAGGGTATACGAATATTAACTACACGATGGTTATGCACCAAAAAATATCTTGCTCACCTCGTACGTTGAAATGAATAATGTGAAAATTCATTGCGAATTATAACCTCCATAAATAAATATATCAATTTATCATCAATGATAATATAGCCCTTTTTTTCCCCCTCTTAACGAGGTTATCTCGATTTAACATGGATCTTCCTAATCAATTTATATGCATTTAGAATCTTAAAACATAATATTGCAAAGAAGACATGCAATGTAACTGATCACCTTGCATGCTTTAAATCTAAACGTAAGACAATGCATTTCATGTCCCAAATTTCCCAACCATATGTAATTCATCATCATTGTCTGATTATATATATATATATATGAGATGTTTTAGTGTTTAGATAAGTGGCATTTTCGCAATAACCACGAAAATCCGAGGGCAGAGTCACACGAAATTTCCTATATATACGATTCCAAGAAATCGCACAAAGAGCAAAACAAAACACAACTAGAAAACACCAGAAAATCAAGAAACAAAAAAGAAAAACATGTCGCCGGTCGGAGAAGAAGTTAGGGCTAGGGCACAGGTGTACCGTGGAAACACGCTGTGCCAAGAGAAAACGCGGCTTCTCCTCAAGGAAATGGCTGTGCCTAAAGGGTTGATGCCATTGAAGGACATAGAAGAATTCGGTCACGAGAAGGAGAAAGGTCTCATGTGGCTGAAACAGAAGCAAAGCATAACCCACAAGTTCAAGAAGATCGGGAAGCTTGTGTCTTACGGCACCGAGATCACGGCCGTGGCAGAGAACAGCAAGCTCAAGAACATCACCGGCTGCAAAGGAAAGGAGTTTTTCCTGTGGATGAGTGTCACTGAAATGGCGGTCGATTACCCGACAAAGGGAACGATCACTTTCAAGACTCCGTCCGGCCTGACCAGGACGTTCCCCTCCTCGGTGTTCGAGGACGAGGAGGATGACGATGACGAGAAGGAGAAGGTCTAAGTTGTTTTTTGTTTTCTCGATATCAACAGATATGATTCAAGAATATTTAACTATATATATATAAGAATCAAATGTATGGAAAAAGTTTGTGTTTGTCTTTTACTACTTTCTGTTTTTTTTTTAATTTATCTGCTATACATATATATGTCTGAAGTTCAATATCATTATCCAATCAATATCAAATAAAAGACTGCTTTGTTATATCTTCCATGACCAAGAACATTGTAAAACCCTCTTTCATTCTCTTTTTCGATTACGTGAACGATCGATAATTAACCGATACGAAGCTATACTTGAGAGAAATCTATCTGAGTCACGTACGTTAATTAGAAGTACTTTTGTTCATTGATGCGCTTGAAATCTTACTTTATCTTTTTAAATTTTAGCAAAATGTTACCAATACAATGCAACTACATGGAGATTCACAAATCTCTCCGTAGTTGTCTTTTTTGGAGAAAAAAATCCTTAAAAATACCTAAATTTGTCACGTAAATATTTTAATTTTAAATTTGTTAAATAAATGCCTCAATTTGATCAATTTATACTTAATAGATACCAATTATGACGTCATTAATCGAACAACGTCAATTTGTATCAAATCGATTCTAAATTGGTAGATTTGATACAAATTGATCAAATTAGAGTACCTATTTGGTAATTTGTAAAATGAGGTATTTATGTGACAAATTAAGGTATTTTTACGTAATTATATATATATATATATATATATAATAAATGGTGGTTTCTTATCAATAAAATGTTTTGGTCCCCGTCTCGGAAAATTTCTGAAGCTCCCTTTTTATTGGGCCATACCTTTACGTGGGTTGGTCTGGGCTTCACTCTTAGCAATACAAAATGGGCCACAATATTCGGCCCATGTCTTGCAGTAATTACTTCTTACTCCCCTTATTATCTCAGAATTTGTTGATTGATAAGGAGAAATATGTATTTGTGTGTATCTATATATCTTGTTGATAACGTATATATACACGCGCATACATATATATTTATGCAGATAAACTCTATACTGTCTTTAAAATGCAGAGACAAATCTAAAACATATCTGTTGAAAACATTGAATGTTATGATATATATAAATACATATTCCTATAAACTTATTATAAGAATGAATAAGGCGGCTTAAATTATAAATATATACGGACGGTGAGAGAATTAATATAACTTTTATAAAATAAGCCCAACAGATTGGTGGTTCCAGTATCCAATAATTGGTGATCCACTAGTTAAGAGGTGACAAAGTTATTCTCAAGATTCTGGATTCGATTTCACCGGCGGGATGAAATGTAATTTCTGGATCAAAATGATCTATATACAAAAGTTGATCACGGATCTAAGGTGGATATAGTCGGACCAAAGGTATAAGAACTATCTTGGTTATCCAAAAAAATCTTTTATAAAATAAAATAAAAAATGGGATATTAAAATGAAAAAAATGTATTTGAAACCGACAATTAAATATATGAAAAACCACCGAATCTATGGTCGACATGTGACATGTTTGACTTCCGAACTCAGCAATTTGACCACTAAGGTCCCTTCTTCCCCCGTCAACCTTACGCAATTGCCCTCTCTCTATATATATATTATTTAATTATTTGTATTTTTGTTTATTTATAAATACCACACGTTTGTCTTTCAGAATCTGAAGTAGACCAGTGGATTGTTAGTGGTTTGTATTTGCGGGGCCGTTTCTTTTTTCTTTTTGGGTGAAAGAAATTGTGATATTTTCCTTTTGTTTGATATATATTTTTTTTGGACCGTGACCTCACATAGGAGGCTTTTGTTTGATAATTTTAAAGCCTTGTGTTTCTCCCTCGAATTAGAGTTTAGAAGGTAAAAAATGCGAAAAACAAAGTTAAGAAATAATTTTAAGAGATTTGTAGAGTTTTAAATTTTACATTGGAAAGTACAAGTTAGTCAACGAGCCAGCACGACAGTTTCGAAAAGTCAACTTTTTCGGATATGATCGAACATCACTCCACGAGGTTAGGTACCGACCCCCTACTCTCAAGTTTTGACTTAATTCCCCCATATATATTTGACTTAAAATCTAATATAATATATATATATATATATATATATTTTAAAATATTTAAAACATAATAATGTAATTGATGCGATGGAAACAAACTATGTGTTTGGTGACAAAAATATGAGCATATATTTGTATTTGGTTTGATCCAACTTTTGTAAATCTCTATGACGAATATGTAGATTAATTAGCAATTGATAAAAAAAAATATATCAAGCCATTTATGCCGAAAAAAAAAAAGAAAAAGAAAAAGAAAATTCAGGTCAATCATGGCTTCTAGACCTCAAACGAGAAAACACGATAATGGATCTATAGTGTGTATGTGTGTGTGTGACCCTAATTTTTCAATGCACCGTGTGAAAGGGGCCGATATTGTAATCAATCATCACAACAACATAAATAAATAAATAAAATATTGAATAATTAATTGAGGCAATAAATGAATATTCAAATTTATTTTTGGAGTGGACATAGTTGGACACACCATTAAATGCATTGGGCATTCTTTATTGTAGAGAATCCATAACCTTTAGTTTCCATAATATTCATATACCCACAACTGATAAAACCTATATGTGTGAATTCATCATTCTCCTTTTATTTTTCTCTCTTGGGTCAGTCTGAAACTGAAACTCCCTCTCTCTCTCTACAGGAAACAACCCTCGTTACAAAAGACAGCTACCTTTCTGGCAACCATCTCTCTGTCTCTCGTCCTCTGAGAGAGAGAGAGAGAGAGAGAGAGAGAGAGAGATCATCGTCGCCATCATGGGTCGTGTAAGTAATCCTTCTGCGTTTTTTTCAAGATCTAAGAACTGCCCAAACTCTCTTTTTCCCCACCTGAAATCCCTAATCTTGGTTGCTTGGAAGAGGTTCTTTGAATCTTGGTTACTAGCTTCTTGAGCATCTCTCCGAGTCGGGTCAAAAATTTCCAAACCCGGGCCGGGTTCGGTCGGAGCATTGATATGATTTCAATGCAATCCAATACTATACATGCAATCTATCTAAATTATTTCAATATAAAATACGACTGGCAGGAAGGGGAACGCGGTTACTACAACAACAGGAAGAATGGACAAATCCCTAGGTTTGGAGAGTGGGAAGATGCAAACGAAATGCCCATTACTCAGTACTTCGAGGACGCAAGACAAGCTGGTCTCCTTCGTGAAAACAACACTCGCCTTCACACTTCTTCTTCTTCCTCTGCAGAAACCCTAAAACTCCATTCTCGCTGCTCCCATGCCCGTCCTCTTCCTAAACAGGTATATATATATTGGGTATCAAGTATATATGTTTCTTCACAAACATAATTTAGTTAGAATTTTCACTCGAATATGCTAAATCAATACATTAACGTACCAACTAGTGATACCTTCACTGTGTGTGTGTGTCTGTATATATATATATTTTTTGTATTATCACTATGTTTAGTTTTAATTATTTAGGTACTCGCATTCCCAAGAAAAAAATATAATTTCAATTTACTAGCTTTTACTGTGTTTGACATGTATGCGTGACATGCATACTGTATATATTCAGTACTCGCACACATATATACAGTTTTTATTATATTATAATCTTCAATTTTTACTGTTTACGATGATAGGTATCTTCGTAAGCCCACTCACTGCCACTTTCATAGGCGTGTAAACATAAAAAAAAAAAAAAAAGTAAATAAATATTAATAGAAAATAAATTAAATATAATTTTCCACGACACTTTGCCGTGACGTAGACGGCGTTGGGGGCAGCGAAGGACAAAAGGGGCCCACAACAGAGAGTGCGTGACGTCATCGAGAAGGGAGGAAAACAATACGCATACGTCAGCGAACCAAAGCAGTACCAAAACGTCGTCGGAGAGCGGCCTCCAAGAGCTCCCAAGCCCATAGACGAAGATCTCTACAAGATTCCTCCCGAGTTCCTCCACCCTTCCAAGAAGGTAGCCCATACACATACACATACATAGTGATATTAGGCCCATTTATATACAAGTATAGGTTATATTTTTTCCCATAAGTATAGGATATATTGATTATAAAAAAACAAGTATATGTTATATCTCTTTTGATTATTATGTTATGTTATGTTGCAGAAGAAAATGCCGGGGCTCTTCTCATGCTTGGTTCCCTGTGCATCATGAATTCAGAAGAATACATGCATGGTCATGAATTATCGACGAACAATGTAATTCACTTAATTTCTTGACCTCAATATATATATATATATATATATGCATGTATATTGGTGAAGTAATGTATTATGCTTATAGATAGTTGAAGGCATTTCTAGTTTAAGATCTAAGTGTTGGTGTTCCTTTATCTATAATGAAAGGTTTAGAGAATGCAAAGTTGACGTCTAAGTATATTTTGCACTTTTTCATGTTTTAAATGGTTTAGAAATTAGAATACAAAACTAAAATATATTCCACATTTAACATTATACTATTGTAAGAAAGATATCCACCATTCGATATGAAAACAAAAAATTTATATATAGTTTCACATATAATTTTGGGGATTGAATTAAGTATTTTAAATTTACTAGATAAGCAAAAAAGGCATCCATCTAATGCAGTTATTATACTACTTCGATATATATATATGTATATGAAATGTATAAGGAAATGAGAAAAAAAGTCACTTGTATATTGTCTTTTGTGCCTTTAATTAACGTGAGTAGTACTTCCAAATCAATTTCAGAAACCATTATTACCCCTAAACTCCACTTCCCTTTAAGATTCTCTCGGTGACTCCGAACAATTATAGAAGAAGCAGAAACATCACTAAGTCTAAGTGGGCCAACAGATTTCTAAGAAGTTTTTGACGTTATTATATATGCGAATCTAATTAATGGACTCAACTAATTGTTTATTGACTGAAATTTAAATTAATAACATTAAAAAATGCCACTAATATGTGCAATACACAAAACTCACAAATAACTATATCACCTCAACTTATAGTAACATTAACACCCTTTTTATATATTCGATAGTACGTCATCATGGTATAATTTAACTCACACTGAATTTTCAACAAAAGGCAATGATGGTGGGATTTGCAACGAAGTCAAAAGCCAAACAAGTGATCAGTCTCACAATCTTAGCCCAAGCTCACTTCCATTAGCCACCAATCAACCCCGTTGGTGGTATAATTGTCACAATTCGACTAATTAATCAATTAATCACATGGTTTACCCTTTGTCCATTGGACATGACTTGCCGACAACATTACTGCTCGGTCATAATCATATCACTCGTTTCAAGTTTTAACCATAGTAGCCTTGTCGGAGTTACATTACTACTATGTCCTCCCGAGTTCGAAATATTGCCATTATGCCACTCACTAGCCACTAGTCCTTAGACTCCCTTCGTTGCCCTTGCTTTCATCTAAAATTTACGGTACTGCCACTCACAAGATCAAAAACAAGACGAGAGTTCGTGAGGGGTTTCGTGTAACCCAAGTAAAAGGTGTCAAAACTTCGCGCCAATGGCATCGGCTTTTTTTTTTCAGGAACAAATGTACAGATTCTGTGCAACGTTACAGTTCTATTTTAACTTTCTACAAGTAATTTATCCGACTTTACGTATCGAATATGTGAAACTATATACTATATATATGTACCAAAGATGGAAAATACCAGTTTTTTTTAAGCAGTGTGTGGATCATAAAGCACCGGAGATTCTCTTCAGCTTCTGAAGAAGGGAATTCGCCTTTCTCTTCGCCCTATCGGTTCCTTGCATCGCAAGATACGTCATTGTACGGTTTTGTCTTTCCTCTTCACGGACAGTTTTCAGCCGAGATCTGTCTTGATCACATATGTTGAAGACGATCACGACAGCATTCTCGCTCGTTCTTGGACAGGAACAGCTCGGTTTCCTGATGATGCTGAAGAGATCAGACATGAAACCGAGTCCCACCATCTCTTCCACTGCCTGTTCATGTGTAGAGAGCAATGCGAGTATGGAGAGCGAGGCATCAACAAAGACCCCGTCTTTGACCTTTTCGACGAGTACAGGAACTGCCCGAGCTTGGACGGCCTTCTCTTTGTTCTCGAGAACAGTACATAGGTTGAAAACTGCAGCACCTGCGTCTTTCATGGCTAATGAATCACCTTCCTCGATCAGATCCATAAGCGGCTTGAGGGCGTCTGAGTTTCCGATGATAAGTTTGTTAGAATCGGTGACTGACAGCGAGAAGAAAGTCGCAGCAGCGTTTCTTCGAGTCTCCATTGTCCCGTGGGCCAAAGATTTCGCAAGCAGAGGAATTGCGAAAGGGTTTTCCGTGACTAGGGTTTTATTCTTCTCGGGAATCGAGAGGTTGAATAAGGTCGTGATTAGATCTTCTTGAAGCTCAGGCTTCGAGTTCACAGCACTGACTGAAGAAGAGAGCGGACTGAGCAATTGGGCTATAGAATCAGGACGTTCCCTGAGAAGAAAGAGGCGGAAAGAGGGGGCCCGTTTGGTCAATCGGCGTAGCTCCTTTGCAGCTTCTTTCTGATCAGAAACCGAGGAAGATGATATCTTCTGAAGTAATGTATCAAGATGATCTCTATCCAGCTCGTGGACTGCTCCATCGGTGTCGGAGACTGGATTTGGCAACTCGACATCGTTATGTTGACACCATTTCAAAATCAAATCACGGATAGAATGGTTTGGTGTAAGAACTGTGTGGGAGAGGACTTCTTTGGTCTTGGGACATGTCCGGTCGCATTCAGCCAGCCACTTCTGGATGTATAGTCGTTCATAGGTCTGAAGAAGACAGAGCAAACATCAGAAAGGATGTGTATGCATAATCATTCACAAAGACCCAGAAACATTCATGACTAAGCTGTAGGATTCAAAAAACTAAACCTTGACAGTGTGAACCCTCAAATGTTGCCCAATTTAGTTGCATGTGAATCATAAACCTTTTTTCCCAGCAAAAAAAAAAAACAGAGATGTGACCAAATTCTTCTACAACTACATAAGAACAATACAGTGCAGATACATTTACAAATGTGGATTTTCGTATATAGCATCTATGACGCAGAACATTTCGCAATGAATCGTAAAAGATTCTCAGAAAATGGGGAATTTCACCAAAGGGAAACAAAAGATTCGAACCTGCCCAGACGCAACGATTACAGGGTCTCCCATGATCTTCATCGACAGCGGACACATAAACTCTTTTGGTACATCCGCCGGAGATGACGCCGCCGCCGTCGACACCGACTCCGAAGAACACGAAACTTCAGATTCCGTCTTTAATTCTTGCTTCCTCAGACAACCCAGGATTCTAATAGCCTCATCGATGACTTCCACAACTCTGCCCCCACCGCCGCCGGAATCATCACCTCCTCCTCCGCCGTGGAGAATCGAAGGCAATACCCTCTTCAGTTCCTGCCTCAGGTTGCCGGCGTTCTCCGCCGTCGATTTGGGCATAGCAGCCGACAATTTCTTCGCCGAAACGAGAAAACCAACGCAGCCCAAAGGGAAAATCAAAACCCTAGAGCTCGAAAAACGGGGGAAATTTTGTTTGGAATGGGGAGAGGAGAAGAATCGAAGAACTGTATCAGTTGGCCTGTTGGTTTTCGTTCTTCTTCCGCTTTTCTATTTTTATTATTTTAAATATTTTTCTTCGGGTTTGTCCGTAATTACATACGCTGCCACGTCATCCCACATTTTTTCGCATTTATTTATTTTGGAATGGTTTGGTTATATTGTGACAGATAGTCATGTGAGTTTATACAGAGAAATTTTACTGCCCTCACTTTGATCAATATACGAACAAAAGCCTTATTTTTGCCGTAAATTGTGTTTATCTGTTTTAGTTAAAAAAACTCGATTATCAAAGTTTACGAAAAAATTATGTTTCCAACAACATCATTGATTAATGGAAATAAAATTCGATTCATCTGAGTATGGACCGCCATTTCAACAGTCGGCTAATATATTTATCCAAGTATTTTACATTACATGTCATGCATTCCTTGTATTGATTCTGTTGATTTAATTGATTGTTTGGTTTTTTAACTATACATACGTTATAATCACGTAAAACAACGCTAGGGGTTTTGTTCTATAATAACCACATAAAATCAAAGATTATAATATTAAAACCAAAATTAGATTTCCAAGGGTGGGGGTCAAACAAAGGTGTGTGCCGTTTCACAATTGACAAGAGCACAGCGACATGCCACGTGTCGCAACATGCATTTTTACCCCCTTCCAGATTATATTAATTAATATAAGAAAAATAAACCATATTACTTTAAACACACTGGAAACCCAGATCTTAAAATCTCAATCTTTACAAGGTAATGCATTTCACAATTATATCATTATTTTTAAAATACATAATGCAAAATAAAAATCATTTTAATACCGGAGAAAATAAGTATCCACTAAGCTGAAGATTCTCTGCGGACCAATCAGGAACACCAAACGACCAGATAAGATTTGGACGAAACAAGAACAAGTCAGACAACTGATGATGAGAATCTCCCTCATCAATCATTCTGTAAACTGGAGAGAGAGAGAGAGAGAGTCCTAAACCAGAATTAACCAAGACCGGTTAATCAAAAATTGAATCAAAATCCGGTTCATGGAACGGTTTGGTATACCGGGTTTAGAAACATTTTGCAACAACAGACCCCCCCCTCCAAACAGAATCAGATTCATCAACACAAGGACAAACCCAGACGCAAAGGTACATCAGCTATACATAGATCATGTAACCTCATCATCCATTTTCTATACAAATCCTGTAGATTCTCTGGTTCAATCATCCATCTCTTTGTCCTATGACCTTATGCTCATGTATGTGCGTTGAAACCACTAATCAAAATCAAGCAGTGGCTGGAAAAACAGAATGGGAGGTGCTTCGGATTACTGCAAGGATCTGTTCAGGTTCTTCTGTTGCAAATTCAACTTTTCGGCCATTGAATTTGACTGATATTGACGAATGTTACAATCAACTTTGGTTTGAAGTAAAGACCAAAGACACTGAAAAGGTCGAGCAATGAATCAGATTCATTCTCCACTACCAAGATTTCTCAACCTAAGTTTCCCAAAGAGTACCACAGACCTCAAAAGAATAGATACATAAACAATGCACCAAATCTAGTAAAAGTATTGAATCAATTCAAATGGATACGGACATAAGGATAACATATTGAATCAATTCAAATGGATACGGACATAAGGATCACCATGCATAGATTCGTCGAATTAAAGCATCGATACCAGAGATGACCTTCAGTTTGAAAACTCGGAAGCCAAAGTAAGCCACAACATTACGCTTAGACGAACAGTAAAAACGCAAGACCTCAACGGTAACTCTTCTGGAAACGAGCACGAGCACCACGACCACCGAACTTCTTCGGCTCGCATCTCCTAGGATCAGCCACAAGCAGTGTCCTGTCGTACCTGACGAGAATGTCCTTGATCTCCTTCTTCGACTGCTCATCTACGTACTTCTGGTAGAACGCGACGAGGGCCTTAGCGATGCTCTGACGAATTGCGTAGATCTGGGATGTGTGACCACCTCCCTTGACGCGGATCCTCATGTCGACTCCGGCAAAACGGTGTCTTCCGAGGAGGAGGATAGGCTCGAACACCTTGAACCGGAGGATTTCTGGTTGAATCAGCTCGATCGGACAACCGTTGATCTTTATCAGGCCGGAGCCGCGTTTGCAGTACGTGACAGCGACAGCAGTCTTTTTACGACCGAAGCATTGCACAGATTCCACCGCCTGCTGCGTCGCCATGGCTGCGTAAATGAGAAGAAGGAAAAATAAACCCTAACAAAGTGTGCAGGAAAAGAGGCGTGTGAAAATTTGGGGATCTTATAGTAGGGGCTCACCTAGGGTTTCTCTTCATCAAAACGCGCCGTTTCGTCAATTTTTTTATAATCTGGGCTAAAATGTACTTTGGAAAGTTTAAGGGCCTCAACGAAAGTGATAAAATACCAGAGGACCCATCAGAAATACTTTAATGAAGTTAGAAAAATCTTACACGGATTTAATTTTGAATTGGTGTTAACAAGTGAGTGCATACATACATACATACATACATACATACATACATACATACATACATACATACATACATACATACATACATACATACATACATACATACATACATACATACATAGTATCCATTTACTCTGCTATCTCTCTACAGTACTATAAGGATGAAATAAATTCGCCCATTCTCTTACCGTGACCAGTAAAAATGTGAAAATTTGTTACCTTTGGATACATATAATGTATATAGTGAAGATGAAAGAGCAATTCATGTGCTCTCGATTAAATTCGATGACGACTTTCACGTGATTTCTTTTCCATGCATTGAATTGTGTACTTCGGTACTCTCCGCGAGAGTGAAATGCTTTTTACTGTTTGGTGAATTAATCACATTAATTGTTTTAAAAATCATGTTACACATCTAACTTCGTAACATAGAAATCATCCACGTACTTGACGTTGAAATAATATATAACAGCATTGGAGCATTAGGATTATTTTAATTTTAAATAGGGGATAATATATATATATATATATATATACATGTATATGACAGATTTAGATGTTTAGTTAGTATATGGAGAAAATACTGAAAATAAAAAATCATTTAGAACATATTCCCATGCAACAATGCCATCATGCATGACATGCACATGAACAAGTGAAGAGCAAAAGACACTGAATAAAAACTAACGAAAGCCAAACGGGAAACATTACAAACATCAATGATGGATGCGACACGCAAAGTTCTGAAATGGATAGAAAATCGAACTATTTTTTTTAATAAAAAAACTAATTGATTGAGCAAGGGTAGGGTTTAAATGTTTTTTAGGTTGAGGAAGAAGAATCCAGGAGAAGGGCGGTGCTGAGGTTCATGGGGTGCATGTATTTGGAGGAGCCAGTGAGCATTTGCTGGACGATGATCCGATTGGCCTTCTCGGAGGGATGGAACGGGTCCCAGAATGCGTACAGATCTCTGTTCGGACACAAGTTCGAGAGCGGTGTGCATAGCCCTATTCCATTGTACGGCCCTTGCCCGCAACATGCCACTTTTGATGTCACAAACCCTACATCAATCATATATAGTGCATATATATCATCACCAAATACATTTACATACAATAAGAGAGAAGAAACATCAATCATATACGTGTGTGTATATATATATTGTATCGGACTTGGTTTGATTCGGGTTGACATGGTTTATGATGTTTTCTTTTTTAATATAGAGATAAGAATATACATATATATATATATATATATATATATATATATATTCAGGATTGACGAGCTTGATATAACATAAGGAGAGCTAGGAAGATATCGCTTTTGGAGAATTCACATGCATGGACCGCTTCCCTATTCATGCACATTTAATGCATCCGTACGTATGCAACTCAACACCCACACACATATAAAACACACAATTATTATGCGTGTAGAGACGCGCATTCCTCGTTAAGAGGGTCCAATATGTGTGGTTAGATCCTTCATTATTTTCCATTCAAAAGGGTTTAGGTCTTTCCATTTACTCCAAGATGGTCCTTTTTGGCATTAACTCCTTTTACAACTACTTGCCTTGCCCCCGATACCTTTGGACCATTAATCTACTAATCAAGCCATCACTTTTCATCCCGAACCGGTTAAAAAACCGGATGTGATCATTTTTGTAGCGCGCGCCCAATCAATTTCGGAAATTCGATCATTCATCGTATATAGAACGGGATGAGCAAAGAGAAATCTTACCGAACTGTTGTGGGTTCGTGACGAAATCCAAATGCATCTCGTTGGCATTTGCTGCGATGAAAACGTCGGATCCAATCTCGGAGTTGAGCTGATTGATCATGTCAACCAGCTGAGGGTTGAATAGTGCGGCTGCTCGCATGAGTTCGACTCCGCACTCGCCGTTGCGGCTGTGGAGAGCCAGCTCGGCTGGTACGCACCCCATTGGCCCGGTTCCGGTCACTAGAACACGCCTCGCTCCCAACTCATATACCCTCTGATTAAATAGTACACGCAGAAAAAAAAAAGATTTAATTATTAGGTTAACTCTTTACATGACTGTATATTTTTTTTAATTCGTCTAACGTGAATTGAACCGTTCAAGATCTCATTACCAAATAAATGAGAAAATTAATAACAAATTATAATCTAGCACTATATTAAGAAACTCCTACAATCATGCACGAGGAAAGTATGACAAGTCACGTATATTAAATTGCATGGACCAACCAGCGTATGCAGTACAATAAACACAATAACTCCATGTCCCTTTCTTCTCTCTATTTGTTTTTTAAAATTGTATAAAAGGAACGATAACATTGATCATGCATGGAGCAACATTACACTGTAATAGTCTGTATACGTCCACCTCTTAATTAAAACACCATTCCCTATAATGAAACACAACCCATTCGACGTAACATGTATATGGAACAGCATGAAATTTCAAAGTATGATAATGGAGTGTGTGTATATACCGTGAGAATCTTCCTGTATTCGGAGACGATATAAACGACGTAGTCGGGGAGAGCGTATTGACGGGAGCGGGCAGAGTAAGGGACCAAGTAGTAGTTGTTGACGAAATCGTTGCCGCCGAGAGTCATGAGGACGAGAGCTTCGTTCACGAGCTTTTGTGTTTGAGCCGGCCCGATCATTGCACTCACTCTCCTTTGGTACTGCTCGAAGTACTCCAACTGTTTCCCTATTCTTATTATGTTCACCTGCAACAACCGCCGTATATAGATTACAAAGAAAGAACATGAAAAGACAACAAAACACCCCTAGTGTCCGGACATGACCGTGTGTACTGTTTAGTGATTGCATAGAGGATAATGTCGTCGTTTTACGAGCTTGACGGGTTGATGATAATGTTAAAACAGAAGTTATAATCTAGGGCAAAAGCAGATCCGGAAGATTCAAAAGACAGAAACATCCTCCTCTGTGGTACACGTACGTCCTTTCCATACGGACGTCGTCGTAGGGTAAAATCGTCATTTCGGGGTATTTTCATGAGAAGGCAAGTTGTGATTGCTTACAAATTGGACTCCGGTGTCGTTGAGGATTCCGATGCCGGCGGAGGCGAAGTTAGCTCCGACGAGAAGCCTTTCTCCGGTCAGCCCCGGGCTGAGGTACGGCAATGTCGATGGCATACCCAGTTGCTCACCTGTTATATATATATCACAATTTAATATCGTAAATTATGTGTAAGTACGTTGTAATCATACCGAATTAAGAAAATTCCTTTTTCGGGGTTAGAAAAAAAAAACAAAAGTTAGCTTACTGATAATGTCGGGAATGTTGAGGCCATTAGAGAAACGTCCGGTGGCTCTGTGGTTCGGAAGATCGATACCGTAAGGGTAATTGTCGGCACGAGCCGTGGTGGCGAGGTAATTGTTGTTTCCGTTGTCGACCAGAGAGTCGCCGAAGACGAAGAAAGCCCTACATTTGACTTGCGGTGCAAGAAAAGTAACAATCACGAGTGATGAAACCAACAAGAACCCTAGTTGAAAACTTCCCATGATGTTAAAAAAATTAGTGCGGTTTAATTTTTAGGGTTTAAGGGTTGGAGGTTTTGAGATGACCAATAATGGAGGGGACAGAGAGAGAAGAAGTGTGATGGAGATGGATTGGTGAATAATGTGTGCATGGAGGGTGTCATATATATATATACACATGGACAAGCGTTTACACACGCGCGCGTATATATGTATATGTGTATAATATATTAGATATGCATGTATAAATGAATGTGCGTATATACGTATTTTTTATGGTTTATTTAACAGTGTATTGGCATGCCAACTTGACAAAGATTATATACACTCCATATATGGATTGGTCTTCTCCGTAGTTTGAGTGTGTTAAATGTGACCAAGTTGTGCTACTCTACTTCTGGTTATTTTATTTTATTTTTAAAAACTTTATTATATATAAATCTAAATCGAGATTCTATATACATATATCGAACACTACTGTTCGAGGTTTTAGAACTAATACTCAAAATTATCCCATTATACATATGTGTGTATATATGTAAGTGTACGTATTTGTTCGAAGATAATGAACCTTCGGTTATTCCTCGTTAAATGAATTATATTATGATACGTAATTAGTTCTAAAACAAATTAATTTACAAATATATTACAATTAATTTAGAAAAACGACAGCTTCCCGATCTGTTTTGTCTGTTCAACCATGCGAGTTCTCCTTCCATAACCACTAAAGGAGTCCACGTCGGTCCGAACAACATATATTCCGTACAAAATAATTTTTTACTTTTATTTTTTTACGTCTAATGTTGTATATTATAATGTTCTTTTATTTTCTTTGGTCTAAAATCATTTAAAAAAGAATTGCCAGAATTTACCTTGGAAATGAAATAAACAAAAGGAGAGTGCTCTTCTCATTTCGCAATTATTATTTATAGAGCGAATTTAATGTCACATTTAATTTGTGGGTTTCCAATTAAAATTTCTAATAATTGAATATAGACTATGGTTAGTAGACCGGAGGTAGTTCATATTTACCATTTTCTGTAATCTTTATTGCTGGAATTACAAGTTACACATGTTTTTAGTTACAACTTATACTTTTAGTACTACATATATAATTAACTATATACATGTAAATAAATGAAAATGATAAACATGTTCAAGAAGAGAGGATTTACTCTACTCTCCGGATAATGAATTCTAATATTTTTAAATATATATGCTCATCGATAATGTTCAGTTTTTTTTAATTTATTTTAATCTAATTACTAACGTTTAATAAATATACTCTAGAAATTCGAGCTTGGACTTCTGTATATATTATTATTATTATTATTGAAATCGATATAAAATATCGGTATTAATTATTGTATGGTTGTACCACCTTATAATGATATGTAAGACATTATTTCAAAATTTATTTTCCTTTGTTATTGTTGTGATTTGTGTAATTTTTTTTCTACCACATAATAATAAATGGAGTGAGCTGTAAGTGAAATTAAGAGATGTACCAACTCCACCAGCTCACTTCTCGAAAGAATACGACGAATTTCCCCCCAAATTCCATATGATGCATTTGTAAAAGTAAAATAAAATTTCGCATCCAACCAACTTTTTCAGGCTATTTAATTCTCCATTTACCCCTATTGAAATATATTCATTTCTTTTTTTAAAGATTTTTATAGTACTTTATTTCATTTTCTCAAGGTCTATATTTTAAAAAATCTAGATATTACATATAATGTTCTAATATCTTTCCGTTATTCTTGTATTTTATATGTAACGATCTTTTCGAAATATCAATCCGTAATATATATATCATGGTTCTACCTAAAACCTAAATGTTATTCTTGGACCTAGGCATGAAAATAAGTTGGGCCCAAAAGGCCTTTCTATGAGATTATAAGGGCCGTTAAAGGTCTTATAGGGCCGAAAATTAGGCCCAATATGAACTCGAATTTGTTTGGCTACGTGGAAGAACTGAACCTTTGCCGGTTTCCATGACGTCATCACAAGAAACATATGACGTTGACGGAATCAGACGCCTTAAATTGTCTACCACATGGAGTGCCATGTCATCAATCGCAGGACACGATCGTGCCATGTCATCATCCACATAAGCGACATACTGTCGGCCGGATTTCATATTACAGTTGTTAAAAAAAACTATAATCGAATAAAATAATCATAATATATATTTACATATATTATACGTGGACTAGAGGACGAATATCAATTTGGGGATTGCAAATAGTCCAAAGAACAATTTAATAATAATTTTCAATTCATTTTGACCGTCGGGGGTGTTTGTGTACCCCAGGGTTCGAGAATAGAAGGTTGCTGAACTTTTTTAAAAAGGAAGTTGATATAAAAATAGAAAAAAATAGATATATTTTTCTCAAATCTGAAAAGATTAAACTCCAAAATAAACAAATTTAAAGCACTTTTCAAACACGAAATTGCCGCCCTAAACAATTCAATTAAGAAGCCACACGGACATTTCGCAAAGAAAACGAAAAAGATAAATTAATTAATTCCATTTTCGCTGGTTCATGTGGGTATGTACGTTCTGAGATCACATTCAAAGTGTATATGCACCGTGCCATGCCATAACATACCATGCCATACCATGCCATGCCATGCCATGCCCCAAAATTAATGATATTCAATATTGGAACACCAAATTAAAGGACGCCACGTGTCATAAATGGCGCATACGAAGCAATACCCAGTTGAGAAACTTGGAGTCCAAAGAAAGAAAATATTACCTCAAAGCAAAGAAAACCATATACGCACGTACATATATATAGTGAACGAATTAATACCCGTGATTTTTTTAAATCCAATTTTAATTTATAATATGCACTGATATATTTATAAAATATAGCTACTTATATACACACACATTTTTTTTTTTAAAGTGAAACACAATTCAAGATACTAGATTACGTTCGATCATAAATTACATTAAATATTTCGCGAAACCGCAAAATCCAAATGATCTATCACTAAATGTCATTACAATAATATACTGGGAATTAGTTTTAGATAATGGTCCTCACTAACATGCAACCAAATTTGAATTTCTTTATTAGAGTTTTCACGCGCACACACATATGTATGTATATATATATAACTCTCTCTCTCTCTCTATATATATATATATATATGTGTGTGTGTGTGTGTGTGTGTGTTACATTATGTACATGTGTGATGGTTTAGAGAGAGAAATAATCGAAAGGAAGAAAGAGAAAGAGATTGAAGGAGTGCCATAAAAGGGAAGAGAGTTTAGTTGGGTAGGTCTTGTTTTCGTCTCTTTCTTTGCTTCTCCTCCATTTCTCCTCCTTAATTAATTTCTTTTTACTAAACGATAATTACTTGTTTCCCTAATTTATTCTAATATTACATATATACGTTCACACACACACACACACCTATATATACACACTTGAGTATATTAATGTTTTTTTTCGAAATTTTTTATTTAATCACTGGATGATCTCCAATTGAATGTGTGTGTATAAATATACACGAACACGTATAAGGAGCATATGCAGGGCAGGGCAATGATGATCTCGATCGTCTTCTTGAAAGTCTCGCATCGCTTTTCCTTCTCCCCGTTTCTGTATTTAACTTCATAATTTCCTCTCCACCCACCTCTCTTCTCCCCCATTTAACACTCCAGAGAGAGAGAGAGAGAGAGAGGTCACTTTCTTTGCTCATTTTCTCGCGCCCACTGTCAATTCATCCAAGAGAGAGAGAGAGAGAGAGAGAGAAGAGATCGATAAGATCTGGGAATTATTGATTATAATTTTATGGGTTTTCGGTTTCTTGATCTCTTTCCGTTTCTTGAAATGGTCCCAATCTCCAGTCGTCTCTCTGGGCACTGAAAGTGATAAAACAACAAAGATGGAAGTTTTTCAAACGAAGGCGAGATCGATCCACCCCAACCATGTCACCCAACAAGTTGTTCATCATCTTCTTCTTCTCCTTCTTCTTGCCCTAAGCCTCTTCGTCAATCAGAAGGTTGCTTGCGTATCTGCTCTGAACTACACAAAGTACCGACACGTTAGTAGTCTAAGACTTGAGAGGATTCAGAAGCACTTGAACAACATCAACAAGCCTCCTGTCTTAACCATTCAGGTACGCTTAATCATCCATATATATATATATATATATCAAACTTGCAAACTTAGTGACTATATATATATATATATATATATAAAATGATGATTTGATTATGTGATAGTGAAAATAACTTGGTGCAGAGTGCAGATGGAGACATTATAGATTGTGTGCATAAGAGAAAGCAACCTGCTTTGGATCACCCACTCCTAAAGAATCACAGGATTCAGGTTAATTTTGGACCGATCGATCACTCTCAATTCTCTAACAACATTATAATTAGCCTGTATATATATTCACATCCCGAAAGTCCTTTTACACAATGAAACGGACGGTCCAATTTGAAATCATCATCATTGTCGTGTTATGAATGATTATTCATGCAATAACAACACAATATGTAGAAAGGGCCGTCAAAATGGCCGAAGAAGAAGATGAGAGGAAAGGGGGCAGGCGACGTAGGAGGAGATTTATTGGGAGGTGCATGGCAAATATGGCACGTGAACGGGACAAGGTGCCCAAAGGGTACGGTCCCGATACGACGCAGCACACTTCAGGATGTCCTGAGAGCCGAGTCTTTGTTTGACTTTGGCAAGAAGACCCGGAGAGTTGACCTCAATCGACGGTCAGATATCCCCGACGTCATCGGCAGTAATGGACACGAGGTACATCTGATCTCATCTTTCTAATGGCTCGGCTTTAAATGAAAACATTATCTTACTTAATAAGCACGTTAGCTCGTCCGCCGATATATGTAGTAGCGCATGCATATATATATATATATATATATATATGTATATGTAAGGGTATATGTGTAAATGCGTATGTAGATGTTTGATAGCTTTTAATGTACGGTCACATCATATTAAATATTGAAAAGACGGAATCTTTATTAAAATGCAAGAATAAAGTTACCATGGGCATTATACACAACGATCGTAATATGTATCATTATAATAATTACCAAACAAAATATGTATTTGTGTGTGTGTGTGTGGGGGGGGGGGGGCAGGCATATCGAAATATTTATATATATATATATATATGAAATATATATATATATATATATAAAACAAACATGATAAGTTAGTGTTTGTGTTTGAAAGAGACCAAATAATTGATGTGGGCACTTACTTATTCATATGAGTTTTAAAGAAAATGATCATGAAAAAAAAAACGCTTACCCAACATGTTCGAATTCACTCCCCAAGGCACTCCCGATCTCAACAGCATTGAAGCCGGTTGGCAGGTACGCCCTCCTTCTTTTCCACTATTTTCTATTTGACCCCGAATAAAAAAATGTTTCAGAAAACCCCCCGAGTTAAACCTATGATTTTTGGAATTGGAATGTTATATTAATGGAAAAACATGTATATGTATATACTTTTTTCTAAAGCCTTGATCATTCTACTAGTAGGTCAGTCCGGAGCTGTATGGTGACAGCAGGCCCAGATTGTTCACTTATTGGACGGTATATGCTTTCTTCTATTCCTCTTTATCTACTAAATTTGTTTTGTTTATATTCCAATCAATAATTCTCCATCTATTGCAAAAATTATATATACATATATATATGTATATGTTATCGACGTGATTAAACATTACCCGTTGGGTAAGAATGCTGCATGTATTTTTTATGTGCATATTGACACGTTTAGAATTTGATTAGTTTAACTTATACAAATAAATAGATGAGTAAATATAAGTTATTTGATCATATAAAGATCTTTAAATTTTCGATAACAAACAAAAAAATGATAATAATAGCATTGAAGCCTTTTTCTTCTTAAATGCAATGTCACTCGAAGTTAAAGCGAGTAGACGAGGATCATCAATAGGGTTTGGCGTGGCATTCATTTGTTACATTAATTAATAACACACACACATACACACACATATATATCATATCCTTCTGGCTGTTATGGTAATTTGAAATTGTTTTTCTCTTACAAGAATCAAACTTGATAATTTATTTGATTATGACTGCAGAGAGGTGTAATTTAAATTGAATATATGGAAATGTATATTTCAGAGTGATTCATATCAAGCGACAGGGTGCTACAACCTTCTGTGTGCTGGGTTTATACAAACTAATAACAGGATCGCCATTGGAGCTGCCATTTCTCCAATCTCCACCTTCAAAGGCAACCAATTCGACATCACCATCCTCATCTGGAAGGTACACACACACACATGTATACACATGCCTTTATATTCCCGTGTGCATGTATGTATATAATAATTATAATTTGGTTATTAAAGGATCCAAAGCTTGGGAACTGGTGGCTGGGATTCGGAGACAATACATTGGTGGGATATTGGCCGTCGGAGCTATTCACGCGCTTAAGCGGACACGCAACGATGGTGGAGTGGGGGGGAGAGGTCGTGAACTCACGCGCCACCGGGAGACACACCACGACGCAGATGGGGTCTGGCCACTTCGCGGTGGAAGGCTTCGAGAAAGCATCCTACTTCCGAAACCTTGAGACCGTCGATCCCGACAACACGCTCGTCCCTGTCCGGAGCATTCAGACACTGTCCGAGAACTCAAACTGTTACAACATCCAGAGCTTCTATAGTAATGACTGGGGCACTTATTTTTACTATGGTGGACCTGGGTTTAACCCTAAGTGCACTTAATCCGAAAAAAAAAATCGATTTTTATGGATTGCACAGTTTTTGTTCGGACACAAACAATATTACAGACAGAACAACAAAACCCACAGCTCCAAACATATAAATAAAAAGGTCATTTGGTTGTGCCTGTAAACCTACATTCGAGAGTCTTTTTTCGGCGAAAATTCGTGTCAGCATATGAAGCAGATGGCCCTTGTTCTTGTCGTGTCGCGGTCTTCTAGGCCTTTCATGAACCATCTGATCGCGAGGTGCTCGGAACCATACGTCATGAACGATGCTAAAACCATCGCTCCAGCTACCATCAGACCTAGCCTGCTCAAACAGGAGAATCAAAAAGCCATTTCATGTCATGACCAGCAATTCTTCTCATAGGAAGGATCCAATAACGAGATAGGAATATTCATCTCCACGGATGTTTATATAAAGGAGATGAATCGCGGTGAAATAACGTAGGGGTTTTTGTTAATGAGCTTGAAATTACCTCAAAAACAAAGCGCTGATCCCTAAAATGTATGGTAGAGAAACGGCAGCAATGGCCAAAAATACCATCCCTAATCCGTAGTACCAAGTAGTCACGTCGCAAGACTGACCTGCACGCTGATGACCTGTCCGAGACATCAAAGGAAATATAACTAGTATATCGAGGGAGAGACAGAACAAGATGTTGCAAAGACAATTCTCGAGTCCATAGAAAACTTTTCCGCTACCTTTTCCGGAATCATCCAAGGAAGATTCTGTTTGAGATGAAAGAGACCCTGTTTGAGTTGCGATTCTCTTGCCATACTGGTGTACCAAAAGAAGGAAGCCGCCGAATAAAAGGAAGAAGAGAGTAAAGGTCCACTCGTAAAGCAAAACCAGACCAGTCAATGGCATGATCTGCCTTGGCACGATTGCAAAGGAAAATCCGATAGATGTCAGAACAGCTACAAAACATACTACGACCGAGACTGCCCCCAACCATTGCGGAACCTTTGAGTGTGCCCCATTGTGAAGCTGCATAAATCAGATGCAACAATTAAGCTGTAACATTACATCCAAGTTTTTGAACAATTAAGTAGAGACACAAAGAACACATAAAGAGAACAATATGACAGAGCAATCTGCTTAAAGGAACTAACTTGATAGTTGGAATTCATGGATGACAATGTAGATACACCACTATAACCAAGTGTTCCATTAGATCTGATTCTGTAATAAAGATGTCTGATCTGATTGCAAACTGAGCTACGGCACAACGATCCCAAGAACTCACGTCCCTGCAATAAAAAAATCACATAACTATGATCAGAAAAGGTGAATGAAGCAGAGATTAAGGCAAAGGGTAGACACAATATGTAAAAGTCTGACCTCGGATGAAAATCGATAAAAGCAGATCAAGAGTGTACAAAGGGGTAACAAGAAAAGGAGCTTGATGGCGAGTTCGTCCTTTGGATTTTTGCCACCTCCGGTTCCAGGAAGAGACTCCTCAAGCCTTACTCTGATGCTCTGAAATTGTCACCAGTGAAATCAAACTCGAGCAATCCATTCACTCAAAAGCCACCTCAAGATTTACCCCTAATAGAAAAGCAATAACATCTCAGAATATGTAAAAGCCTTAGAGAGGAAGACCTACCTGCCAAGCATCAACAGGCTTCACGAGCCAAGCTGTCCACCAGTCCCAAGGCTTAAGAGGGCCTAGCGTGTAGTGAATAACATGAAGCTTACTGTCATCCACCATCCACTGCAGAGAGAGAGAGAGAGAGAGAGAGAGAGAGAGAGAGAGAGAGAGAGAGAGAGAGTATAAGATTCAAGAACCAAGACAGTTCAAGAAAAAGACCAAAGATATCCTAAACTAATCACAATCAGATATAAACATCAAACTTAAGTAATGCCTTATTTCCTAGTTTGACATACGAGATTTCAACAAGCATTACTGTTACTTTAGATAAAAAAACTGATAATTAGCGTATGGAATTTAATTTTCTTTAACCAGGAAAGAGGTAAATACCTTGTTAGCAAGCATGTAAAGACCAACATCTGCATTGTATAACGTAGAAAGCCTCTCCATCTGAGGAACCGGTCTAGTTTTTAAATCTTCGAGGGATACACTAGGATCGAAAACACGAGCATTAGGAAAGTCTGGATAGTACGAATTCAAGAAGCCCTGGTCTCCCCCTGTGTAAGATGACAAAGTCTTCACTTGTCTCATCATGTCATTGAAAAGAGCTTCGGATGGTTCCACAACCATGACTCCAGAGTTCAGTCTCTCCGAGTGCTTTAGGTTGGCACAAAACTTTGAACACTTAAATAGATCCTCAATGTTCTTTACCACAATAGTATCCGCATCAAGATACACAACTGCAGCAGCAAATAGATAGACAAGAAAAATCATCAAATTTCACAACAAAGGATGTAAGTGCACAAGGCAGAAAGAAAGAGATTGAAACTCAAGTCATCCATGGAATGGCTCCTTGACCTGAACTCTTGAGAAACAAGAAGCAAACGACTCTTATAAGCATTAACTAAGTTGATCTCGCTATACATCCCTCAGAACATCATTTACCACATACAACAAATAATTAATAAATTAAACAGCATCAGTTCCTGTTCAATTTGTTCGACGAAAAATACATGACAAAATTTCTGCTTGTGATTTCTCAAACACCCAATTCAGGAGAAAACCAGAAACAGTAACTGTATCCATTTTCACCGGTTTCTTAAACGACAGATTGCGGAACACCAAAGCATTACCTTTTGTGTACTCAGTCATGTTGAAAATTTTCAGCTTCGTGTAGACACCCCAGAACCTCTTCGGATGAACTTGATTCGGATTTTCCAGTAAACTAATCTTCTCTACTTTCCATCCATCTGCCTGCAGAATCAAACACATGGCCTTCATTTACAAGATGCAACCAGTGGGGAACAGATTCGATCCAAGTTCCATGGGAAAAAACCCCGCAGCAAACTCAATCCATGGAGAAATAGCTCCATCAACAATGGACCCCGGACACTTGATGAATAATACAGTCAAATGAGTTCCCCAGGAGACACATACTTAGTTCAACCAAGACATAAACCTACATCCATTCTCTTACACCTTTAGTTCTGAACCGAGATTCGAAGGCTAGATGATCGATGGAGAACTTAGGTAAAACAAGTAAGATCCTTTCAGCAGAAGAGAGGTGTTCCATAGCTTAAAATTTAAAATTTTGAGATGCACCCGTAATTTTCACCGCTCAATCACACTATCTCAATCCATTTGAAAGCAAAAAAAGAAAATTCAATGAGAAAGTGAGAGTTCAAGGATCGAGCAGGTGAGAGAAACGCAAAGGAAAGACTTGTTAGATCTTCAGACTTCGAGAAATGGAAAAAGTTCTCTTTGGAACCAAACATAAGCGTGGAAGAAGAGAATCCACAAACCTTGAGTAGCTTCTTAGAGTAATCAGAGACGCCATCAGAGACCAAAACGACCATATCCTTCTTGGATCCAGTGTCCCGAATCGATTTCCCCAATACCCTAACTCCCAATAGGAACTCATCTCCATACAGAAGCGTCACGTAAGCTTGCTTAGTTGATTGGGATCCAACCGAAACCCCGAACTGAGTTGACAAAAGCGCGATCGAAATTAGGAAGACCCAGAAACTCGGTTTGAGTCTCACCATAATTCGGATCTATTACTTAAGGTGTTTGGATTCACAGATTTTCTCGAGAGAATTTGTGTGAGATTTTCTCGAGAAAAAAAGCCGTGTCTGTGCGTGTGTATATATAAACGTTGAAGAGAGTTTGAAATTTCTTCACTTCGATCTCTCCGTATCTCTTCTGTGTTGGCTTCATGACTTACCTCGTCATTCCACGCCGTCGTTTTAGAAACCGGAAAATTATAATATCCTACGGTTAAGCCCACCGATATATATTTCTTCAACCAATGAAAAGTCGACACGTATTTATTTCTTCCCGAATGTCATCTTCCTTCCCTTTTCTTTTTTGCAGAGAAGATATTTTTGTAAACCAAGAAAAGATTCTAACATGAGATGTGAGGCAGTCTTTATACAAGGTTAAAGATAATGTGTGTACATGATATTTTATTATTATAAGCAGACAGCAACAACTCAAATGACGCATACAGAGATCAATATAAGAAAGACCCCGACAGAGAAAAAAATGAATTATCGATCGATATCAATCCGAAAGACGTCTTTGGAACGTGCAGTTACAGACGCAGTTTAGAACTGTCTGCATCTGTAAGAACAAAAACTGCATTTACCTATGGATGGATCTGTAAGAAGATGATCCTAGCGGCACGAGAGAGATGAGACCAGCAAGGCACCAACTACTCTTCATGGTTTCAGGAGGAGGAGGATGAGGGCAGGAGAGCGATTTCTGGTGAATTTCCGGCATCAAGGAAGCTGCTTGACAATGGCTGCAACAAGAGAAACCAACCCGGATTAAAAAAAAAACAGAAACAATGAGGATTGGATATCATATCATATGTTAGTTTCAGTTGATGTTCCACCGTGAACATCACACACGTTAAACCTTGTAGCGGAAGATCAAGGTTTAAGGGTTTTGTTTTTGTATGTGAAAGCAGAAAGTTCACAAGTTCTGAATCATTTTAACATATGTTTCGATAATTTTCTACGTTGATGGCTGCAAAAACATACCTCAATGTATTCAGTTTCGGAGAGAAAGAAAGGTTCCTTCTCCGAAACACCACCGTTTTCATGAAGGAGTCTTTCCAGATCCTGCAATGCCACCCAGAGGAACCAAAATCACACAAACGTACAAAAAAATCTGAAACGGTCGAAAAATATGTCATGAATTTTGAAAAATCATATGAAATAATTTCCGGGTAGGTTAACCTTTCGAGTCAAGAGCTCAAACTCGAGCAGTTCCTCAGCGATCTTCTCAAGAACACGGCGGTTTTTCAGAAGCATTCCCTTTGCCCGTTGATAAGCTAAGTCGTATATCTGTGAAGAAACAAGAAAGCATCGTAAAGGGTCTCATATATATTTCAGTTTTGAACTGAGGTTTGAACCGAATTAAAGGGATATTTTGGCGACTGAAAGAGATGTAAAAGTTGAAGATATGTGGAATTCTATTGTGAACAAAACAAACAAACCTTTTCAACTTTAGCCGCCATTTCATATTCGTGATTGTTCCCCATGCTTAAAGCGGAGACCTGCCCCCAATCAAAATCAAATTAACCAAAGAGCATCACAGCTTATATACCACCCAGTCTGATGAATTCATCAGGCAAATCACAACACGTCAAGTCTCATGTCTTGAAAGAAAACATAAAACTTTTGTATGTACTGTTCTATACGATTCCCCCATTTTGGTTTCAAATGTTTCAGTTTCAGGTATGCCATCTAAAACTTCCGAGGGCATTATCTCTGATGTTCGGAAGATCTCTTTCAAGAAATCTAGTAGATATTAGGGTTTGCTTCGGGCTACAATGAAATTGAAGAACATGGTCCAAAAGGCAGATTTTGATACAATTTTCTGATGAAAGAAGTTTACCGCGTTATTGGCATAGTAGACAGCAGGGCTATCATCAGGTCCCCAGCCATATTGAAGCACCATACTTGTTGCTATCTGTTGCAAGCCACAAATGAAACAATCAAACAAGAAACATAAAACTATGAAAACAATGAAATATGGCAAAGGATGATATGATGGAGAAGGTGTACAACAAACAGAAACAGTTTACCTCCTGAGCTTGCTTTAGTTCTGAAGAAGAAAGATTATTTTCTTCTCCAAAGGGAAGAAGCATTTGCGATGCAATATGGGACCCAAAGCAGAAAACAAGTTTCTTTTCGAGATATGATCTGGGCTCTGCATTCCCACTTGTGGAGCCTCCGTTTGTGGCCTTAGTGATTTTTGTACACCCAATCCCCTGGAATTACAAAATTGCTCCACTAAGATCTATCATCTCAACTAATGTAAATACCCAAATGTATAGCTATTGAAGAATGTCATTCAAGAAAAATTCCAACCAGAACAAAGTCCCCTTAAACTTGCATGCATTTGACTTGTTACTTTTAGAATTAACACACAATATTACGTAGGTAGCAGTTTAACAGATGAAAACCATTTAAATAGTTCAAAGTTTTAATCGTTGCCCAAAAGAAAATTCAGGAGGGTGAGGACTAACCTGCCAAGAACAAGGTTCAAGCCAGAGATTATCCACAAGATCAAAATTTGGAATTAGAAGAGCAATGAGGCCACGGCCAGCTGCCCATACAGCATGCGGGAACTTTGTTTCCCTTGTCCACTGAAAATTAACCAAACTAAATGTGGTTGGTTACCACAATATGATATTGGAAGGCAAACAGATGAGAAATGAGTCCACCTCTAAAACCTACGTTTGTGAAATTTGACATGCTTTCTAAATTTCTTCATTTGACCAAGAAATATTACTGCTTCAAAACTTTTCCATGACAGTGTGTAAGAATAAAAAGTAAAATGATGGGTATATTAGATGCACCAGGAAGAAGAGATAGATTAGATGAGCATGATGACAGGAATAAAGAGCAGATTCTTAAGCTTGTTAGTATAATATGCCTTACATCGAGCGGAGGGTTTAGGAGTTCTATCCCATTGCTTATCTGACCATATGGTTCCATCAGATCAACCACATTCTCCAAATCTTCTTTTGTTAAGCTGAGTCCAAGATGATTCACGACCATTTTGCTCATTGTCTTCACAACTTTGGTTTTCCGGAACCACTGGGGCACCATATGGCTAAAAGTCTGTCCGGAGAAAAAGAAAATGTCAAACAATAGAAACAATAGAAATTGGGGCACCATAAATGACTGAAAATGAAAGGGTGAAGAACAGAATGGGGAAAATGATGCCAAATTGGGTTCCATTCATTCAGGAATCCACTCTTAAGGAGAAACAGGAGTTCTAAGCAAATCAGAAGAACCGTTGATGAATTCTTAAAGTGAAGAAACAAATATGAAGACAAAGGCATAATACTTACTGCAAACCAGCTAACGTAACCCAGAAGTTCATCTGTGTCAAGAAATTTGTTCCTGAAGGCACTACCTTCTAGAGCCATTGGAACAAGTTTTAGTTCTGTCGGGCGTAATAGAGCTGTCTTCTCGGCGACCTGTAGGAACTAAATGTGAGCACACCAACACAGTGGAACCAGAGAAAAAAGAAATAGGAAGAGAATCTGTGAGAAAGCGATCCAGGATAATACTTGCAACAGAAGCAACCCTCTAGTGCATCGTCACTAACCACAGAGCAAGGAGAATTAGAAAAACAGAGTACCTTTTTATGCTTTGCAGAGAACATAAATGATTCTAGCATTACTTAAAGTGACCAAAGTTTCTAGGTTTAACGACCTTTACCCTAAATAGCATGAGCAGACATTTACAAGATTATCTTAGATTCTCCATTTGTAAACAATCTCCGTTCTTGCCCATCTCCAATGGAGCAAGACAGAAAGATTTATTTGTATAGCTGGTTTGCCAAGCATTAACTTATCAGATAAGGAAGAAGCACAAGAGAATACAGCATCCACATGCAAGACATGACGAACCCAACGAATGTTGAAGGTAAGGAAGTCACATAAATGTACTAACATATCAGTCATAAAAGGAACAGTTGAAGATGGCATTGCTGCAGGGATTTCAGTTCATATATTCGAAACAACTTAAGATCACCTTTCGCCAATCCACCAGATCGATGAGTTCTCTGTCCATGTATTTCTCTGCAGCAATGTGCAAAATTCTCTCCCTCTCCATTTCAGTTGGACGCTGAAGATGAAATACCCTATCCATACGACCAGGCCGCCTTAAAGCCTCATCAATCTGCTTATGATTCCGTGTTGTGGCCATCAAAACAACGCCATCCTGCTTCTCAAAGCTGAATAAATACAAAATACAGATAAAGAAAGGAAATACAGTTAGAGAAGAAGGCATAAAGTGGAACAAAGACCAGACGAAAGGAAACAAAACACAGAACAAGAAGGCATGCTCTACAGTAGTTACCAATCTAGTCACATCAAAAGATCAAACTTTGAGCAACTGCGAAAGAATACTACAGCTTAATCTAAAATTTATGAAAGACGAAATTATAGCTTACCCATCAAGTTCAACAAGAAGCTGGTTAATGAAAGCTTCATGATCTTGCTGCTTTGTATGTATGAACTTCCCACGTACACCAGCAAAGAGGTCAAAATCCTCCACAAACAAAATTACAGGTGCCTAGGCATAACATTAAATTTTAGACAATAAGATGAAGCATTGAAATTTAATTCCACAGAAGAGACAGAACATAATAATCATGAAAACAAAGGACCAAAAGACAATGCAAGGCAACAGAACCAACCAAATCTCTAGCGGTTTGAAAGAGTTCCCTAACATTCGCCGCACTTTGACCAACCCATAATCCAGCCTCCAGTTCTTGAGCTTCAACATTAACAACAGGCACTCTTGCTTCTGCCGCGATAGCAAGAGCCAGTGACGTCTTTCCTGTTCCTCTCTCACCCACAATAAGAACTCCCTGCAACATGAATCAGCATAGTATAGGAATCAGAGCCACTTACATGGTGAAAGTGAGACTGCACATAAGATCAAGTTTGAAATTGTAAAGAGACAGACATACTCGAGGAGCACGGGCACCCATCTCCTGAAACGCCTTTGGGTTGTGTAAAAATGCTACAACCTCGTTGATTTCCTCTCTCATAGACTCAATACTAGCAAAGTCTTTCAATGGAATTGGTGGGTTTTTCACCCTCTTCATTCTGTCAAATGCAGTTTTGATGGGGTCAATGCCAGCCCTTCTCTCTTGTCTGATTCTCCTTTTTCTATAAGTAAAATATGAATTCTGCAGAACAAGCAAACAATCAACAAACGTGATAACTAAATAAGATTATATACTATATTACAGCTTACAGAAATTCGATAGTTCTAGAAAGATTTAAGGAAATACGGAGAAAAAGGGAAAGATGTGATACCACTCTCCAGAATTTTCTGACATTTGGATCTCGACGGAAGGGTCCATAGCCAAGTAGTCTTGGAACTTTTCTCTTTAAAAAGCGGAAAACATGATACAAGACAAACCCATAAATGAAGCTTCTAACGAGAAACCACAGGAACCATTGAAAGTCTTCTGTATCGCGGGACTTGAAGTTCAATTCCGCTTCAGATTGCCATTGCAAGTACCACGTCGTACCAACACTCTGATCTAGTTCCTCTGGCCATGCCATTCCCAGACGCAGCCTTATCTGTATCAGAATTTAAAGTCAAGAACCACAGATAATCTGTAGAAACACAAAAGGATCCAATAAACTAAATGGCAAACACAGTGAAAGTAGGATACCGGGTAAGGGATGATAAATTCAATAATGGGAAACATGACCACCATCATTATGTCGTCGTTTATATTCTTTATCTTCTCTAAAAGCCAATGTTTTGCAGTTGACACGATTTGAGTCTTCCATAGTCCACTAAGGACTCGAGAGACCACCCTTGTGACCACCAGAAACTGTTGTTGGATACTTAGCTCTGAGAAAGGTATCCACATGAGATGAACAGAAGTTGGAATTCCACAAGCAAGCATTTTCATGTACAAAGCATCAAATCCTCCGAAATCCTCAAACAGCATCTCATATTCCTGAAGCCATAGACGAGAGTTAGAAGCTTAATGCAAAAAACTCAAAAAAAAAGGGACATTCAAGTCATCGACCTTGATATCGACATAATACTCCTTGTCATCTCCTTTTAGGGCGACATACATTACAGCATAGTCATGCCTGATCCTTGCACTCTCTATCAGCTTCTTAGAAACTGCATATGGAACAGCCATTGGATCCATTTCCCACCGATCTTTGTCCTCATTATAACAAGTCTTTGAGACAACTCTATCTCGAGCCAGAAGAATTTGTTCCTTCAAGTAAAAATCATTAAACGATTGGTAAAATGATCGACGGAAGTGCACACACAAGTGTAAATAAAATTGTAGAACAAGGTCGCTGATAAACTGTATCATCTAAAGCGCCAGGTATCACATCTAGATTGCATGAAGATCAATCAGTTAAATACATACAATTAAAAAGCTGTGGAGACCAGAAAACTTGAGTTTCTTGATAGGCTTTTGTCTTTTCATGTGAAATGGAATTAGCTAAGAGGTAACTACTAGTTTTACATGAAAGCTTTAGTTACTTGATAAAAATCCTAAAAAATCTACCCAAGTACAAAGCCATCTTAAGTTGGCTTATCGAATTTTCACATTATTAAACTCAAAAATTACCTGTTTCTGCGCAATATACTCCTTACCAAAATCTGCATCTTCCAACAATTTCCTCTTCAAATCTGCCTTAGCTTCTGCTTGCCACTTTTTCCAACCATGGTGCAAATGAAGCTGGATGGCTTTAGGAACAACCACCTCCTTCTCTCCAAACAGCCATCTCATCTCAGCTTCTGGAAAACCCTTCACGACTTCGTCTTCTGGGGTTTTTACAACAAAAAGCTTTTCTTCACCAAACTTTCTCATACGTTTTCTAATACGATCTTGAAGATTTTTCTGTAGCTTTTTCGATTCCTCGAGGCGTTGTTTTATGCGTAGGGCAAAATCAACAGAATCACGTTCAAATAGGGGACCAGAATCATCTAGTTCCACAACATTAGGCAGTATCAGTTGTTCCAAGTGCTTTCGTTGTGTATCCTCTAGCTCCCGCTTAATTTCAGAACTTGAGAGTTTTGTAGCAGGACTTTTAGAGAGACTACAACCGGATAAAACGATCAACACTATCAGAGAAACAACAATATTTTCGTGGGGGAAATCATAAACCATAAGATACATGAATGTGTCAACAAAAGATAATACGTAAACTTCAGTTGAGATTACTATGCAGTAAACAAAACACAGGCCATCTTATTGTAAAGCTACCACTTTTAGCATCACATAAGTTTGCACCGCAAGATTGATAACAGGTGAATCATCAGAAGGACATTATACTGCTCTAGTCTTAAAGTAAACCGCATAAACCCATCAGTAGATATGTTACCTCTCAAGTTTCTTCTGCTTCATTTTACGGTTGAACGCTTTAACCAACTCTTCACATTCCCTCTCAATGAAAATAAGCTCCCTAATCCCGAAACTCAATGTCACCGTTTCTTTCTTCAAAATTGTATCATCAATCTCATCTATTATTTCCCATATCTTGCCGTACTGGCTTTCCATTATATCTACTCTCTCTTCCAATTTTTTCAGTCTCTCTTTCTCCCCTTTGGCCAACAATCTCTCACTCTCTTTCTTCACTTTTAAGGCCTCGTCTATAATTCCCGCAGCACGTCGCATTAACGCATCTTTCTCCTTTCTCAACCCCTTCACATCTCTATACATTCCACTCATGATCTCTTTCTGCAGCTTCTCATTATCTTCCTTCACCGCCTCCAAAGCCATTCCCACTTCAGCTACATCTCCATTTTCCCTTTTGACCTTCTCAATACTCTGCAGTAGACCAGATACTGTCTCCAACAACCTCCTCGTATAACCCGAAAACTCATGATCCACTCTTTTCAGAACAACCTCTTTTTCCCTCACTGTCTCTTTCTTGTTCTTCCATATCACATCACTAACAAAGGATATCGCCAGGGCGGGAGGTTGGAAGGAACGAATTGGTGAAAACCCAATTGCGATACAGAACAAGGCGTAAACTAGAGGTTTGGAGACGAATTGTATTACACTCTCCTTCGATTTCGCCCCACACCCGGATGAAGAAGCAAACCCATTTCCTGCTTCCAACAGCCTCGGCCATTCCGAGACCCCATTACTCGTGCCTGCGGGGTGCTTTGAACCCTTAGAAACCCCATAAAAGGCGAAAGGACCAAAACTACCTCTAACGGGCAGAATCTTCTTAGATTTCTCGGATTCCCTAGACCCCGATTTCCGAGTTTTGACCCGATATCTGGGCTTAAACCCTACAAAACTCGGGTTCAGATGCGGTGGAGAGCACTGCGTGGACAAGAGTGAGGTGATGGAAGAAGCTGAAACGAAGCCCATCGGAATACCGCCGAGGAATTCAAGTAGAGCGTGAAGGTGAAAACAAGATTAGGGTTAATGTCTCCATTTAAGGAGTCGAAGAGGATCTTGTCTGAGGTTTTCGCCGGAAAGTCGCCGGATTTCAAACTGCGACAGGCGAGGGAAGTGAGAGTGGGGAAGAGGGGATAAAAGAGAAGGGGCGAGTCAGGACTCAGGGATAAGCTAAGTATTTGTAATATGAATTTGTATTCGTTATTTGTTAACGCAGCGTTGCGTTAAGCTTTTTTTTGTGCAAGGTAAAAAAAAACAGCGTTACAATCTTACAAAAGTCTATATATAATATATTAGTATTACATAGAAAAACCTAAGGCAAATTTTTACTAATTTCAGTTTACCATCTCATAATGTGTTTTATTTATAGTTTGGTCCCATACTATTAAATCAATCGATTTACCCCGACATCACTTAACTCGTTCACCGCCAATTTCCTCATGCAGCAGAACGGCTAAACGTCTCGTCCACAGAGCTGAGATTCGCCACTTTGTTCTTCGAATACCTCTTCTTCTTCTTCTTCGTCTTCTTCTTCTTCTTCTTTGAGCTTCCTCCGCCATCGCAGCCACCGCACGTTATCGAGATCTCGCAGCCGAAAACGTTACCGAAACACGAAAACAACCCTTTCTTCCTCCTCTTTCCGGCATCTCCGTCGTCCCTCCGCCGCCTCCACCGTTTCCGAGTTCCTCCTTTCCCGCTCGACTCGCTTGTGTCCGTTGTCTCCTCCGCTGAAATGCTGGAGTCGGCGTTCTTGTACCGCTTCTCGACGTAGCTCGGCGTCGTCTCGCTCCTCCATCGCTCTAACCGGCGCTTCACTCCCTCTGTCGTGCCCTCGACGATCGAGCTCACCTCCGGAGGTTTTTGCCGGTTGTAGAGTCCCTGAGCTATCGCCGCCGCCACCACAGACGCCGACGGCCCGATATCCGAGCAACAAAGATCAGAACCGTTAACCATGCTGTCCGTACCACCATACCCTCCGCCGCCGGAAACCACCCCTGGTTTAACACCGTAGATGTCGTCTGTCGACGTCGTGAGATCTGTCTGGTCGCTGTGAGTGCGGCGGAGCACCATTCCGCCGCTGCCGCCGCCGCCCCCGTTCATGTCATGGATGCCCTTCTTATAACGGTGTCCACCATGGTTGCTTCCGTCGAAAACCTCGACGGAAAGCGGCATGCTCCGCTGGGTTCCGTCGAGAAGGGCGATGCCAAGGCGGAGGAGACCTTGAAGCCGGCCAGAGGGACGGCGGATTTGGAGGGTGACGAGCCTCATGTTGTTGTTTCCGTTTCCACCACCGTGGTTGAAGCCTGACCACGGAGCGAATAGATCGCTGAGGAGAACGTTGATGGATCCAACCAACGCGTCCTTGGCCCAAGCCGCCGCGTAAATCTCGATGACGATGGCCGATGCGTCAACGTTGAGGATCTTGTCGTTGACTCGGAAGACCAACTTCTCGTTCCAGATAGGGTTGGCTCGGTTGGTTTGGTCCACACGGGTCGTGAGCTTACGCATCGGGTCGGTGTTGATCCACGCCACAGCATACGTCTTCATATTACGTGACACGCTCGCTAGATCCTGAGCCGATATCATGTTTATCTCGAGGACCGGTAGCAATATTCTCGGCCGACCCATCTCGTCGGATCCGATATGTTCTTGTCGGATACGAATACTCTCGATCTAAATATACGTAGGAAGGAAACAGGAGTTGGAGACGACATAAGAGATGAGGAGGGTTTTGGCCGTTAATTCTGTTTTGATTTCATGTGAAAGGTCAGACGGTTGCAGGAGGAAAGAATCTAGAGAGATGGGGGCTTTGACCTTTATATGACTGCGAGAGTTTTGACGTGTTTCTTTTGCAATTTAAGAAGAGTAATGCTAGTCCATTGTTAAGACAAGGCGTGGATAGAGTGATCTTGTTGCAACGTATTTCTATTTTGGGAAACTAAGTTGTCCTTGCCCTTCTGTTTTTTTTGCTATTTTTAGCATATATTCCTACCTTACATTTGTATGCTGCGCGCGTTTGGTCATTTGTTTGTGTCATTTCGGATTCTTATATAAGTCATCAGCCCATACACGTCGCCGCCCTTTTAACTTTTGTCATCCTTGATGCGATGGTCGACATGCATGACTTCCGTACCTTTTTTTTTTATTGAACCAACAATAATAAAAAACAAAACAAAATAACTTAGCAGACGTTTAAATGTTTTGTAGAATCAAATAGTAAAACTCTAATGTTAACAAAGACCGATATATTTTTTTTATATTATTACTAAAATAAAGTTTTGGACTACATACACATACTAACAAAAATTATTTATCAGTAGTAGAGGTTGACGTTTCGGGAATCGGTTCGGATTAAAGATGAGAATGCATCGATTCGGTTTTTTCGGTTTTATAAAAATAGTACGAATCGATTTTTATATTATGTTCGATTCGGTTTTGGTTTAAAAAAAAGATTTACTTTAAAAATTTTCGTTTTTGTAGTATTTTTTAAAATTCGGTTTAATTCCGAAAAATTTAGTTTTCTAAAAATAGTATCATTCAGAAATTTAAAACTATTTGAATCATATAAATACCCTAATTTTTGGTTCGGTTTCCAAGAACCGAACTGAAACGCTCCCTCCTATGATTGGTACGAAAAAATCGATGTTATATTTTGACAACGTGGAGAGAGACGTAGGATGAATTTTAGTTTATTTCACATATAATTTTCGCCTCTATGAATTGGAGTTATACACAAGGAAAACAAACTCGGTTATTAACAGGATAATGGAATCAGATGCAGTATAAAAATCGAATAAAATGATTATTTTAAATTATAAAAAATAAAATTCGTAATGAAGAATAAAAATAACAGAAAATTCAAAATTTGATTTTAAAAAAGTTTTTTTACAAAAAAAATGAATCCCAATAGATATTGAATCGAACCGAATTTAATAAAAAATATTATAGTTTTTAAAACATAATTAACCCAAATGGAATATAATGGAATCTAAATTTTATACATGCGATTACGATATAAGTTAAAAGGAAAAATACAGTTGGGCCGGTTCTTGTAGGTGTTTTAGTTGGAGCTGGATCGGCCCACTATTTCAGAAAACCCTAGCAGCAAGCTAACCCTAATATAAACTCCTCACCAACGAAGATCATCGCTTCGCAGATTTGAAGAAGACCCGCAACAATGTCGAAGCGAGGTAAATCTGCTTCTCTGCAATCCTCTTCTGCATCGGTATATATGTGTTTGCTTCATGTGAGGTGGAATATCATGAACTTTGTCTTTTCCCTTCGACTTCACTGGATCGTCGAGTTCCTTTGTTTCTCTGTTCCAACTTGATTGATGCTCGAATTGTGGAACTCAGCTTGCGTTTCGAATGCGTAATTTGGCCATGATCTGTCTGGTATTTATGATAATCCTGGAAAATGATCTTCCACCTGGTTCTAGGGTTTTCGTCTTCTCTGCCTGTTTCACTATTCATGGCCATTTAACTCGTGAATCGAACTTGAAAATGACCTTCCACAAGCTCTAGGTTATTTGTCTTTTTATGCATCAATGTCCGAGTTTTATGCTGCAAGTGCAAGAGATATGTCAGATTTCTGATTTGCTGAGGTCAACTGTGTGTAGGACGAGGTGGTACATCTGGAAACAAGTTCAGGATGTCATTGGGTCTGCCAGTGGCAGGCCCAGTGAACTGTGCTGACAACACCGGAGCCAAGAACCTCTACATCATTTCCGTGAAAGGAATCAAGGGTCGGCTCAATCGTCTGCCATCTGCTTGTGTAGGCGATATGGTCATGGCCACTGTCAAGAAGGGGAAGCCCGACCTCCGGAAGAAGGTGTTGCCAGCTGTCATCGTCAGACAGCGTAAGCCGTGGCGCCGAAAGGATGGAGTCTATATGTACTTCGAAGGTAAACAATAACATCGAGGGTTTTATCATCTCATGACTTATATACCCTAACATATGCTCTAAATTGCCATTGGATCACTCAATATCTTTATTCGTTTGTGCTAATGCAGACAATGCCGGTGTGATTGTTAATCCAAAGGGTGAAATGAAAGGTACTTACCCTCTTCATATCTTGTTTGTTTAGAATAGTAATCATTCGCCTCACCTTTACTAGTAAAACACAGGCGATGAACTGCAATACAATCAGACTAGTCTGGATTGTGTTTGGACTTGGAGTTCAGTTTTGTTTGGTTTCCAGTTAAGAGAGTTGTGTCTGCTAAGATGAAGATATTCATGGCTATGTTACTGAGATTTTGGTGGGTGTGTGGAATAGGATCTGCTATTACCGGACCGATTGGAAAGGAGTGTGCTGATCTGTGGCCTCGGATCGCCAGTGCTGCCAATGCGATCGTTTAAACCACTTTTGATCTACTCTTCTATTGCCCTGTTTTGGTTTTGTATTTTACTAATATGTTACTGGAACTTTGTGTGGGTTATTTTAAAAGCATGAAAAGTAGCATAAACATGTTTTTTTCCAGTCATGTATTTAATTTATTTTAGTAGCAACGAGTTAAGGTTTTGGTGGGAAAACCATTGTTGAACAGAGATGCAGCGACCAGAGTTTTTGTTCCAAGGCAGAAAGCGCTGTCTTGCTTTTTTTTTTTTTGTCTGATTCTCTGTTCTTGTTCCTTCAGAAACCAGTCACACTCAAAGCCTCTATGCAGATGTGCTGTAGTTGTCTACATAAACCGTATTATAATGTTTTTGCTTTTCTTTTGCTACGTGGAAGCTGCAGCAAGGAAATACAGTTTCTGAATTTCGCAATTGGATTTAAAGTAACAATGAAAATTGAACCACAAGAGTAGAAGCATCGGTGCCGTTTCCATTTTACACAAAACAACTACGAGTTGTTTTAATCAACGAAAACGAAACGGCTCTTACACTCCAAACTGTTCAGCGGCAGTTTCCTCCTTTGTGAAGACTACAGATAATTGGAAGGGGCAGAGTTTGCTTGTGGAGCAAGAAAACTCACCATCTCTGAGCGAATAGTTCACATGAGATGAAGTTGTCAACTGAAGCAGAGGAATTACCGGAACCGAGGACAGGGACAAGATTGAAGACAGGTTCTTTCTTGAGTCCAGCGACTTGCCCTTGACCCATCTCAGCCAGCTGTCTGAATCCACTGGTGAATATGCCAGATAGCGTTTTTGCAGATAAGCCGAGGCTTGTCGAGAAGTATACTCTTAAGCTCTGCAACAATAAAAGACCGTAAATAGGTTTCGATCAGTGTAAAGGAGACAGTGTTATCTCAAAGAATTTCCCGGTTGATAAAATAGTTCGAGAATCTCACCATTGTGTCTTGCCAAGAGAAGGAATTTTCCAGCAGGGTTTTGTTCAGAAGATACAAGCAGAATCTTGATATGCTCTCCATGTGTTCTTCATCATCAGCTCTCTGAGGCAGCGGATGGATTTTCTTCGCTAGCTCGGTTGAGATGGACACAATGGCGGCACATATTTTTCCATCGACAATCTGTTTCTGTAAGCAATCATCATGCCACTTCTCTGGTTTATATCCCCAATAACTGCCTTCAGCTTCACAGGATTGATCTTGTCTGGTTTCTTCTCCTAGCTCCGTATCTTCTTCTACATATAGGACAGGTTTTATTTCAACAAGAGCCCTGCAAATCCCACAAGCAGAATGAGTTAGAGGAGAATGAAGCTGTTAAGGATAAAAAAACGTTCGCTCTTCTAATAGGTTGAAGCCACACTTGTCATGGCAAGGCCAACAGGAAATTTTGATCTTTGATATTTGGTTGAAACTAAATTTATTAAAAAGCGAAAGAAATAGTAAAATGGTACCTTTTGGGCAGATCTGGGATAAGGACATAAAGGAAGATAGGATCAAGAACATCAGGCATCTTCCCACGGACTTGACGGGCCGATCTTCCTTGATCCAAGAAAGCGACAAACTTGTTATGAAGCTCAAGCCTTTCAGATTGTGTCACACGTGCTGAACAGAACACGACAAAGGAAATGGCCGAAGAAGATATTGAGCAGTTGAAGGTCTCTGCTATTGCTTCGCTGTTTATCAAAGCTTGCTTCAGTTCAGCCATGGCACCTTCCTTGCAAAGAGTCATCGTCGGAGGGTCAAGCCCTAATTGCCCAGCCATGTGAAGGACACCCTTGTGCAAAGTGGCCTGAAGGTAGTAACTAAATAGTTAACCTACTGATAGTAACATAAAAAGTTGCAGACTTTTCAAGTATCTAACATCTTTTGGGGAGTAGGAGACAATCCAAATCAAGACAATCCCGGAATACTGGCTGATTTCTGAGGAAAGAGGAGCTTATACCTGACTATATGGCCCGATACAGCTAGGCGCCCAACAAGAAATACTCTGTACATGGAGAACTTTTTTGCTTTGGTCATTTCCAACTAAAACCTCAACGTATGCTTTTCCAAGACCTGCTTGTATTAAAGGAAGTTCAACTGTACTACGAGAGGGAACACCGAAAAGGCACTTCTCCTGGGTGATAAACTTCACGTATGTCTCATTCGCTACTGAAAACTGGCCCATATCAGAAATATATAGATGGATGTACAAGACATGCTTCCAATCTAGACAACATTTCAAAAGCTGAGACTCAATTTCCTCAAGAACAGTCTCTAGATCTTCTTGCAGGCCTGTGAAAGGAAGGGAGAAGCTGAAATCAGAGTCAACTATAAGCTTTGGCAGAAACAACGCAGACAGAATCCGAATATACCTGATAAAGATTCAGACAAATCTTCCAACCAGCAGCAAATGGACAATGTGTTGTCCTTTTCAGACTTTGAAATACGGAGTCTATCTCTAGTACGCTCAACCAAATCGCTTATTCCATTATCAGGTTGGTGTGTAGTTTCCGATATGCAAGGGCAGAATTCTTCTTGTACCTCAAACACTACATCCGATTTGTGCTCAGGGGAATTAGATACCGATGTCTCTTTCTTCTCCAAATGAAATTTTGAGGGATGAAGTACTCCCACAGGGGCTATGGAATCTGGAGAGTGTAGTACAACTTGAAATTCATCGAGCACAATTCTTGCTTTCTGAAAATGAAAACACTCAAAAACTATTGATAAAGGAACGCCCTAACCGGTAACTGAGATGATTCGATATAAAGAAAAGCCTAAGCTGGCCATAGAACATACAGTGAAAAGCGGACAATCAAGTGTCAGGGTTTCATACTCCCCTCCTTCCCCACAGACATTTATGCCATATAATCTGAAAAAGAAATCAAACAAAAGGAGAAAATAAAGAGATGCATTGAGGCTTAGAATAACCACAAAAAAAAAAAATTATGCTTTCTAGAAAGAAAAGGTATGATAGATAACAGTGGCATACTCTTTTAACTTCAGAAGATATGGTTCCATGTATGATATATCCTTTCCTAAATGCTTGGCTGGGTCTAAACCTATGGCTGCCACCTTTCGACAATAATGAACAAATACCACAATATTAGCAACTGTATTCAGAAATCTGCCCGAACAAATACTGAATTATAAGAACATGTCTATTTCAAAAAAAAAATTATTCATTGAAACTTCAATGAATATGTCTGTTTCCCGGCATATCCAGACAGCAGAACATTGTACAGTAAAGCAGAAATAAAGTACACAAATACAAAGACCAAGGAGCTAAGGAGGAAAACAAAGGTCTAAAAGATATAACAAGCCTTACCTTGACTAAGATAGCGTTTATCTCATTTGTTATCTTCAAGCAACAAAAACAGATGAAAACTTTAGAATCAAAAAGAGAATAGATATATAAATTTTTATTGACAAATACGGTTGAATCCTCGGTTTACCATTTCTCGGAGAAGCAAAGTCTGATCTTGTTTCCACAAAAATGCCAAAGAAACAAGCCCTAACCTTGAACAAACACTTTCTACCCTCAGCCTTTGATAGTCCGATGCAATTGCACCAGATGACACCGCTGTGATGGAAGGGATCTGTCTTTTGACTTCTTTCAACAACACAAACATATCTTCCACTTCATCGTTTGGGGTCAGTTGATAATTAAGTTTGTGATGCCTGAAAATTCCGTTGAAAGTCGTTAGAAAGAACAAAAAACAGGAAACACTGACCAGATCGTCTACTAAACGGGACACAAATCAACTTTCAGACAAGATTGTCGAAAGTAGAAATGAACGATTAGGGGGAAAACCTCAAGCAGAGTCGAGGGGTACTTCTGGTCCGAAGATCTCACCTGGTGGATCCTCGGATTCTCCGTCTGAACAAGGGCACTCCCATGCATTCTGCATAACTCACAATTATCTGATGACCTACCTGCAGAAAACCATTCCAACAAAAGTGAATTAAAATACTTAAACCAAACCAGAACCAAGATTCCAATTTCCCCAAGCTTGTTCACCTGTTTTGTTTTTTCCTTCAGACAACAGTTGATTTTATCTCATGAATCAAGAGCCAGCGAGAAGGGCCGACCTAGCTCGGCGGTAAAACCATTTACCGTGAGGTCTGAGGTTGCGGGTTCGAATCAGCCTCTCTACATAAATGTAGGGGTAAGGCTGCCTAGTATATTCCCTTCCCCAGTACCCCCACTAGATGGGGATACGAACTGGATTGGTCCTTTTTTAATCAAGAGCCAGCGACCAGACATATGATTACAAGTTTTGGGATGATAGCTCACAAATGTAACTCAAGCCATCTCAAGTACTAGAAAATTCCAACAAGTGCTTACTGGTAATTACCATCACACAAAGGACCAAGACAAGCTAATAAACCAGCTTCTATTCAAGCCCTTTCTCGAACATGAACGCAGATTCAAGACATATACAAATTTCCAGTTCCAGTTTACTTTAAGCAAAAAAAAAGGTACATAAGATGTAGGAAATCGAAAACCCCTCCAATGCCCAAGCTAATACATTATCATGAGGAAAGGAGACTTTTTCGAATTGCTTACATTCCTAACTTTCATTCAAAAAAAAAAAAGTTTTAGTCTCTCGATCAAACACAAGATCAGGAACATAGACAGAACCAAAAGAGATGTAGGAACGGCAACTTACAGTTTGATACATATAGCTGTCCAATTCATCGACTGAATCATCAACCGGTAACAAATTCGCCAACGCAACGATCTGCCAAAACACGAATCGAACTATCAACCAGAATGCATTGATGGCAATTTCAGAACTAACGAAAAAAAACATTAATACCCAGAAAAATCCAATCTACTGAAAACAATTCGACGTGAAAAAAAGAACCCAGATTCGAATCGGTGAAAGGTCAAACACTGTGATAACAACAAGGGAAGCAAAAAGAAGACTGATTTTTCCTTCGTTTTCCGAGGAACCAAACAGATCCGATGAGAGATGAAATGAAATATCACCTCGTGACCGTACTCGATGCATTTCATCATGGCGTAGCAGCTGTCTTTGCCGCCACTGACTAACGCCACCACCTTCATCTCTCTCTCTCTCTCTCTCTCTCTCTGCGGCGAGGTTTATGTATTGGAGCACAACTCGACTGAGTTCGGCGACTTAAACTACTTTAAATTTAAGAAGAATCTGATGTGAACTTTTTACTATTGCTGAATTGGCCCCTACAGTTTTGTACTTTTTCTATTTTATTCTATGAATCTTTGAACGTACGTTTTCGTCCAAATCCATATGTCACGTGACCGTGTATGTACATATATATAGAAATTCTTACGAGTTCAAACCATAGAATACGAAGAAATTCCGTTCTTCTTTTGTTATTTTTTTTAATTAAATGTTAAATTCTATGATCCCTATTTGTTAATAGACATTAATTACATTATCATCCTTATAGATTCATTTTTGTTCATAATAATAATAGTAACAATATTAAAACCTACTTTAACAAAAAAAAAACAATATTAAAACCTATAAATATAATGAATGACTTAAGGGTGAGTAAAAACGAAGAGCAGAAGAAGAGACCATTACGCGAAGTGGGAGCCTTTGCGTTAGGTGTACAATAATTAATGATAACCCACATTTTAAACGTGCTAAATTATTGCATACACTCTTTGTCATTGGATCTCTCACCTGTCCTTCGTTTCCGGTCGGTCGGAAGATTTTTTTTCACGTTGCATGCGTTCGTGACACAGACATTGTGCACGTGAGATGTATGATCATCCATGTTTGAATCATAAGCCACAAATATTCAGACAAGAAAACCCTAGAAAATATAACAAAACCCTAAAAACGAAATAAATAAACATGAGCCTAAACCCTTGTAAACAAATGGAATTCGTATACATTCGGCGTTAAGATGAGCAAACTCATAATAGAAAAGAACTCTATGGAGATCGGAGGAAAGTGAGGGTCGAAGTAGACAATCGTGCACCAGTGTTGGCAATCACAAATGGGGTTATGAACATTTACCTTGGATCCTCTATACGGAAGGGCGTAAAAGAGTGATTTGAGAGGGGAAAATGCGAAGGAGCGCTGATGAAGAAGAAGGTAATTAATATTTATTTAGCATTTTCTTTCTCTGTAGATAATGTGATTTATAGAACTATTTTATTTTCATGGCGATGCTAATCAAAAGCCAATTTTTTTTTTTATACATTGGGAACCCCGGCTGCTACCCTTTGGACGCGCTGACCGAATAAACTCAAAACCACACGCACGAGTCTGCAACACACGCGTGAGAGATAAATCAACCGTAACTGACAGACGATAGGTGAGCAGACAAGGAGTCGAACCGCTCACCTAGGAGTTCCCCATCAAAAGCCAAATTTATATCACATTACTTCAATATATATATTCAGCTAATGTATTTATTTTGAAACTTTACTAAATAGATAAATCGAATTATAAATTTTAATAAACTATAATTTTCTGGAATGATTATATAATCAGTGCTACGTACCAAAAAAAAAAGTGGGAATAAAAAAACGTAACATTTTTTACCTGGGTGAAAACGACATTACCTTTTTTAGATCCTCTCTCTGAGAGCGAGGGTAATGATGGGGTGTTTCCGTAAATAAATCCAACTTCACGTCTATTTTTACAGAACCAACGACAAAACCCCTCCAAAGACACCGCTTCTTTCTCCGGCCCTCGCATCCATCGACCGATCCCCTCCGCCGTCCGTACACTCTCATCTCCGACACTGTTTTTCTGCGCCGTCCTCTTCCTCGAAACCAAACTCTGTCGTGCTACGATTGAATCGATCTCCGAAACATCGATTCACCGAGAAAGGTTTCATCGGGGGGTTTTCCCGGCTAGCAGAATCGGCGTTTTGAGAGAGGATGCTGGGGTTTTCCGATGGAGGTGGAGGCGGTGCGGCAGATGATTTGGCTCAGCTTCAGTCCACTCTGAGGGCGATTGAACTTGCTTGCTCTTTCATTCAGGTCTCTTTTTCTTCATCTGCTTAAGTGTGTCCTTGTATCGCTCTGTTTGATTTGGACGAAAATGGGGGTAAACAAGCATTTATGGTTTTGTTTCTTCTTTCTGGTTATTGGGAAGATGGAGGAAAGGTATGTGTTGGCCTTTTGGTGACTTGAAATGGAAGGAACATAAGGACTGTGCATTTGTCCAGTTGCTTTACTCTCGGGTTTCTCGTTTCTCAGAGAATCCTTGCTAGGAGACCGTTTCCGTGATTTAAGAATTTGAACAAGAAAGCATTTCATTATAGTTTTCTCTTGTTATTATGTGCCTTTTTTTAAGGTTTATCTACCATGGAAGTAGCAAAAGTATGCTCCGCTTTATGTGGGATTGATGTTTTTCTCCTTTCCGGCAGGTAAATACTGATCCTGCTGCTGCAGTGGCAACCATATTAGCGTTTCATCAGTCACCACAGCCGTATAAGGCATGCCGATTTATTCTTGGTAAGCGCTAGCTCAAGTCTGGCTGTGGCTGCTCAAGTGGACATATGCTTTCTATCGTCTTGCACTTTGTGGGAAGTTAGCATTCACTTGATGTACTCAAAATATTGTATTTTTCCAGAAAATTCTCAGGTAGCAAACGCTAGGTTTCAAGCTGCTGCTGGTATCCGAGAGGCAGCTATCAGGGAATGGAGTTTTCTTGCTGCTGATGACAAAAGGAGTTTGATAAGGTCATCTCTGTTTTTATTTTGTTTTGGTGATGAATAAGAAACTTGGTTATTAGTTGAGTAGCGACTTTGATATATTTGGAGCTTTCCCTCGGGTGAAAAGAGTGTGATTTTGGTTGGTTCAATGTTAACTTGGACCCATGCTTTTGACTTGTGTATGCTTGAGATGTTGTCTCCATGACTGTGATACTTAATATTTGGTTCATGTCACACTTCATTTGTCTACTAATCGTGAGTATCTCACATAATATATATATATATATATGTATGTATGTAGGCTTTCTTATGAGAATTTTGTTGTCATACTGCTACTAAAAATTTTGAAATTTGCTAAATCTTTTTCTACAGCTTCTGTCTTAGCTATGTCATGCAGCGTGCTAGCTCATCAGAGGGATATGTGCTTTCAAAAGTATCTTCTGTGGCTGCGCAGCTGTTAAAAAGAGGGTGGTAAATGTTCTTCTTCGGATCTTGCAAATTATGAAGCATGAACATTAGACACTGGCATTAAGCTGTCATTTTGGGTTTGATCTTGTAAGATGGTGCAAGAAATGGCATTGTTGGTCGGACATACAGCCGATACATGCAAATCATTTGTGTTCTCTTGAAAAGCTGGTGGAGTACAAGAAAATCTTCGCGCATTAGCTTGAAGAATTTCAATAAAAAGTTTAATGCATTTGAGGCTTCTTTTGTCAACTTGAATATGCTAAAAGATATAATTCTTATAGGCTTGAGTTTGCTCTAGCGGAAAAGGAAGTCTTTTTCTATGAGGTATGTACATTCTATTGGCAATTCCTGTGTTCGTTTTCTTTTGATTATTTGAACCATATTTGGCTGCATGAATACTCTTTATCCCGATACCGGTTCTGCTGATTGCTCAAGTTGGGTACATTCTCTGCATTGAATGGAACATCCTATTTGGATTTGCATGCACCCATGTTGAGGGTTCGAAGAGCTTGTTGATTAGCAGCGGCACAATAATATTCTACCAAGTATGGATTTGATCTTATAGGGAATTATATTAATTGGGGAAGAGTTTTATTGCAGTTCATATCATGTCTTTTTGGAAAGTTGACTTGTTAGAATCAGGTTGATAGAGCAATAATAAACCCTTACAAATTTCATCTTGTTCTCTATGTTTAGCTAGATATGTCTTGATATGCCCACTGTACTGAAAAATGGAAATGGGGGTTTTTCCTAACTTTCACAATGTTAAGTTTATGCTTTTCAAATCATTTCTAGGATTGTGGTTTCTAGGATGGTATTGCTATTATTGTGAAGGATTGAAACGAGACGTCTGTAGTGGAGATTGGTTCAAAGTGTTCCTGGTGACATCTTTTCATGTTCTCTAATGACTGCTGTTCTACAGATCAAACAGGCTATACTCGGTTCTCGTGGCTTAGATGTGCAGTTCATCGGCATAAATTTTCTTGAATCCTTGGTATGATCCGTTTCATGGGCTCTGCAATTCAATGTGTTTTCTATCAACAGTTCTAACTTTTTCTTCAGGTATCTGAGTTTTCACCATCTACTTCAAGTGCCATGGGTCTCCCTAGGGAGTTTCATGAGCAGTGTCGGAAGTCTCTAGAGCAAGACTATTTGAAGGTGCTTTAGGATTCCATATGCTTCCAAACGTTGTGACATCTATCGTAATTTTCTCAGGAGAAATAGTCGCTTGTCAATAGGTTTTCATGATCTGTATTTTTCTTTTACCTTGTATGTTCCAAATCGCAGACATTCTATCGGTGGGCACAAGATGCTGCCTTTAGTCTCACAAACAAGATTATCGAATCTGATTCTGGTGTGCCCGAGGTTAGAGTTTGTAATGCTGCGCTGCGGCTCATGCATCAAATACTAAACTGGGATTTCCGCTACGGCAAACGAGGCACAAAGAACAGCATAAATGTATTCTCAGATGGATCTAGACTCGATAATACATCATCAAAAAGGACGGAGTGTGTAATAGTTCAGGTAGCAAATTGTAAACTGCAAGCTAATTATTGTTTTTTTTATCTATCCATGCACAAAGTTCGTGAACTTGTAGAAATTCAGAAAGCAAACGTGGAGTTGGGGGTAATGTATTGGTAGTTGCCTTCAGGCATTTTCTGTCTGTTTTAGTCTCAAGCATTCAGGATTCTTAGGATATTGTCCCTAGCATTTCAGAGTTCCTTGGTTCCCCTTTTTTTTCAAGTCACTTTTACCAACTGCCTCCATAGATTTCATCTCCAGTGATGCTCATTGCAGCCTGGTGCTTCATGGCGTGATGTTTTGCTTTCAAGTTCACATGTTGGGTGGCTGTTGAATTTATATTCATCGTTGAGGCAGAAGTTTGCTCTTGAAGGTTATTGGCTGGATTGTCCTCTTGCAGTCTCTGCTCGAAAATTTATCGTACAATTGTGCTCCTTGGCAGGAGAGATATTTCCTTCCGGTGCGTATTCCATGCTCGAATCGCACATGTTTTCTAAAATAAACTACCTAGAGAAGTGTTTATATGGAACATCAACTTTGCTCTGTCATCTAGTTAATGTTTACCAGTCGAGCAATGCATTGATATCTATGATCCTTTGCTCATTGAGGTATATATGCTATTGTGAGTGACTGGTTCAGTAATCTAGATAATGCGCAGATGCGAGAACAACACCTGCTCTTGTTGCTGTCAGGGATATTACCCTGGATTGATCCTCCGGATGTCATCTCAAAGGAGATTGAAAACGGAAAAAGTGGAAGGTCATCCATATTTTATTTTCTCCCTTCTGAATTCTGTATCTTTATCTATTTTTTTATGCTTGACATTTTGTCTTGTATTGTTTCTTTTCAGTGAGATGATTGATGGCTGCCGTGCATTGCTATCTGTTGCTACAGTTACTGCTCCTGTTGCTTTTGACCAACTCTTGAGATCTATAAGGTCTCTGATGCATGATCTTATTGCAGTTTGGTGAAGTCTACTGCCTTCTGGATTGTGTATGCATAAAGAAAATCTTTCTTTCTTCTTTTTTTTTTGGCAGGCCCTTTGGCACTCTTACGCTCTTATCTATGTTGATGGGTGAAGTTGTTAAAGTCCTAATGTCGAATAACAATGATGAGGAGAACTGGAGCTACGAGGCACGTGATATCTTGTTAGATACCTGGACAACCCTCCTTGCTGTGAGTTCTCTTAAGTTCAGATTTTTAACATATGCACGTAAATACATTGACATTTTACAGAATCCGTGTAGATGAAACTCCATTGTTGTATTTCTTTCATCTTGGGTTACTCGTGGCCTTTAACAGTTACTTATCCTGCTCTTCGTGCAATTAATGAGAACCTATCATACTCTTTGGCATCAATTTTAATATAAAACAAATTGTTTCCTTTAAGATACCAGTGGAACTATTTGACTAAGACTTGTGATGATTCTTGCCAGTCGATGGATGGTTCTGGAGGTAATGCATGGCTCCCACCTGAGGGGATGCACGCTGCAGCTAATCTCTTTTCATTGATTGTGGAATCTGAACTAAAAGGTGTTCCTTTTCTCAATCTATCGAGGACAACTTTTGTTGATTTTGAACTACTTTCCTTGTCCAATATATTAAATGGTGAATTTTTTGTTCTGTAGTGGCATCTGCCTCAGCTAAATCTGATGAAGATGATGCTTACTGTCAGGCTTCTGTATCTGGTGAGTGAAAGCTAAGATTTTCTTGTTCATGGTCTTTTTTGTGTCGCTGGTTTAAAAGCAGGGAATGCTCAACATTTAATACTTGTTTTTTGGCAGCCATGGATGAGAGACTAGGATCTTATGCTCTCATTGCAAGGGCAGCAGTTGATGCTACGATTTTATTGTTAGGACAACTTTTCGCTGAGCGTGTTGCACGACTCCACCAGGTGCTCATGATTCAACTTTCTTTATGTTCTATATCAGAGTAACTCGTTTGCATTTGCTATTTCGATACTTGCATTAGTTTCTTTCTTCTTTTATCTGTGCATTTTTAAGCTCTGGAAATGTAAATCAAATATTACATTACATTCATGCTCCTATTTGGTGTCCGTCCTACAGTCAAGTAACTTTATACTCATTAAAAATTTTAGGCATGAAGTTACTGTTGATGTTTTTCCTAAGCAAGTGAAGACCTCAATATATTTGTTTATTGATATAAAACCGGCTTGAATATCTGGGGCATAGCATAATGCGGTTGCAGGCTTTTTCAAAACTGCTGAGCTGTTTGTGAAACCTTTTAAGAAAGACTAAAAATGATTACCTAGAAACAAAGTTGGTTCATTTTCTAGTTATGTGTGAGCAATTTAGACAGCAATTCAGCTTAGGAAGCAAAGCATTTTGATCACAAAGCTTTTGCCATCTAAACTATATGGCAGACATATTTTGTTGGCTATTAAGGTAATCACTTTTTTCTGTGAGTTAACACTCTTTGGTGGAATTTGTTGTATTGGTTTACAAAATTTTCTGAGACTGTTACTATTTCTCACCTCATATTGCTTCTTGTAGGGTAGAGGCACTGTTGATCCAACTGAAACCCTGGAAGAACTCTACTCTTTGCTGCTAATAATTGGCCATGTACTTGCTGATGAAGGGGAAGGAGAAACAGCCCTGGTATCACTTTAACTTTCTTACATTTTCTCTGATCTGAGCCCAAGTTGTGCAAATTTAAAGGGAAAAAAGGAGCAAAGGAAGTAGCTGAATTTATCGCATTTTCGTTGTTAAGCTCTTGTATATACGTTTTGGTTTACAATATATGTTTCAAATATTCTGGACATTCTTGTTTCTGCCAAAGGAATTATTGTTGTTATCTGTTTGGGTAAATCAAGAATTGAATCACCCATCTCTGTTAATACCAAACACTTCAGTATTTTCTCTTTTTGAGTAAATTAATATTTTTTTATACCTCAGAAAATCAATGCCTAAATAGTTCTATGAGGCATTTTTGCCTCTTCCTTTTCTTTTCGTCCCATTATAAAAAATTCCCAATAGCAGTAACGGGTTTATATTGCCACCAACCAGGTTCCTGATGCCTTACAATCTCATTTTGTGGATGTTGTAGAGGCGGACAAGCACCCTGTGGTGGTACTCTCAAGGTAAATTTAGTTAGAAGGCTTTATACGCAGTTTATGCAATGCATACAGCATATAACATTAAAGGAAATTGATAGACTGCCAATCGACTTCCTTGTTAGTGTTTCGACCTTAACCGAAACCCAAGTATTCTGATGCTTGCCCAAGCATTATTAAAATGACTTCGATATCTCCTTTTTTAATGTTGCACTGGTAGTTATGCTGTAAAGTTTTCTCATAGATTTCAGGGAACTGCTGATATCATATTGAGAAATATAGCTAAAAGATAACTCTTTTCATTGAACGACACTGCATGCATTCATTTCTCATGCAGTGGCCTTGATTTCTCTTGTTTATTTACAGCACAATTCTAAAATTCGCGGAGCAATGTTTAGAAACTGAAATGAGGACATCGATCTTTAGTCCTCGGCTAATGGAGGTACAATTTCTGTTAACATTTGAGTATGGACAATTTTGACCTGTTTTGAATTCTCAGCTATGTGTTTGGAAAATTCATCTGTCAATTATTGAAAGAAGTGAGAGGAGGGAGTAGCTGCTTGGTTCAAATGATTTATTCCGATTATTATATGACATGGTTGTAGCCTTTGTTCCAGCCTTTTCTTCCACTTTCAGCTACATTGTGAGGTATTTTGAAACAACATAGCTGATCTACTTGATAATATATCATATTACTAAAAATGAAATGCGAGTTGGCTAGACCTTTGAATTTTGAATGAATGCACAATTACCTTTTGGGCATAACGATGTGACAATGCGAGACCTTATGTTTTGGTTAAGTTTGTTGTAAAATCCTTAATGGGACCCCTGGCTTGCGATTAATATTAGAGCTTTTGATGGTTTTCTGCACATGAAAAGAAGTTTGTATGTAGTGCATGCAGTTGCATCGGTGATCTGTCATACTTTTCTTTTTTATTTGGGTTACATGTCATGTCCTTCATACATCCATTTGTTGCCCGTTTGTACCTCCATCCTTTGTAGTAAATTTGAGAAAATTGTGTAGGCAGTCATATGGTTTCTTGCGAGATGGTCTTACACATACCTAATGCTTGTTGAGGATTGCAATTTGGGTAACAACCAGCTACAGTCACCACCCTCCAGGATATGTTTATTCAATTTTTTCAATGAACACAATCAAGGGAAGTTTGTACTTGACATTATTGTTCGAATCTCCTTGACATCACTCATGTCATACCCTGGCGAGAAGGATTTGCAGGTATAACTGATTTCTCTTTCTCATTCTGGAAACATTATTGGTTCAGATAATCATTACCTCTTTATGCATTGTTTTTATTGTGCAAAACCATTTCCTGTCTATGAGTGAAATATAAAGCTTAGTTGTGCTTGAAGAGGGTACAGACTGATGTAAGAATTTTTCTGGCCTTGTTTTCTATATGCAAACCATAATAATCAAAAGAACTTGATCTCAAAGATTGTGAACTGTCTTAATTTCATCTGTTCACAGCAATATATACATTTTATGAGCATATTCTGTGAGCATCGTTATCACTCTGGTTATATCTGTAAGAAAGCTTACATCCATTTCCTCAAGGATTAATGTTTTCTTATAATCTTTCCGTTTCTGCAGGAGCTAACATGTTTTCAGCTACTGCATGCACTTGTTCGACGAAGAAATATTTGTTTTCACCTTGTATCATTGGTGGGTACAATAACTTTCTAGGGTCAGAGATGCACTGGACTAATTGTAGCTGTTTCTATTACCACTCGTCTGTTACTTTTTATTGCTCTAATTTTATATATCGAAAATAGAAAATTCCAGATTCATTCAGTTTGCTTGTGCCATTTTCTTCCAGTTGAAAATGTCCTGTCCCTTGCTGAAGATTGTTGTAAATTAACATATTTTTAACTTCATTGAATAACTACAGGACTCTTGGCGTAGCCTAGCAAATGCCTTTGCAAATGACAAAACATTGTTTTTGCTAAATGGTGTTAATCAGGTACAAACTCCTAAGAATCATCATTATCTTCATGTCCTGATTCTTTACATTTTGATCGATTTTGCCTTTTCAGCGTTCACTTGCTCAAACTCTTGTTCTCTCTGCTTACGGGATGCGAAGTTCAGAAGCGTCGAATCAGTGAGTTACACATAATAAAACCTGTCTTTCCTCTTCTCTTTCACGTTATGACCTGCCAATAACCTTTCATCGCTTTTCTGTTTCCCAAAAGATACGTAAGGGACCTCATGGCTCATATGACAGTATATTTGGTAGAGTTGTCTAACAACAGTGAGCTGAAAAACCTTGCTCAACAACCCGATGTTATCATGTTGGTAAGGATGTCAACATATGCCAATCCATTTAGTTATAGCATATCTTTGTAAAATGAGATCGTTAATTATGTGTATAGGTGAGTTGTGTGTTAGAACGACTTCGTGGAGCAGCAGCTGCCACCGAACCTCGAACTCAAAGAGCTATCTATGAAATGGGATTGTCTGTGATGAACCCTATCCTTCGTCTTCTTGAGGCTTACAAAGACGAGGTATTATCAAGATGCCTGTTTCAGCTTGTGCTATACCGTTTATGTATTTTCTGAATCTGACTGTGTTATTTCTTCTAAAGAGTTGCACATTGTTCAATTTGTTCCACTATGCCTATATTTTTTTTTTCTAACAACACACTGGTTTTGGGTTATTGCTTAGTCTGTAGTGATATATCTGCTGCTCAAATTTGTTGTCGATTGGGTCGACGGACAATTATCATACCTTGAGGCTCACGAAACCACCGTGGTTATCAATTTCTGCATGAATCTTCTACAAATTTATTCGTCCCACAATATTGGAAAGGTAAGTTGTGCCACCAGTCTTCTGCACCACTCTGCGAAGTGATTGCGATTGCCCTAAAGAAAACAAGTGGAAAAATAATCACATTCTTACATGCCTTGTTTTCTCAGATTTCGCTGTCTCTCTCAAGTAGCTTGCTTAATGAGGCAAAGATCGAGAAATACAAGGATTTACGTGCTCTTCTTCAGCTTCTTTCCCATCTATGCTCAAAAGATATGGTAAATGTTCTTGCACGGACACACTGAGACGGAAAGATTTGGCTAGTGTTCCTATTTTGCTAAAAAGAGTTAACACCGATTACAGGTCGACTTTTCATCAGATAGCATTGAGACACAAAGCACAAATATATCTCAGGTAAAGTATGTCATAAATATGGTGAAAAAATCTGCAAGAATGCTTTTGTGATAGCAAAAAACTTGCAGGTGGTGTACTTTGGACTTCACATTATCACGCCGCTCATATCTTTGGAGCTCCTCAAATATCCGAAGCTTTGTTTCGATGTAAGTTCTGTTTCCATCTTTTGCAACCTATATCAGTGCTTATTGTAAGTCTTTTTTTCTTCTCCTCTAATGCCATCTTATTCCGCAGTATTTCTCGCTAATATCGCATATGCTGGAGGTCTACCCTGAAACACTCGCCCAACTCAACAATGAAGCATTTGCCCATGTACTCGGAACCCTAGACTTTGGTCTTCATCATCAGGTGACATTTTTTTATCTGCCTTTCCTCCGAAACCGGTCTTGTGTGCTTACCTTCCGATAGCTAGCAACCTAAAATAATTCCGTTCATGTGGGGCAAACAGGACGTCGATATAGTCACCATGTGTTTGAGAGCTCTTAAGGCTCTCTCTTCCTATCACTACAAAGAGACAAATGCCGGTAACACGGGCTTGGGTTCACATGTGGCGGGACATACAGATCCGAGTGGCAACTTCCACGAAGGAATTCTTGGCCGATTCCTTCGCTCATTGCTTCAGTTTCTTCTTTTCGAGGATTACAGGTAGTACATTCTCTCATTTTTTATATTTATTCTAACCTCAGAAAACATTTCATGTACACTTCTACCTGACACTTGTGGGCTTTACTGCTCTCTCTTGTTACAGTCCCGACCTAGTCAGTACAGCAGCGGATGCTCTGTTTCCACTTATTCTCTGTGAACAGAACCTTTACCAGGTCGGTATCCTGACTTGTCTGAAATCATCTGAATCGAATGTTCTAATTGTCTAGCCCCTGGTTCCTTCATTCGCGATGCGGAATTTATTATGTATAGAGAGATCAAACGATAGTGAAAAAAGGAAATGGAAAAGTTTCATAGGGAAGCATATAGCGTTCTGTATTATTTTAGGAATGTGGACTAAGGAGACGAAATGAATGGCAGAGGTTGGGCAACGAGCTGATAGAGAAACAGACGATAGGGGATTTCAAAACGAGGCTGGCAAATGCGCTTCAGGCGCTGACAACGTCCAACCAGCTATCATCGTGGTTGGACCGTGTCAACTACCAACGATTCAGGAAGAACCTCAACAACTTCCTCCTTGAAGTTCGCGGATTCCTTAGAACAAGGTAATAGAAGCATATATATATATGCACAATGAATGGATATCATCAGATGAACTCACGCTGTTTCAAAGATGTGATTCATTTCTGGGGTGTTATATTTTTTCATTCTGGGAATGAACCTGTTGTAGAGTGAGTTCCAAAGGTAGGTTCCTTTTGGGATTAATGGTTTTGTGAGTTTTCATCATATCGGTTTTGATTTCATTCGGCTCTTTACTTTTAAATTAACACTATCATTCACCTATTGTAACTATTCATATACATATGAGACGCGATTGCGGGATCCATTCCCAAGACTTTGGGTTTGGAGACTAAACTAGAAAGGATCTCAATGTTTTGCCGCGTGATTGGATCACATGCGGATTATATAGTAGAACTATATACGTGAAGCCAAACAGTAACTAGCGTATGCGTTTTGAGAAATTTGTCTCCAAAACCACAATAATGATATAACCATCACATGACGGAAGGAAGTCTGATGATTATTATTATTCCCAACTATGGTACATATACACTAAAAATGGGTACAATTTCTGCAAACGTTCACTTGTGCAGAACGCTCGGCTGCTTCGCTTTCTTACGGCTGTGATGCTGCAAATATCGGCAAAAACCCACAAATACTCAGTTCAATGGATTCGAATGAGAGCGGAAACAGGAGAGAGGTGTTGGTTAACCTTCTGTCTTTCCAGAGCGTTGTAATCTATCCTCTCTCTCCAGTTGCTTTTCCGTAGCTTGATTGGTCGGTTTCCCACATACTTTCCTGAAAAAAAAAAGAAATCATATCACCATCAGGAATCAGGAGGATCATAGAGAGTCCAAAATGAAGATACCTATACAATCATAGAGGCCAATGGAACCGATAGATGGATCGAACACAAGAAAGAAGCCAAGAGGATCAACAGAACCAATTGGCAAAATCGAGCATGTTTTTACCGTTCATTTCCTTGAGAGAAGCAGCCAGATCAGCCGGGCTGGAGAAACTAATGAACCCGTATCCCTTAGTTTTGCCTGTTCTTTTGTCTCTGATTACCTGTCCGTTAAAAACGCATAGAGATCACACTCTTACAGATGACAACAGGAGTCTTGTCTGATTTCAACCCTGAAAAGAGTAAAATGTGGTGTATATCTATCATCTCGGTGAAAGGGGTCGACATATTCACTCACTTTTTCCATGTTGAAGGAAGGGAACCGAGAAAATGCCTTGGAGAGAACATCATCATTCACCTCATTCCCAAGATCACCACAGAACAGTCGGTAGTTATCTGCCAAAAACTCGTTAGACCCCTTCCTCTAGAAAAAGATTAGTCAACGACACAACATACAAAACCCATAATATAAATCCCTACTTTCTGGCCACTCAGAAAGTGTAGGATCCTCCCAAGACTGTCCAGCGGCTTTACGGGGGATAGCTCTCTTTTTAGTTTCTGCTTTGTGTTCAGTTTCACTGCTTGCTAGAGCCGCTTTCACATTCTCAAGGGCTTCTGGTGTGATTGTCTGTGCATCCCTCTGGAACAACTGCTGTGCCTGTCCATGTATACTACAAAAATCAAACCCGATGAATGTATTTGTCTACCCTCAAGTATACAAAGTTTACAGGACAACAATCAATATGATGAAATCGAAACAAGACTGAAACTTTAACTGAAGCAAGTTCGGACCTTAGAGAAACTTTTCAGAACAGCCAAGCTTCTCTGCTACATGCTGAACAAATCGTTTCTAAAATTGAGAAGGCCATCCAATCCCAGGAAAAGTACCTATGCCAACACTTAGGTTTCAGTTTTGCTTCCACCAAACCTGTTGATTGAGCTACACCACAATGGCAGCATAACAAATTTTCGCTTTTCTATCAACTATCACCCACTGATGAACGAAATCACAATCTCGACAACAACAAAACCCTAGAATCAAATCACGGGACTTGCAAAAGATACAGACCCATCCTAGATCACCAAAAGAAAAAACATTATGGACCACCACAATCCCTGTAAACCCTAAATCCAAAATTCAACACACAGAATTGCAAATCACCGAAGTTGCACACGCGATTCATAATATTCCAAGTCTCAGGCCCACTAACCTGCTGGTACTGGGGAAAAGAATAAACAGCAGGAACAGGTCCCACCGGCTGCGGGTAAACCGTAGCGCCGGGAACAGCCGCCGGCGCCACGTAGGTAATGCATTTGAGGCTTC